AACATGTTCTCAATAAGTTCCAAGAATCGACAGCACAAAACAAAAAACACGATAATGAGCGGTACTATTCCAGTATGCATAGCAACAAAAAATTTCTTTCTAGATTATGTGTAGTGGCGGTCATGATGAAATTATACAAGGTGATTCATTCCCGCAACGCGCTCGGAGCCTATTTTGCACATATGTACATATATGTAAATGCAAATACAACAACAAACTGCGCTGTGATTGCTTGTGTGTGAGTGTGAATAAGACCCGAAAGAGAGGGAATGGACCATCTTATGTATGTATATAATTGCATCATGATCGCGGATAATGTCTCCGTCTCTGAGTACAGCCACAGCAGAGCGTCGAAAATTGACTTGCTTTAACTCAAAATTTTTCATTACTTTCCTTCTATCAAGAAAACTTTTATTTATGAAATAATTTCGAATGTCAGAATGGAAAAAAAAATAGAGGTCCAAAAATGTCCATTACAGGAGTCTCAAGTTGGAGCAAAATTAAAGGCTGAAATTGTGGTCCGCACAGCAAAATCGTATCGTGGGCTTGCCAAAAAATATATGTGAGAAAATACAGTTTACAGCAAGGGACTTAAGCCAAAAGAAATCGACGGCTTATTATTAAAAATCAAAAGAGATCTGGCTAGAACGGATACAAAGGAAATTGAGGAGGCTATTGCGCAAGGTACCCGAAAATATAAGGAAGGCTGATCGCTATGGTCATGAATATGTTGTGTAAAAAAAAGTTTATAGTCTAAGCTGAAAAAACGGATGTTGGTCAGACTTGGAACACATTTGTTATTATTTGGTATTCCAACAGTTGTTCGTATTTCATTCTGCATACCTGTTGCTATTTTCGGGCTCTGTCCAATCACTTCTATATTTTCTTTGATATAAAAACTTCAATTAAATAATCCAAATCGATTCCAAACATAATTTTCATCAATCATATTGTTAAATGCGTATAATCAGGCTTCTGTATTTATCAGACCTCTTTCCTAATGGTCAGCTATTACGAATGTATTTGTTGAAGTGGCTGGAAAAATCAAAAATGAAAGCAACAAAGGCCATGGCAAGTACCATTTGAATTGCATACATTTTGAAATTTACTGGAACGCTTATCGTCTGATAACAGTTGCCACGACCAGCGGATAAATTATGTGAAAAATTGCAAGCTAAGTAAGTTAAGTATTCCCATTAAATGAATCCCATTAAAGTTCTCCCTCCAAATCCAAATTAATTTAATTTTTTATCCCTGAATTATATCGGAATCCCCAGGTCTCATGAGATATACCCTTACGATAATTTGCCTATATTTAATGGCAAACAAAAGGTTTAAGGCTCCCAGTTACAACAAGGCCATCTGGTGGCCAATGGATGGTATGGCACTATAAAGCAGAGGCTTGATAATAATTTCTACCCCAGCCTGGCAGAGGTGTTGGACGCTTTAGAGCTAATTACTAGCAACTGCTTTAAATTAAATTCGCAAATGCCAAAGAATAAAAAGTTTCATCAAGGCTAACATGAAGTGCATGCCCGAAGAACCCGATATCTCACATGGAAATTGTTTTCCGAACACAGAACCGGAGGCGCCTTCGTACCATCCAGAATTGAGTTCCCGCGACTACCTACCAGTTTTATGAGAATCTGGAGATGCTGACGGAGGAACTTGCCACAGCGTAACCATTGAAAAAACAATTCTTTATGTCCCGCTTGTATTTTTTGTATAAGGATCAAAGATCAGCTGGCCGGCATGGTACTAGAGATGAAGATCGAGAGTCCAAGCTAAGCTTCAGGCGAAGCAGCTGCACGCCATGATGAGTCATCTAGATGGAACAAATTCATAAGTCCCCGCCAGGCTATGCAATGTTCCGTTCCAGCTTCTGTGGCTCAGCCGTCGAGTTGTGTTAATTACTGAATTAAACATCTAGCCGTACATGTACATGCCGATGTATGTATATTCTCCATTTTTATTTATGCACTTTCCGTTTCCGCCCAATCGTCGCACAAAATGCCGACGGAACGTGCAAATCAAAAAAATGGACGCGCCAACGGATAGGCCTCGGGGGTGGGAGTGTCGTGTATGTTTCTGCACGCCAGACAGGGATAGGCATAGGGACACCGACACCCTGTTGCGTGCATGACATGTCCACCCTCTCTCTCTCTCTCTCTCACTCTGTCTTACTGTCGCATGTCTGGTCTTGTGCACATTGCTTAGTCGTGGTGGGCGTGGCCCAGATGAGTGGTGAGTTTTTCCAATCAGCCAGCCAGCAAGTGAGTATAACAGTTTCATCATTTGAATAGATGCTACGAGTATGTGAAACCCGTGTACCATCCGATTTAGATAAAATCAACACGATCTATGCACAATTATGAAAACAAAACATTTTCATTGAATTAACTAAAAGGGCTTTCAACCTATCAACCTAATAAAAGGTTAGTAGTTTCGTATTAATTGGGATTGGACATGGTCTAATGTCGAGGGAAGATAGAAAAGAAAGAAAATCATAATCAGATATTATCCATGCAAACAAGAAATATGTATATTTATTCTTTAGACGCTAAATGAATCCACAATCTGAATCTGATAATGAAATCTGTTATGTGTTGATAGTTGTACGCCGTTTGAAATAACGAACTACTGACGAAATGTACTGTAAATGTACTCCATAGACAAACCTTGTCTTTCCATTATAGAAAAGGAAAAGGTATGGTAATACACAGAAACAAATTTGAAAATAATGGAAGGAATCGCATGCTCGTTACACAAGATACATATGTATGTATGACTATCTTTCATTGGATTAAAAAAACCATGTAGAACGATTGGATCAGAACTATAATACGTGCTAGTTTTGATACTATTTTAGATAGCTCATGTAAAAGGTCAGGGATCATAAGAACGATGTGGAACCCTTTGCAATGATTGTGATCTCTTGATGACAAATTACTTTCGAGCACTCACACGCAACCAACTAAACCAACTAAAAGTAAATAGTATATACATACATACATATATGTATTGGATTGTATATGTGCACATACCTTGTGGTTCGAAAAACCACCCATTTCAGCAAAGGAAGCAAATTGAATTTCGGTTTCCCATTTTAATTGGGCATGTGGTGAGTGGAAGTCTCCGCCGCCGCTTTGCATTCACTTTTTCTAGTCCATGTCTAAAATATCAGGACAGGTCCAAAGTTATAGTTGATAGTTTCATAGCAGCCAGCATTGATAGTTAAATAGCAGCCGCAGCTGGTGGTTTCTTAACAGCCAGTTTCAGTAGTCTCATAGCAGTCAGCTTCAATAGTGTCATAGTTGGCAGCTAGAAATGTTTGGCTTGTGCTCGAACAACAGCGAATCTGTCCACTTGTGAAGAGTAATTTGCGAGGATGGGATATACATATGTATGAATGCATCAGAGTCGTTGCATCACAACACAGATCTAATAGCTGCCATAGTCGTTGCATCATAGCCAACAGCTTCAGAGGGATCCGCCAAAAGATAACTACATTCAAATCTGTATTCACATTTATTACGCTATAGTACAGTAAAATGTTTTTTATTCAGCAATAGCAAAAAAAAAGTTTGTGTAAAAAAAAATGCTTATCAATAGGATTAAAAAAAGGCGCACAGAATTTACAATTAGATGGTTTCAAGATTTTTTGCTTCAGCGAGAACTCTGAAACAGGGACCGTATATAACGATTATTTCTATGTTTTTTTTTTCAATCAAAATTAAACAGGAATATTTCAATTTTTTGATGGAACAATTTCATATGGTTTGGGATTTTTACAATTTCAGTTAATCATGATTGAGTTTTCGAATGCAAGCGACTAGTTCTTGATAATGACTATTCCACAGGGATCTATGCGAAGATTGATATAAAATTCAAACACATATAATTTGTATAAAGTGTACATAAACATAATACTTAATAGCACCTGCAAGACCCATTTTTACTTGCCGCACACTGCCCACTCTCTCAGATAATGTTATCAATTACATTTCGAATTTTTGATGAAATTTTGGGTTTACTTAAAAATGGATTTCAGAGGATCTACTATCAAATATCAGTCTACTCATAGATGCCTATACCAGAGTCATAATCCGACGAGTACAACGATTATGCTATGTCCGGGCTTGTCTTACAGCTATTATTATTTCTTGAGCAAACAAATACAAGTCAAGAAATAATCATTTTTAATGTAATTAAGTTTTTATACCATTTGTGACCACATTAATAAATATTTTACATTTTTGTTTGGGGCATGGGGGTTATTATAAAATTGATCATAATTCTAGGCATCTCTTTCTTCACCCTCTTCCAGGGTATATCTAATTAAAAAATCCGTATCCGATTGCTTTAATGGAATAGGACCATAGAAAATACTATATATGTTGGAGGCTAAATATTCCAATTTTGAGTTTCTGGTCTGCAAGTGTAAGTACATTTATGACGTGAAATATGTATTTATTTCCTGAAATTAAAATACATTAAAAGAAATGGCATCATGAATGCCATCCACGTGTGAGTGAGTCTCGACGTACACAATCCACTACGGTCCCTGCTCGGCCACTGTTTCATCGATCCTAACTATCTAAATATAGACTATCGTTATCATTATTATGTATGGAGTCGTAATGCTAACTATTAATAGTTAATTGTTCAATTGCAATGCTCAATTCGGCTTTGGGCTTAGGCGCTAATATTAAATATTATTCGTAGCTTATTCTAGGTTCAGTGTAATAATACCCTTTACTGAGAAACGATTTACAATTGTTAAATAAATTATGCCTATGCCTATGGGTAAGTCTTAGATCGGGTAAATCTGTACAATATTTTGTTTAAGGATCCGCTGGCTGACACCCTCCGGTTGGTCAGCACCAAGTCTACGCTCTATCATACATGTGGCTGCCTTTTAACTTAATCTTATTATGTTTTCATTCATTTCCATTCCGTGGACTCGAGCGACTCCTAGTCACCGAGCGCAGTGCTCCTGCTGCTCCACCAGCCCAGTTCCCTCTGGCAATTCCCTCTGTTGCCTCGATCCGTACGTAAGCCGGAGACGGAGAAGCGAGAATGGTGGCGGAGATGTCGAGTAGGAGGGCATGGGAATGTCCTCGTCATCTGCCTCGGCAATGGCATCGGCTGGAGCATCAGGCTGGTATTATTGAGCTCCTCCCGCGGCCGTTGCCTCCTTGGCCTCGCCAGAGCCCGGCGCCGGGACCACCTCCTTCATGGACTCCACCTTGGCCACAATCTTGAGGGCGGGGCCCAGCTTCATCCCCATGGCATTCACCAGGTGATTCTCCTTGAGCAGCAGCAGCGCCTGGCCGTCGATCTCCTGCTGGACAAAGTCGTCCACATAGTCCTGGCAGCCTGGCAGGTTCCGTATGAAGTCAGCCACCTCGTCCACGCTCCAGTTGCAGATGGGCGAACGCTCGCCCGCTGCGCTCGAGGAGGGTGCTGCTGCTGGTACTGGTGGCTGGGGCGCCACCGCTGCAGCTGGTGGTGTGGCACCCGGAGACGGAGTCGCAGGCAGCGCCACGGAAGCGGGAACTGCGAGTGCGACTGCAACTAGGGGAGGGACTGGAACGGGGGTGCCTGCCATGACTGGCAGGACAGGAAGGGACACCAGTGGCACCTCCGTGTTGCTTGACAATGGCACAAGGGACATCGGTTCGGGCTGCAGCGCCTGCAGTGCGTCCGTCTGCATCTGCATCTTCTCCTCGGCCATGGCCTCGTCCAGTTTGTCCACCAGCGCCATGGCATCCACTCCCACAATTCCTCCAATTTCCATTTCCATTCCCATTCCATTGCTCTCTCCTACTCCCACTCCCACTCCGCCTCCAGCTGCTGCCGCAATGCCTGCGACACCAGTCTTCGCCTGCCTGGCGCAGCCTGGGGAGCAGAAGCGCTTCCGCTTGAGCTTCGCCTTGTGCTCCAGCTTTCCGCACTGCTCGCAGGCCACCATGTCCGTCGCACTGCCACTGCCTGCTGTTGGGGATGGGGTTTTGGTTGTGGCTGTGGCTGGCGTTGCGGTGGCTATTCCGCATGGCTTCGCCTCCTCCTGCATGGCAGCCTTTTTCTCTGTGGGAACGAGAGCAGAACAGGGATTAGTATCAGGAAGGAAGGAAGAAAGTGGGGAAAAAACTCACTTGGCGGCTCGTCGCTGGTGTCCTTGTCAGCATAGCGCTGCCTCGTCACAGGGAAGGGCTCGTTGGCCTCCTGGATGATGAATCCGTCAATGACATGGGTCAGCACATTGGGCTTGATCATGGCCTTCGGCAGATCCTTCCCTCCCGCGTTGCTGCTCCCATTGCTGATGCTCGTTGTCGTTGTAGTTGTAGTTGTGGGTGTAGTCGTCGCAGTGCTGCTGCTGTTGGTCGTCGTGGTGGTGGTCACAGTGGTGCTCCCTGCCCTGGCCAGGGTTGCTATCCCAATCCCGTTGCTGACTGTCGTCGTGGTCGGCGTTGAAGGTGCGCTACTGCTGGTGAAGCTGGTGGCTGTAGCCGCTCCGTCCTTGTCATCATCCTTTCCGCTGTGCGTGGTTGTGGAGGAGCTAGTGGTGCTGCTGGTGGTGCTGCAGCTACTCGTGGGCAGCACCACATTGCTCTGCCTTGTGGTGGGCGTGCTGGTGGTGGCCTTCGTGGGCGTGGTGGTGGTGCTGCTGCTGCTATGAGACGCCTCCGGGGCCTCTCCATTCACCCTGGAGGAGTCACTCGTGGAGCTACTTGCCTCCGCGGTGGCACTGGCACTGGCACTGGCGTTTGCAGCGGATCTGGGGGTGGTGTTGACGGACGATGGCTGGTGATCCTGGCTAGTGGCGCTGCTGTTTAGAGGGGACCCAATGGGCACCAGGGTGGCGGTGGGGGTGGGCATCTTCAGCGGCGTCTCCTTGGTGGGTGTCGCCGGATGACTACCTCCACTGGCAGCGCTGAACGCGACCAGCGTTGCAGGAGAGGACATCACTCCGCTGCTGGTGACAGGTCCAGCCGTGGCGTTCATCATGGATGTCATGGCCATGATGGGGTTCGTGGCGGGTGAGGGCGATGCAGCCGCCAGAGCGGGTGGTCCCTGCTGTTGTTGTTGATGCTGCTGTTGCTGTTGCTGCTGCTGCTGTGTGGCCGCTGCAATGCTGGCGGAGATTAACTGATGCTGCTGCTGTTGCTGTTGCTGCTGCTGTTGTTGCTGCTGCTGCTGTTGGTGTTGCTGCTGCTGGACCTGGGCTTGGTGGATGCTGGCTGCCATCGTGCTGCTGGTGACCAGGGGACCCGTTGTGTGGTTACTTATTGTCACTACGCTGCTGGTGGGCAGAGAGGAGCTGCTGCTGGTCGACTTGGCCGTCTGGAAGATGGCGCCAGAGGCCGAGAGGGCGGCCTGGAGGGCACTCGAGGTGGCTATTCCTGCGGGCGTCGTGGTCGAGGATACCGAGAAGGGGACGCTGCTCAGCTGCAATTGTCCCGCCTGCGTCTGCTGCTGTTGCTGTTGTTGTTGCTGTTGGCCTGCCCCAGCCGCCTGCTGCACCACAATTTGTTGGATGATGTTCTGCTGCTGCTGCTGCTCCCGTTGTTTTTGTTGTTGTTGCTGTTGTTGTTGCTGCTGCTGTGCCTGTGCCTGAGCCTGAGCCTGAACCTGAGCTTGCACTTGAGCCTGTGCCTGCTGCTGGAGCTGCTGCTGAAGCAGTTGGTTGTGGAGCTGCTGCTGCTGCTGTTGGTGGGAGGTGATGAAGGTGTTGGGCGCTACCTGCAGTATTTGCTGAGCCAGGGCCTGTTGCTGCTGATGTTGCTGCGCCTGAACCTGAGCTTGGGCCTGAGCCTGAGCCTGTGCCACCTGTTGCCGCTGATCCTGCTGCGCTTGGGCCACCGCCTGCTGCTGCTGCTGTTGTTGCTGATGTTGTTGTTGCTGCTGCTGTTGCTGCTGGGCGACTTGTTGCTGCTGCTGTTGTGCTGCTGCCTGCTGCTGGATCTGGATGGCGGCTATCTGCTGTTGGAACATTTGCTGCTGCAGAAACTGCTGCTTCTGCATGAGCTGCAGCTGCTGCTGCTGTTGCTGCTGCTTGTCCACTCCGCCCGCAGTGGCTGCATGCAGGGTCTGGCCATTCTGCAGGGTTATGGGCGTGCCCGTGCTCATCACGACCATCCTACAAAGCATAAAAAAAGTGAAGGGAATGATATGGATGCCGTGGACCCAAAGGCTGACTGCCGTCTCTGCCACTCACTTGTTTCCCGCTGTGGTGACCACCTGGTGAAGGTTCGCCTGTTGTTGCTGTTGTTGCTGCTGGTGCTGCTGTTGCTGCTGCTGAACGGCAGCCATGTGCTGGCCCACTGCCTTGCTCTGCACCGCACCAACCGCCACCACCTGACCATTCTCCGTCTTGAGGGCCGGCAACGCCGGACGGACAGGCTGCTGCTTGTTCCGCATCTTGGCCTTCAGCAGGTTCTGGTTCTGCGCCGTCTGCGTGGACACGGAGCTGGCCGGGCGCACCTGCGTTCCATTGTGGGGCATAATCGGTGCGCCAGGACGCTGCAGGGCCGTCAGCTGCTGCTGCTGTTGTTGCAGTTGGGCCGTGGCCACCGCCAGCTGCTGCTGCTGCTGTTGTTGTTGTTGTTGCTGCTGCTGCGCTTGACTGTTGGCCGCCGCCTGCTGCTGTTGTTGTTGCTGCTGCTGCTGTTGCTTGGAAGCCAGGGCATCCAGCTGGGTGCGAGGCTTGGTAGGTGTCTGGGTTACATTGCACTGGATGATTTCTATGGAAAGAAGAGGAAGGGAATCGGAATTAGCGCTGGATGGCGGATTGTAGTGAGGCGGATGCCACTCACGGTTCTGCTGCGTCTGGAGGGTCTGCGTGGTGGGCTGCTGCTGGATGAACATGCCCTGAGTGCCGTCCGGCTGGCCCCGCAGGATGATGGAGTTCGAGCCGAAGGGCTGCAGGCCGTTCTGCCAGAACCAGGGACCGAGCTGCATCTGCTGCGCCTGGCCCGCGCCGGCACCGCCCAGCGGATTCAGCAGCTGCCCGCCCACGCCCACACCCACACCCACTCCCACGCCGGGCAGTGTCGACTGCGAGACCTGGACGCACTGCTGGGTGGTGGTTTGCTGCTGCTGTTGCTGCTGCGACTGTGCCCCCCCAGCGCCTGCCGACGCAGCCTGCACCGTGTTGGTGGTGGTGGTCACCTTCTGGACCACCTTCTGCGCCTGCATCTTGCCCTGGGCGTCGGCTCCCACACCCACACCCACTCCCACTCCTGCCTTGGCCATGGCCACCGCCTGCTGAGCCGTCAGCTGCTGCTGCTGCTGGGCGTTGAGTTGTTGCTGCTGCTGGGCGTTGAGTTGTTGCTGCTGCTGTTGCTGCTGGGCGACCATCGACTGGAGGAGGCTTTGCTGCTGCTGCGGCGAGTGGGAGATGACGTTGACGGGTGAGAAGAGCAGCGTCTGCGGTGACTGGCTGGAGGGGATGGCGTAAGTACCTCCGGCGAACCCGCCTTGCCCCCCGATCATCTGCTTGGCGTTCTGCGTGGTGGTGGTGATCATCTGTGGGCCGTTACCCTGGAACGGCTTGCCGGCGGTGATCACTTGTATGGGCTGCTGGCCGAGGCCCGCGGAGTGCAGCAGGTTGCCGGAGATCATCATGGGTGGGTAGATGAACCCCGTCGAAGGCTGCATCAGCTGCACGGTCCGACCCTGTGACCAGTCGCCGGTCACTCCGCCGGTGGCTGCCGCCAGCTGCATCGGCGACATCGTACTAATGGCCGTCGAGTGCTGCTGCTGCTGCTGTTGCTGTCCCTGCTGGTTCGCCGGACTGGGTGCGCCTCCGCCCTGGGCTCCTCCTCCACCGCCTGCAGAACCGTTTCCCCCGGCTGCATCCGCTGCCGCCGCCGTCAGCTGCTGGAGCTGCATCTGCTGCAACTGGCTCGCCTGGCTGGCGTCCAGGAGACCCGTCGCATGCTTCAGTTCCGTGGTAGTGGTGCCGGCCGTGTGCGTGGGGAACTCCTGCTTCACCTGGATGGCGTACGGGTTGCTCGCGTAGAACTGCTGCAGCTGTTCCGGTGAGATCTGCAGGGGCACCGTCGTGGCGGACGCCACCTGTTGTGCGGGGCTTTGTGACTTCTCCATCGTGTGGCTGGCTGCTGTTGGGGTTGCTGTTGTGTCGGGCGTGCTGTGGGGTGGTGCTACTGGTAGTGTTGGGAGTGCTCGGGGTGTTCGGCGTGACCGGTGTGTGTGCGTGGCGACGTGCAGTGGGTGGTGTTCCGGCGCCTGTGTTGGCTCCTCCGTTGCGATGGGCTTGGGCTTGGGCTGTGGCTGCGGATGGTGTCGATGACGGCTGCTGGGCAATACCCGGATGCGGGGGACTGGCCACATCGTATTTCTCGTCAAAAGTGATTCCCGCCTTCTGTGCGAGCGTCTCCAGGCACTTCAGGGGCCGCTCGTGCTGTTTGCTGGGCTGCTGCTGGGAGCTGTTGTTGTTGTTGTTATTGTTGTGGTTGTTGTTGTTGTTGTTGTTACTGTTGTGCAGTGGCTTTTCGCGAATATTCGAGTTATCCTTCAGAGGTAGTGTGCCGCCTCCCGCTGGAGCTGTTGCCAAAGAGGATCCTGGTGCTGTTACTGTTGTTGCTGTTGTTGTTGTATCGCTTTCTGTGTCCGCTCTGCGGTTGGCAGATAAAGAGGCAAAAGAGGAGAGAGTAATTAGTAAACTTTTAACCCAAATAAACACGAAGTCTAGTATTATTCTTAAATGTTTGATTTATAATTTCATAAAACAGGTTGGCAGCACCCCCCAGAGAGTATGCAAACAAAATCCACTCTTCTGCTGAGAACATACCATGGGAGAGAGGATCAGCTCAGAATTGCACTCACACGGAGAGCAAAAGCAGTTTACTTATGCCCGTATTTTGATGTAAAGGAGAAAAAAGGATGGGGGGACTTCATGGGAGACAACTCCATCAAGATCATTCACATTAAAGAAGAGTGGAGGTACGCGTGACACACGATGATGCATCAACAGTGTGAGGGTGTTCAGAACAGGTTTGGCCATGGCCATAAAATATTCTTTTCTTTTCGAGTCCGTGAGATTCCTTCCACCTGTTTACGCAGCACAAACTTAACCTCCTCTCCTTCCTCCATGTCCACTCATCCCATTTGGACAGGTAAACATGAATGCTGTGAGTGACAAAGAGAGAGTGATGCTGGACTCATGCCCAAAACGAGAGAAAACTTTGAGAAATGAAACAAGAAGAGCAAGCTTTTGCTTTTCGTTGATCTTGGACTTTTTGATACCCTCTTGCTAACCTCCAACTAGCTTCACATTGTAGGAACATATTATATATCTTTGATATTTATATCTATTGATATCTTGAGGCACTACCATGTGGCTAATGAAAACCCCAACAATACAAAACATCCATAAATAATAATGCTCTAGTTTCCAGGTATGGGTACGGGTACCCACACTACACATTGACTGGCAGTTTTTAGTTATTTCTGGCTGCTAACAACCTGAAAAACAAAAACTTCTTTTTGGGTAGGTTTCTGCCTATTTTCCCTTCTGTTTTCTACGCCCTTCTGTTGCATACCATTAAAAATGCCAACATTCAAAAGGACTTGTCCCATGGAAAACAGAGAAAGAGATAGAGAAGTAATATGTCCTTTGGATAGAGCTGAGGGTTAGGGGTAGCAATTGCAATCGATCCTTATCTATGGTTTCCCGCCTTTTGAAGTGTTTCGTTCGTGTCCTGACAAAATAGAAAATGGAAAAGACAGCTGACGATGGACATGACCAGTGTAGAAGCAAGTCCGAGACGAGTCCGAAACTGATGTTACCTCGTGTATGGAAAAGGCGCGAGTTCAAGGACCTTCCATCAATCAACCAAAAATGCAGACAGTTGCTACCATGGGCTTGGGCTCATGATTGGGAGAAACAAATTGTTAGAGTTTCTATAAAAGACGCTGATCCCCACCTCGCGCAATCCCGCGCTACCCCTCTGGCTATTTTAGCGAGAACCATATAAAAAGAATTATGGAGAGGGGGAGAGAGGGAATGTACAAAACAAAACAAAAACCAACGCAGCGTTAGGGTTTGGTTCTCGGGTTACCCTTGACAATCGGTGGGAGGGTGGCAGCGGTCTGGCAGGGTGGATTCATTCCTTACATTTAAGGGTGGGTGTGTGTGTATTTGTATGTGTGTGCCAAACAGGCAGGTCCCCCCCGCCCTACCTGACTAGACGCCGTACCGGATAGACGACGAAGTTGCAGCATCTTTAGCGGCGATAGAGGGTAAGAATACAGCCCAAAGACTGGTTTGGGTTGGTACAATGTTCGAGTGTATGTGTTTGTGTGTCTGGATGAAACTCTACAAGTCCAGGGCCATCATAAATTTTATTTTGTTCTCCAGTTTCAAGAAGGAATGATAGAAATGCGGGGGAAACAACAACAACACAACAACATGAAGAGCATGAAGGAGCGCATATCCAGGACCAGAGAGCCAGAGAAAGGGTGCAGGGGTAATCATGCGTGCTAACTAATGGATCCAACGGTGTGAAGGGGAGAAGTGCAGTGCAGACATGGCGGGGGAGAACGAAAGACAGAGTCGGGAATACAACATGACAACATATTGATTGATACAAAACGGGTTTTGCCATCCAAATGAGAGAATGAATGCGAGTGAGCGGGATAAACCGATGGCCACTCCACTTGTACACACACACACACAAACACACTTTATCGTATGGCGGTGGAGTTGGTGTGCTATCAGGGTTGTCAGCTCATAGAAAGTACTCAAACTGAACGGAATGGAATTATATGTTGTGCTAATTTTGGGATCATTATAATAAGAGCGTGTTTTTTTTTTTATTTTAATTTTTTGTAATTTCAATTTCTTGCAGGAAGGCTTTTCTTTTTTTATTTTTCTTCTTTTTGCAATCAGCTGGCAACCCTTAGCGGCAACACGATTTGAATTTTGTTTACTTCGGCATGAGAGCGCATTTTGAGGGAGAGAGTCTGAGCGAGAGAGAGCAGGAACAGAGTTGCCCCCTGCAGTTTCGGTGGCCACTATACAAAAAAAAAAAAAAAATGTTACCTTTGGCTTAGAACTTTTGCTTTTCAATGTTGGCTGTGGCAAAGAGCGAAAAAGGGAATCAACCACCACGAGCAGACGCACGCATGCATTGCGAAATTCGTTGACAACAATGCCCACCGATAGGGGAAGAGGACAAAAACTCGTTTGAGAACTTGCGAATTTGTTGCCCGCGCTGCGCTCCCTAAGCAGTGTTCAAAAGCGAATTCAGTGATAGTGATGGATCCCCTAGCAATAAACAATTAATAAAATTGCAACAAAAAACGGTGTGCACAGCGGGGAAAAATACATCTACGGGTAAGGAAGGGTCACACTGGTCACACACATCCCTGCATCGTGCGGCTTGTCAGAAAGAAAAAAAAATATTGTGCGCGCATACAAATACATGAGTATTATAATAAAACTTATTTTCGTAATATATATAATATAAAAAAGCGCGCGCGAGTGCAACTAACAAATACAAGTAAGTAATGTACACAAATACAGCTACAAATAAATACATTTACATACACCGCTGCCACTGCGCCGCCAAGGCGCTGCAGCTGCGGAAAACGCAAAAAAAAAAAATGCAATGTATTTGCAAATGAAAAGAAAGCAAGGCAAAGAAACAAACCAAATGAAAAATAATACCTTTTCTGCATAAACTTCAATGCACGACGATCCATTATTCAAAATAAAAACAATATATTTAAAAAATTAAAGTTATGCATGCGACGGCGGCGGCGACGGCAGAGGCAGCAGTTTTCTGATGTTTGCGGCAGCGACGGCGGCGGTTCTGCTTGCTTTTGTTAATAATAGCATATTGCCGTGGCCTTTTCGTTTAGTTTCTTCAAATTTTAATTTGATTTGGAACATTAACAAACACAAAACACACATACACATACACAGTGGTGCAGGCAATAAACATAAAACATATGCACAGTCAAAACAACAAATAAACGAACGTACAACACAAGACAACAAAAAAATTGTACACAACAACGAGTCCGCAGCAGCGTTCAGTGCTACATTTATGGTGTGCTGGACAGTGTAATCGACGTAGCTCCCGCTCCCACTCACTCTCACTGCAATGTCGGTGGCGTTGTCGTCTTGGTAAATGCTGCTTTTTTTTCAGTGTATTTAATGTGTGTTTGGGCGCTGTGTTGGGGGCACCTGTGCACGCGATCTTACATAAAACGCGACAACGACAACTCTAGACTTTTGATGACATGACTCTGACTCCACGGCTACACTCTCACAATACACTTTCCCGCTGTCTGTATACGTCGGCAGCGACGCGTCGCCTGCACACACATTTGTTTCGCGACACCATGGCTGGCTTTTCATTCGTTTTGTTGCCTTAGCATTCACTTCTTCGGTGCCACACACTAGTTCTGCGTAGCATTATAAACAATTCAAAAAAAAAGTATCTAATATGTACAACAAATGGAACAGAACAGCGTACAGCGTACAGCAACAGCGTATTCGTATTCCCGTGATTGCGCGCGGGGTCGAAGCACAGACCGAATACCGAATACCGAACGCTGCCAAGTGGATTTTAGGACTGTGACGCGCGCAGACGATAGACACACGGTGGCAGCAGCAGCAGAGGCAAAGGCAGCGGCAGCGGCAGCAGCAGCGCTGCGAAACAAAATGAAGTGCGCATGTGTTGATGTTGGTGTGTGTTGTTGAGTGCGGGGCTGTCGGCGCGACGCGGGCAGCAGCTGGGGCATGCGAAAGAAACCAGTTTTCTCTCACACCCATGCAACCCAGCGATAACTTTTCTCTATACTGAAAATCGCGGGTGCGAGTGGAATGGCAGTACAAGCAACGCAATCGAGCACCAAGTGTGACTGCGATGGCCTCTGCTCGCTATCGCTGTCGGGGCTGGTTTGGGGTTGGAAAGAAACAAACCAAACGACGAACGACACCACACAGATACACACTGACGCAGGAAAACGAGGCTACAGCTGGCGTGCATGTGTGTAGTTGTATCTGTGTGCTGTGCGCGCTCTCAACCACCCCGACGAATTCTCATCTTCATCCACAACACAACACAACACCGCCGAGAATCCAGTTTTCTGTGTCTGTACACTCGAATGTCTACCCTGTCGTCTGCCTCCGATTGTTGCTTGTGGCTGGCTTGCCTGCTATACTTCATCTTCTTTTTTCATTTCGCATTTGTCACTCACCACCGCCACCACCATCATCGTGACTGCGGCTCAACGGCCTACCTGGCTTCCCCTGCTCTGCCGCGACCGCTCCACTGCTACCCATTCCCATTCTCATTCCACACCTTCGGTCGTTCCATTCGGCTTTAGCTTTATTTTATTATTAGCTCTGCTTGTCGATCACAGCCGTTGCGACGGCGGGGCGAGGGTAGCGTATGCGCAGCAGAGCCCAGAGTAAAATATTTTGTTGCTTGCTCGCTCGGTCGTACAGTGGCGTGCGTTCGATTGTTATTGGATTGCATTTTTTTGTTTTGCTGCAAACGACACACGCTGCAGTTGGCGTCAACGGGAGCACAGTGGGGCAATTACAAAATAAATCGCTCGAAAAATTCTCGTTATCTATTTGGTGTATATATAGTACTAACGTATAAATATAATTATCATAATATATATAATAATCACCCACCATAAATATATTTTTAAACATTATGTGATCCCTTGTAGTAGTACATTAATGTCTTTTACTCCGTGTCAATTTCTCGTGTCCCACTGTGCCTGTCTTTGGCATTCCATTTTTCATTTTGTAACCTCTTTGTGTGCCAAGTGTATTTGTATGTGTGCTTGGCTGTGGACTCTTGGCTGTCCCCCTCCCTCCGCATTGCTCCACAAGCATTCATCGTTTTCCGTCGATGATTGCCGATGTCGTTGTTTTTGGTTTTGCTTTTGCTTTTGTTGTTGTCGTTCGCTGATGTTGATGAGACCGTTGCTTTTTGTTCGATTCTCAGTCGCCGCCATATTATTTTTACGCTTGCTAGGTTCTGTTGCCGCCTCCCCACTCTCCCCCCTCTGCTTATTTTAGCATTAATGCTCTCTCGCTCTCAGCTTTGCCGAGCGACAGTCTTGTGTGTTTGTGTGAGTGTGTGTGGGTTTTTCTTTTTGGGCTCCACTTGAAGTTTTTTTCGCTCGTTTTTTTTTCTTATTAGTTGTGTGTCTTCTTTGCTTCTTCTTCTTTCACCCTGGCGGCACGTTCAACTGTACAAAAAGCAGACCTGACCCGAGCATGCGCTCTACGTCTCTTCTTCTACTCTTTTTCTTTTCGCTTAAATTAATTGCCACAGACTCGTTGGGGCACAATTGTTGTTGGGTTTTTTTATTTGGGGGGTCGCTGCCGTCGAAGTGTGAGCGAGCGAGCGAACGATTGTGCGCTGCGTCCTACACATGTGTGTGGGCATGGGTACGTGTGTGTGTGTGTGTATGTCGGCTCTTTGCATTTCGTAAAATGACAAATGTATAATGAGCGTAAATTGCTTTGCGCGTGCTTTGCTTCTGCTTCCATCTCGCTCTCACTTCCTGCCTTACAGCCTCTCTGTCTCTGTCCCACTGTTGATAGTTGAATTAGACACACACACACACACATACTAACGCGTACCTGTCGTGTTCCTACACCATTTTCCAAATGAAGAACGTTAATATTATTGCATCAAAATCATTCAGTCGACGCCTGACAGCGGCGGCGACGCCGACTGAGGCAGAGAAACAGCGAAATAGCATTTTTATGGCTTTGAGGCGTGGCCAGGCACTGACAATGGATCGTTGATCAGATATCACCCCGTCAAACCGAACGGTCTCCTTTATTCTAATATTCCGTTCCCCATTGCCCGAAGCTCTCTTGGGTATCCCACCCCAGGAACCCTGATACTTCTCTGCAGTTCCTTCAGGGGGCACACTCACCCGATATCCTTGTCAGATTCTTTTGTTGTTTCGCTCTGCAGTGAAGGACCGATTGATTCGTTCTACCCTTCTTTGGTCATCCCAATGGAACCGATAAGATCTCCTCTTCCCAGATTTGTATTAGTCTTTTGGGAGAAATCAATTTCTTTTAAGGGATCTATTTTTATCTGTTGAGATATGTTTACAGATTTTGGGGTATATTTCACGATGTTTTTATAAATATTTGAGAAGTTACTTAATAGTCGAAACAACCTTTATAAAATATATTAGGTATATATTGAGGTATAATTAGGTAAACTATTTAATTTTATTCTCCAACCGAAAAATACACTTAATTTTATACAACACAGCGCCGGTAGACCCATGGAAATGGGACGAACTGTACCAAAACCCCTTGGGACAAAGAGTTGAACTCTGACACTTGACCTTCCGGCAGAAGGTATAATCACCCCTAAGCATAATCACACACACCCTTTACGCCCATTTTAGGCAACTCGTTGAAAGCGTTTTTCCAGGCAAATATGCAACATTTACCCTCAAAAGGGAAACTATCCCGAAAAGCCTGGGTTACTGCATCGAAATACAACCCCTAAGCTCTTTAAGGGTGCGCTTACGATGAGGTCGAGGAAGAGTGACACTGCGCTGACCCTACGATTTGTTAATACTTATAGTGCAAATTTTTAATATACACATACACGGCCGGCGGGCAACAACCCGCCCCCCCCCCCCCCCACAAAAACACACGGAGGAAAACAATAGCGGACCCGGAAACATGATATAATATTTGGTTCCCCCAAACCAGGGGGACATTCCTGTGATTCGTTTAATACTCATTCCACACTTCAATATCTTATCCAATTGTGACAATGTTTTGAGTATGCAATGTAATTTTGTATCTAAAAAAACCAATTGGTTAAAATTACATTTTTTATAATCTATAGACAATTGAATAACAAAGTTAAAACAAATTACCCATTGCCCGGTGCGGCGCCCCCGCCGGGGCCCCGCCCCCCCCCCCCCCCCCCCCCCCCCCCCGCCCGCCGCCCCCCAACCGAGACGGGCCCCCCCGGGGCCCCCCCCCCGGCCCCCCCCCCCCCCCCCCCGCCCCGGCCGGGGGGCCCCCCCGAGCGGTTACCGAACAGAATCTAGGAAATTGTGTTTTGGACTACCATACTAAACGGTGCTAATAGCGCCAAAACTAAAATTATTTGCCCCCCCCGCCCCGCCCCCCCCCCCAAATCAAAATAATATCAATCATTTTTCTTATAAAATACATAAAGTGGAGCCTATGCTCTGAATACGGGTGAGTACGATACTCGTATTGTTTATATTTTGGGTTTGCTAGTGTTGGGCCTTGCGCCGCGGCCCCCCGCCCGGGGCTCTGCAGCTATTTTAATTGGCCCATGGACCGTATACAATTTGTAGTAAGTCTGTGAAATTGAGGTTATGTTCGTTTGTACTACAAAATGTTTCAAGTTGTATAACATTTTGCAGGGTAATTAAATAAAAGTTTTAAAGATATAAAACAACAAATTACCTGATCGAAGTGTGCTTCGATATTCGATCACACTTTGATAGTTGCCAACGAACTAACTATAAACAAAATAATTATTATTTGCTAATGTTATTATTTTTTGCCGTACTGTAGTGTTGGTGATACTAAAAAAGTTGCCGGGACCATGTCGAAAATGCCAAATCGCTCTAAGCCCACAATGACGGGAGTTTTCCCCGCGCCGCGATCTACTCCGGGCCGCAATTTTCTCAACGAGAATAAAGTGAGCTTGCGCTCGCTGGAGAAGACCACAACTGAAAAACTGGCAGCCAAGGAACCAGTGCGCCCCAAATGGATGCCACCAATGCGCCGTGCCGACTCCGAGGTAGGAGAATCAAAGGCGGCAGGCAGACCCCAACCGTTATCGGTGTCCCGACAAAACACCCGCGAAAGCAGTCTAACGCGCAACCGCAACAACTCGTGCTCGCATCAGCAATTGGGCTTGGGCGCTGCAGAGTCTGGCCAACGTGTTGGCCGCTCGACTCAACGCAATCCGGTGCACTATGACGCCTCGGAGGAGGCAGCACAGTCGTCGGAATACTGCAGTTCTTGTGGCACACAGCGCAGCTCCTCAAGCATTGCCACACAGACGGAGGACATCAGCGATGAACTCTATCTCACGAATGCCCTCAAAAAGTAAGTACAGACAGTAGCAGTAGCAATAGATATCTAAATGTACCATTTTGTTTGCTCCTTTAGATGCAGTTTTGATGGTGCATCCGTGATGAGTGAGCGTGAGTCGCCCAATAAGTACGAGAACAACAACTATAAACGGGCCAATCGCTACGATAACAACGATAATGACGAGAATCTGCTGTCACCACGCACGCATGGCAAACAGCAGCAGCCACAGCACCTGAATGATGATCAGAAAATGGAAAACTGTGAGTATATTGTACAAAGGGGTGGGGTTGGGTTGGTCGGACTAAACTCGACTCGTTGGCTAATCAAGCTTTGTTTTTCAACACACAGCACGCGACGATGTGCGTTTACCTCGCTTTCTGGAAAAGGATAAGGAGAAGCGCGAAAAGGCCGCTGCCAAGGAGCTGGCCGATGCAAGTGATCCGGACTGTATGCTCACGGAGCAGGCACGTGTGGGCCACTTAAACAGCGCACAGAAGCGCTACGATGGTCTCATTAATGAACTGAATCACATGCCCATCACCTCACAGAGTCTGTGGGTGCGCAACCGCAAGGCCGAAATTGACAAGGAGCTGGCTGTCGTCGATGAGGAGATTCGCGTCTACTCCAAGTCCAAGCTGTACATTAACTCTAGCAAAAATAAGTAAACCTGATACACACTGTGACACTGTACCACAACACATTCCAACGAAGAATTTCCATTTGACTGGCTGACCCCCACCCCCCCTCACAAAAAAAAAAAACAATGAACAATGAAACCACCCCATTACATGTACCTCAAGATGTATTTTCGAAATTAATCTAGTCTTGTGTTCACTGGAATAATTTCGAAATCGTCAATGGAGCCAGTCTTACATAGGCGAGCAACTGGAAGGCAAGCAACTAAAGACTCCAAGTTCTACATTCAAAATTCAAAAATAAACTAACAGGATAGACTGAACAATGCTCTCAACCAATTGATTTGTTGTTTTTTAATTACGGGGGCTCCCTCGGACGATCTTGTGAGTACTTCCCATTATCTATTCTTCGAGTCTGATTGTATGTACGGGGTAACGACATATCTCCGGGCGACATAGCTCCTGCCATACATTTTTCAGCAGGAGATACATATGTCGCTAAATTCTGGGCGGAGATATGTCGCTATGCCGTATGTACGTCCAAGTGCTATGCATGGGGTATTCCTTAGGTTCCATATCATCTACCGTGTATCTGAAATAAGTCTAGTTCCTATCCGCAAATACTTACAACATGGTTGGGTGGAACTTTCCAGCTCAAATTCGTTAACTGATTAACGTTCTCCATTTTGTTTCGGTTTCAACAAATTAGTTTTTTTCCCCCTCCCCCCAGTGGGACAGGGACAGCGCACTGCCAGAGATTCTTCCTATATATGTACATATGTAGGTATATTATAATGTGGTGCCGTACCCCTTTTCAACTTCCCTCCCCACACAAAATGCCGACGGAACGTTGGTGGGCGCGCTTCTGTACGGGGGAGACGACCTGGGGTGGGAGTGTCATCTGTTGCTGCGCGCAAGACAAGGACAGCCATAGGGATTCCGACACTTCTGTCGAGTGCATGACATATATCTCTCTCTCTCTCTCTCGCTCTTAGGTGGCCGTGGTGGGCGTGGCCTGGTCGTGTGGTGAGTTCATAGCACAGTTTATAACAGTTGTAATCAAATGAATGGAATTATAAGCTTAATGAAGAGAATGACGGGAAAAAGGAGGCTGAAGATTTGCATCTGGATGGAAATTTCGACAAAGAAAAAGCGTCTACGCGTAAAGAGTGTTTTTTTTTCTATTTAATAAACTTAATATAGGCATAAAGTACATAAACAAATAAGCGTAAAACTTACGCCGTAACCCCATTAAAATATTGAATAGAACAAAAAATTGTGATGGTTAATACCTTTAAATGGGATTTTGTTTCGCTCTTCTTTTGCAGTAATTTTCTGCACATTTTGTGTTAGGTGGCAGTGGCGATCGAATTTGTTTTAAGGCATCGAGCTATACAATTAACGCGTGCATAACCATCATCGCCAAGTGGTAAGTAAACTATATAAAACAGGACCTAGACGAATCAGATAGAAAAGTCTTGCCCGCAAGGCTGAAGGTTTGCATCTTAATGGAAAGTTTGACTGAGAAAAAGTGGCTACGCTTAATTAGTGGAGTGGTTTTTTTTTTTGTGTATTGAACATACGGTTTACATATGCAAACTTATGGGCATAATTATATTGAAATGAACAATAAATATTGAGCACCAAAAAAAGAGAAGAAAAATCCGTCTAGTGTGACCACCAACAATTGGGCTTGTATTTCGCAATTGCTTTTTGCGCACATTGTGCAGTGGGCATTGTGGGCAACTCTGGCTGGACGTCGTGGCTCAAAGAGCTTTCTGCAAGAAAATAGTCCAAATCTTGTTAAGGGCTCGCAGTCCATAAAATATAATAGTGTGTGGTCATTCCCAAGTGTTAAGTAAACTATATTAAATCATACACATCTGCGGTTGTTATTATGCATACAAATTTTTAGACTCTTGAAGTGAGGTCTGAACACCTTTATTATATCATCATGGATCGTGTTCCGATGGACTTTTTTGGATCAAGCTTGGTACAATTACTGCTATTGGGTGTAAATCCAAGGACATGCTGCCGGATTGGGCAAAACACAGTTGATGAAACAAAAGAACGAGAATATAGCCAGCCAAATGGATCGGTGGCCAATCCTCCCAATAAACCGAGATTTAAACAACATGTGAGCAACTATTATTATTATGTACCATATTTATTATAAATATCCAATTGTAGCTGTAGCTATTCATCAAGGACATTCTACGGTGGGTAATCATGGACAAGACTTTACTTTTATCTGATCCCCAGAATGGTGAAATTCGTGATTTGGCATCGGATCTAATCAGGGAACTTGTAAATTATGTAAAATCGCACGATTTACAAATCATGGGGTTAAGTAAGTCTCCGCAACGGTTTGTCATTACGATTAATTGTCAAACAATTTTAATTTCAGAATGTACCTGGAGGGTCAGTCAATGGCCTGGGAAATTTGGGAGAAAATGTTGTACGCCTCCATTTGGTGCCTACATCAAAATGATATCCTCAGTGATTTACACGACTTAGAGGACCGGGAGGGAGCCACATTTTGTGGCCGGAAGTTAAGGTTAAGGAAGAGAAATGAACAACACACTTTTTTCCAGAAAAGTTCGTGCAAATATGGTCGATAGACCAAAGCCCACCCACCTAGCATGTGCAGTAGCAGAACTAGAGTTAGCCAAAATAGAAAATATCATAACTAGCAGTAATATTCTGCTTAACCGTTCGCGCCAGAAAGATCTGACCCGAATTTTGTAGGTAGGAAGGTAAACTTACAAAAGCTATGTATTTCTACACGTTTTTGACATAGACCGACCACACATAATACGACACATTCACTCTCCCGAATGTCTCTCCCATATATGTATATGGTTCAAGCGACAAAAGCTAAAGATAACGAGAGAGAGAGAGAGAGCTTTAGCTGCGATCATATGTGTGGGATTGATTGAACGTTTGTGTACGTTGTGGAATGTTTGGTTGATGTTTAGTTTTAGTTTGTTGTGATTACGATTTAGACGCTTTGCTCTGTTGCACGCGCAAGTAAAACCAGTCACAGGTACCAACATACATACATATATATGGATATTTGCAGAGGATTTCAATGATCTATCTAATACAAATCGTATATGTAAATAACAACAAGAAATTTGTTTTGCTTTTAAGTGCTTTTTAGTGAATTTCTATTCCGGAGCCAGAGAGAGAGAGAGGGGGAGAGTGAAAGAGGGAGCTCTGTGGTGGCTATTGTAGACGCGTGTAGCTCTCATTTCGATGGTATTTATAACAAATTCACTTAATTTTATGGTACAAAAATGCTGCTACCATAAACGGAACGGTACGATGCTGCCACTTGTGTGGATTTAATTGTGTGTATATTTCTATTAACGCCGCGCGATAAGCAATGACATTGAATTAAATTGAATTGATGAACGAATGCTTGTGTTGTGTTTGTTTTGTTTTACAACCGGTTTCACATACATGTACGTAGGTTCCGTGCTGATAAGCCCATCTCTCTCGCTTATCATCTACGAACATTGTGATACACCTTCCTCTCGCACACGCGTGCACCCATACCAAGACGCAATAATCTTTCGATGCAATAAACACACACACACACACACATGTGTGGAAAGAGCGGAAAACACTCGTTTGCTCTCGTAGGTGAAATAAACAAACAAAATTAAAATAAAAACTTGTGATCAGCCCAGGGCTGGGGCTGAAACCTATTCAAGCGGTTTTTGGAATGGAAATGCGCAAAATATCAATTTTAACAGCTTTTTCAGCGTGATTTGTACGCGCTAAATGAATCAATTATCTATAAGATTTACTCATTTTTATAAACGTAATTTTATTACAGCATTTATAGCAATTTTTTTAATTAATTTTTTTTTTGCCTTAATGTTCAGTAAATAATACGTGTGGATCCAAGTACAGTAAGGACTATGCATATGTAACATAAATGTTAAAAATTTAGATTGCATAGATCTGTACATATCGAATAATAATAGTTATTTTTGACTACATAAAATATATATATTTTGCCGGACAAAACAAAAATCCGCACAACAATGCAGGTTCGGTTCTCCTAATCCCCCCTGGCAAATGCAGACAGATCCGAGATCCGTTTCGGGCAGGTAGCAATATGTATTCCCTAAATGGGTTTATGATCACTATTCGGGTTTTACCTTTACCTGGAAGCGATAAACCAGGCGCAATCATAAAGATTTTGACTCTGTGCTGCACTTTTCGACCCAAAACCAGACCAGACCTGACCAGACGATACTCGTACCATTGTGTTTGCCTTGCCTTCTTTTTTTTTTCTTTTGCGTTTTGTCTCTGGTGCTGTGTGTGTGCGTGTGCGTGTGTGTGTCCCAAAATAAATATGCTAATTCCTGCATGCGTTACTGTTACTGCCCCCACAAGTGGGGGCCAGCCACTGATAGCAGCAGGCCAGTGGTGGTAGTGTGGGCCCACCACTAATCACTGCGATAGAGCGTGCCTGGGCAGTGGAAAAGTTCTCGTTGATTTCTCTGTGTGGGGGCCTATCAGTGCGATACGAGTGGCGTTGTGGAGCGGATTGGTGTGTTCATAAAAACAACCTCAAGTAGTAGGTGCTTAAGATACTCACCAGTGGCTGGCTGGTCTGAAGATCGATTGGGGCTATCGGCAGCGTCCGACTGGTTTCCGTTCTTATCATTTATGTTCTCTCTCATTGCAGCCTCTGACCAAAGAAGAAACGAATAAAGGATTAAGCTAGAGCCCCTCCTAGAGCTACCCCGACACATCCAACATGCGCTTCCAGCGGCTCCTGCAAATGCGCAGATTGGCGACCAGCGCCACCCCCCTAATGCGTGCGCCCACACAGACGACGACCACGTCCATGACCGTAAGGACGATGGCGGGCAGCGGGGCACCGATGCCGGAGCTCACACAGGTAGGCAGCGACGAGTATTCGCAGCGCGGTGAGTTTTGGGCTGCGCTGCCCTGTGGAATGGTGGTGGTTGCAACGTGGGCGTGGCATCGCACTATTTCATTACTTACCCGTTTAAGCAAATGGTGGTTGATGCCTGCCACCACCACATCACCATCTACCACAGCCGGCAGCCGGTACACTCCTCCCCTCCCCCGTACAGTTGTGCACAAAATGAAATTTTATAAATTTTTATTTGCCACTCTTTAATGGTAGATCACGGACAATGTGCAACGTGGCAACTATGCCACGCTGAGCGACAAGGATGTGAGCCACTTTGAGAAGCTGCTGGGCAAGAATCATGTCCTCACTGAAGATCTAGAGGGATATAACATTTGCTTTCTCAAGCGGATACGTGGTATGATATTCCTGGGCACCATCCAACTATCGTATGCATTCCATACGATTATTTTTCTGTTTTCTTTAGACTTTAACTTTTGGCATGCAATTACGCTATACAAAATCTGTCACTTTCTACCTCGGATACTTATAAAACTTTGTCTATATCCTTCATATCATTTCATTCCCCTCTCGCTGGTACCAACGTTCGTTTCTTAGCATAAAAAGATAAGGAGAAATCTTTATAATTACTATTAAAACAGACCACAAGTCGCCACAAGTTTCTTTTACGATTATATTTATTAACTTCCCCCCATCCCATCCCACTCTTCCAACTAAAATTGCTTAACCCACGTAAAGCTCTAAGGAGCTCTGTTTTCTTCTTAATTTTATTCCGATTGATTGATTGATTGATTTTGTCGCTTTCAGGCAACAGCAAGCTGGTTCTAAAGCCCGGCAACACTGAGGAAGTAGCCGCCATTCTGCGGCACTGCAACGAACGGAAACTGGCCGTGGTGCCACAGGGCGGCAATACGGGACTGGTGGGCGGTTCGGTGCCCATCTGCGATGAGATTGTGCTGTCGCTGCAGCGGCTGAACAAGGTGCTGTCCGTGGACGAGGTCACGGGCATTGCGGTCGTCGAGTCGGGCTGCATTCTGGAGAACTTTGACCAGCGGGCCAGGGACGTGGGTCTGACGGTGCCGCTGGATCTGGGTGCCAAGGCCAGCTGCCACATCGGTGGCAATGTGTCCACGAATGCGGGCGGAGTGCGTGTGGTGCGGTACGGCAATCTGCACGGCTCTGTGCTGGGCGTGGAGGCGGTGCTGGCCAATGGTCAGGTGCTCGATCTGATGTCGAACTTCAAGAAGGACAATACGGGCTACCATATGAAGCATCTGTTCATTGGGTCCGAGGGCACACTGGGCGTGATCACGAAGCTCTCGATGCTGTGTCCACACTCGTCGAAGGCTGTCAATGTGGCCTTCATTGGGCTCAACTCGTTCGACGACGTCCTCAAGACATTCGTCAGCGCCAAGCGCAATCTTGGCGAGATTCTCAGCTCGTGCGAGCTGATTGACGAGCGGGCCCTGAACACGGCGCTCCAGCAGTTCAAGTTCCTCAAGTAAGTGGCAAGGATTTGATCTCTGATCTCCGGCAAGGATCTTTCTAAAAGCTCTAACATCATTTGCATTGCATCTGTTTGACAGTGCCCCCATCTCGGGCTTTCCCTTCTACATGCTGATCGAGACATCGGGCAGCAACGGCGACCATGACGAGGAGAAGATCAATCAGTTCATCGGCGACGGTATGGAGAGGGGCGAAATCCAGGATGGCACTGTCACTGGCGATCCCGGGAAGGTGCAGGAAATCTGGAAAATACGCGAAATGGTACCCCTGGGCCTCATCGAGAAGAGCTTCTGCTTCAAGTATGACATCTCACTGCCGCTGCGCGATTTCTACAACATTGTGGACGTGATGCGGGAGCGTTGCGGCTCCCTGGCCACCATCGTCTGCGGCTACGGCCACCTGGGCGACTCCAACCTGCATCTGAATGTCTCCTGCGACGAGTTCAATGACGAGATCTATAAGCGTGTCGAGCCTTTCGTCTACGAGTACACGTCCAAGCTGAAGGGCAGCATTAGTGCCGAGCATGGCATTGGATTCCTCAAGAAGGACTATCTGCATTACTCGAAGAATACGGTGGCCATCGACTGGATGCGCGACATGAAGAAGCTCCTCGACCCCAATGGCATCCTTAATCCATACAAGGTTCTCAACTGAAATGGCTCCTTCTCGGTGATAGACAAACGATACATACATACATACAGATAAATGCATTTATAAAGATACCATCTCATCCAGCTAAAAAATTCTTTTTTTTTCGTAGCAACAATTTTTTTTTTTTTAATTGTAACTTGTAATCCGTGTAAAGTATACTTAATAAAATGTGTAAAAAATCATTTCATTGGGCTTTAAATGTGTACAGTGCTAGGTCGAAAGAGTGACTACTCACATGCATGTGAGTAAAAATAGTGCTAATAAACGCTATAATCGATTCCTTTGCCTTTTATTTCTTTCGTTTCTGCAAAATCGACCTTGAATTAAGGCACTGCATGCCCAAATTATACGAACGTAAAAACTGTCCATTATTTATGGCAGATTTTCTTTCTCTCCAACAAAAGTACACAGTAACTCAGTGCCGAAACGCCTCCATAAACGTAATTCAAACACATCGCTTTAACGGTCGTTCATGGGTGAAGTTCATGATCCACACACACACGCGGAGAGAGAAACGGAGAGAGAATTCTAGCATGCGTGATCAAGACGTAGCAGAAGATAGAGGGCGGCTCAAGGTGGAGTGAGGTGAGAGAGTTTTGCCTCTTTGGCTCTCTCTCTCGCTCTTGGTGTGCGTGTTTTGGTTCGTAATTGCGTGAATGCGTTTTGGAAATGAGTGTTTTTTTTTCATACCAAAACACAACTCCCACTTGTGCGTTTAATTTGAGGCGCAAAAAAAACAAATACCCGAAAGAGAGTGAATATACACCACCTTGTATAATGCACACCTTGGTTCCATGAGCTAGTATAAATGGCCCCAAAAGCTCCAAGTTCACATGCAGAGTGGCAACGCCAAGTGGCAGATCGATCGTGAAAAAACATTCGACAGAAGCACCGCAAAAAACATCAGAAACAAAAAACGAAATTAGTTCTCCTCAGTACATTTTTTTTTTTTGAAAAAAAGGAAGCGACAACAAGATGAGCGGGTAAGCGAAACTAACGGCACGAATGATAAAAGTGATTGCAATTAACACCCTTTGCTTGCACCTGCTGCATTTCGCCTGTTTCTTCACAGAAAAGCTGACATTGCACTCATTGGGCTGGCCGTGATGGGCCAGAATCTCATATTGAATATGGATGAGAAGGGGTTTGTGGTGTGCGCCTACAATCGCACGGTGGCCAAGGTCAAAGATTTCCTCGCCAACGAGGCCAAAGGCACAAATGTGATTGGCGCTGAGTCACTGAAGGACATGGTCGAGAAACTGAAAACGCCGCGCAAAATTATGCTGTTGGTCAAGGGTAAGTTGGCACAGCCCCCCCCCCACCCTTCAACAAGATTTCAAATTGTATTAGTGATATTTTTGGCTTTTAAAACCTGCTATTGTAAGCGGCTTAAGTGCGGTTTTTGGTCGTTGTGGCGTGAAGCCAGCCGAACGCGCTCGTACCCTGCACCTCTCCCGGTGTGCGTGTTTTCATGTGTGTGTGTGCGTGTGTGGAAGTCAAAGCAATGTCATCAATCGTTTTGTTGTTGCTGTTGCGGTGTGTTTTTTTTTTTGCAAGCTCAATCCATTGTGCGGTGCGGGATAGGGAGTGCAAGAAATGGAGTGAGTGAGAGTATAATTATGATCTGCTTACTGAGCGGCGATATCAAGCTATCCATTCAACGATATCAAATTTGGTTTGTTGTTGTTCTAATCTCAGTGGTGCGCATTTTCCTTTGGAGCTGTGATTTGTGTAACTGTGACTTTTGTATGCAATAGAGATGAGTAGGAATCCAACAAGAGAGGTGTGCAAATGCATCACAAAATAAATCATATTCCGGGTTTGACTTCCACAATAGATGCAATCACTTTCACCCACACATGGGTACGTTGAATATCTCCTCCAAGTCACATTTAGTGACTTTCACTGTTACTCCACAGAAGTGATGCTCATCTCTAATGCAAATATGCACATACATACACGCGCACACGTATGCAAATGGCTGTTCTCGCATGTTAATTTGCGTGGCCGGCTTATCTCTCTAAGCTGTTTGGAACACATGGGAGAGCTTTTCTCCCACCCTACCTACCGAAATTCTCTGACATTCATTATAGGTCACACATAATGAGGCGACTGCTGTGACAGTGCCACCAGTGGTGAAGGTGGGGACTTCCTCGCACGTTTTGGTAGTACAAACAATCTGTAGCCATCCGCTTGGCTCGTTTTTACACAATGCCAGCAGTGATTCATTCTTAATATACTTATACATACATATGTACTGTACCTAATAACGACCGCTAGATAGATAGATAGATCAAATGCTATCATAAATACTTGTTGGCCTTATCTGGGGCTGGAGAAGTGCTTGGTGCGCCGAGTCCGGGCAAGGGACGACTTGGGGGTGACCTCAAATCAAGGTTAGCCATGATTCGGACTGGCTGCGTGACTTTCTAAATCGGCAGAACAGCCAATTAACCTTGTCTAATCGCGCTCTATGCTTTTCCAATCCACGTTTCAGCCGGCAGTGCCGTCGACGACTTCATCGAGCAACTGGTGCCGCTGCTCTCCCGCGGCGATGTGATCATTGATGGCGGCAACTCTGAGTACCAGGACACGTCGCGTCGCTGCGCCGAGCTGGAGAAGCTGGGCCTGCTCTTTGTGGGCTCAGGCGTCAGCGGTGGCGAGGAGGGTGCCCGTCACGGACCCTCCCTGATGCCCGGCGGACACGAGGCCGCCTGGCCCCTGATTAAGCCCATTTTCCAAGCCATCTGCGCCAAGGCCGATGGCGAGCCCTGCTGTGAGTGGGTCGGCGATGGGGGCGCGGGCCACTTTGTGAAGATGGTGCACAATGGCATCGAGTACGGGGACATGCAGTTGATCTGCGAGGCCTACCACATTATGCAGAGCCTGGGTCTGTCCGCCCCCCAGATGGCCGACGAGTTCGGCAAGTGGAATTCGGCCGAGCTGGACTCTTTCCTCATCGAAATCACGCGCGACATCCTCAAGTACAAAGACAGCAAGGGACATCTGCTGGAGCGAATTCGGGATACGGCCGGCCAGAAGGGTACGGGCAAGTGGACGGCCATTGCCGCCCTGCAGTACGGCGTTCCCGTGACGCTCATCGGCGAGGCTGTCTTCTCCCGCTGCCTGTCCGCCCTCAAGCAGGAGCGCGTCCATGCCAGCGGCGTGCTCAAGGGTCCCTCAGCGAAGCCGAGCGTTGCAAATGTGACCAAGTTCCTGGACGACATCAAGCACGCCCTGTACTGTGCCAAGATTGTTAGCTACGCACAGGGATTCATGCTGATGCGCGAGGCGGCCAAGGATAACAGCTGGAGGCTGAACTACGGTGGCATTGCACTGATGTGGCGCGGCGGCTGCATCATACGCAGCGTCTTTCTCGGCAACATCAAGGACGCCTACACATCTCAGCCGCAGCTGTCCAACCTGCTGCTGGACGATTTCTTCAAGAAGGCCATTGAGCGGGGCCAGGACTCGTGGCGCGAGGTGGTGGCCAATGCCTTCCGCTGGGGCATTCCGGTGCCAGCGCTCTCCACCGCCCTGAGCTTCTACGATGGCTATCGCACCGCCAAGCTGCCCGCCAATCTGCTGCAGGCCCAGCGCGACTACTTTGGGGCCCACACCTACGAGCTGCTCGGGGACGAGGGCAAGTTCCATCACACCAACTGGACGGGCACCGGCGGCAATGTTTCGGCCAGCACATATCAGGCATAGGCTACCGTCCCTCCCCCTTCCCACCACCCACACACACACACAACGCAACACACATTCCATGATTCCATGTCATAAGGTACTACATAGTTGGAACTCCCTCCTGGGGAGCGGAGCTGCTGTAACACAAGTTTACAATTGTTTTGATTTTTTTTTTAGGGTAGCAGTACCTATTTATAACGTTAATATATATATATGTATGTATGTATATATAATTTCATATTGTTTTTAAACATAATATTAAATTGGTGTTTTTTGCTAGCAAACGATAGCGATGATTCTTTCACTGGTGGTTCAAAAATAAGGCCTATATAACTTGACATCCATAAGATCAACAATGGGGCAAAAAGCTTTATCCAACTAGAATTGTGTGTAACGAGTCTTTCGAGTTGTAAATATTAATCTGCGAACAGGCTTTTGTACAGCAGGGGAAAGTCCTGCTTGGCGGCGTCCTCTCAGTCATCCAAGGGGCTTAGTGTTTTCTTATTCTCGATCACCAGCTTGTCCGCCTTGTATAGGTGGCCGATGATGACCTACAAACGTCATGGAATAGGTTAACAAACTGAAACACTTATCACACTGACGTCGAAACCGATCCCGATAAGGCACAGTCCAGTCAATAATCAACAGTGGCAATGCGTGCACGCGGTCTGACAGCTGATGCACCACCCCACACCACTCACCTGCCGCCGTAACAGCTCCAGATTCTGTTTGCCCGCCTCCATTTGACGATCGATTTCAGCAAAGTCTCCAATGGCCTTGTTGGCGCGGAATGTGTCGCGTATCTTGCGAACAGCGTACATTCTGTGGATGGGGTGGGAAAAGGTGTAATTATAACAATTATCGTGATTCTAATGTATTTCATCACACACGAACCTAAAGTTGTAAGCTGGCAGCTTTTCCGATTCCCGCAATAAATTCCGGTACAGCGTGATGGCCTGGCGACGTGTTGACATCTTGTTATGCTGAGCAGGTGGCGCAGAGGGGCGCGTGCTAGGTGTAATTTGAAGCTCGTTTTAATTGATAATATCGTGTTATTGTCGATTTATAGCTGTGAATGGGGGTTTCTGGTTTCTTTATTTTGTGCCGCTTGATGACATAAAAAAATACATTGTGGCATATGGTGGGGAGCGGGAAAAAACCCCTATAAAATACTAGAATTCTAGCCAAAATGTATGGTATTTTTGTGGCTATGGTCGCACTGGCCATCCGACAATGCACCATTTTATTAAGAAGGTGACGCAAGAACGTTTAACTATTGTTACCTAAAAATTAAACGAATATCAGTGCATATATGTAAATTAAGATCAATGGCTATCATGAAATGTTATTGATGAATATATGGCTAAATATATATCAATACCATGTGTCGTCACCCTAAGACCTATGCACTTTGATTTAGTATTTAATGTAGTGGATAATTTAAAAAAAGACTGTTTAGTGACCGATTACGTAAGATGCAATACATACAGTTGACTAGTATAAATGAGCATTTTTATGCTCCCGCGCAAAAGGTCACACCGTCCGTGTCACCGATAGTTTGAAAATTATCGATAAGTCGAACTATAATTTTCGTGTTGTTTATTGTTCTTTTTTTGTTCGTTACATAGCACGGTGAAAACAAATACCTTAAGGTAAATACAAATCAGCTAAATAAAAAGGTGATAATGAGAAGTGTTGTACTCGGCAAGAAAGCAGAAATCACTGGAATGCGTGACCCTTGACACAAGTCCAGAAAAGGCATCTATGTATCTTGCACAGAACTATTCCCCATCGCAGGCATAGTTTATTCTGTGCGCGACGAGTGGGGAGGGGGATCGAGAGAGTGAAAACTGAAAATCGGCGCTAAACAAATAGAAAAATACTAGTTACTAGTGAGAAAACATGACGCATTGTTTGCATTTGTGTGCGCGCGTGTGAGCCGCGTTTGTGGGTGTGTGTGAGAAAGTGGAAAGAGCAGTGGTTTGATTATGCTTCGATTGCCCGCAATTCAGCAGCAAACCAAATTGTATTTTCACGGCAAAAAAGCTGCGCTGCGTGTGTTCTGGGCGTAATGTACTTGAAATAAGCAATAACAAAAATAGGGCCATCAATTTCGTCAGATCCAAATAAGCACACTCACACATCAGCACGAAAACACACACGCATACGCCTTGTATCGATAGCGCTACTCCCCGTTCCGATAAAGTGGAGCATATGCAGTTACGGAAAATGTATTATAATAACAAGGTAATAAGGCACTCCGCCGCCTCGTCCGCCGCTCCGCTCTCTCTCTCGCTCTGTTTCCAACTGGAGCCGTTTATGATATTTTCAAGAGACAGGTCTCGCGGACTAACCATGGTACGATTTTCTTTCCCGCTCCTCCGACATACACACACACACGCTTATCGATAGTACCCATTCGATAGTGTGATGGAGCATATGCAGTTTCTGTTCTCTTGCTTGCCGCTCCACTGTCCGCTGACATGACAGCCTGCTTCATGTAAATTGTGTAATATTTTCCCCCAACTAAAAGTATTCACCGAGTGCGCTTAATTGGGCCCGAGGCCTGCCAACGCTCTCTCCCACCCACCTGGTTGTGAAAACCGAATGGCGGGGAACGCTGTATGAGGCTGATTGCATGCAATTTGATTCAAACCGAGATCGAGTGTTCATCTCATCTGCATATTGCCCAATCGCCATCAAAATGCAGCTTTTTGTTCTCGGTTTGCGTCTTGTTTTTTTTTGTGCTATCCCCACCCACCCCCGCATTTATTTTTTGATTGTTTTATCGCTACCTACGTTGTCGCTGCCGCTGCGGCGTTATCTTATGGCGGGCGGGAGCCCCTATCCGGCCGTGGGGGCTGTGTGAAAACCGTTTTTAAATGGAACGTGGGCGGGCTGTGCAGCCATTTTATTAATAATTTCTACCTTTCTGTCCGAACTTCAGTCAGAGATCAGCCCAATCAGAATGCTTTCGCTGCAGAATCAACGGCAACCGAAAACAAGCGCCCTGGTGGACGACTATGAGATCTCGGACACGGTGCTGGGCCTGGGCATCAACGGCAAGGTGGTGCAGTGCACCAATCGGCGCACCAAACAAAACTATGCCCTCAAGGTGTTGCTGGACAATGAGAAGGCCCGGCGCGAGGTCGATCTGCATTGGCGTGTGAGCGGCTGCAAGCACATCGTCAACATCATCGATGTCTATGAGAACACGTACAGCGGCCGAAAGTGTCTGTTGGTTGTGATGGAATGCATGGAGGGCGGTGAGCTCTTCCAGCGCATCCAGGACAAGGCCGATGGGGCCTTTACGGAGCGCGAGGCGGCACAGATAATGCACGAGATCTGTGCGGCGATAGACTATCTGCATAGCCGCGATATCGCGCATCGCGATCTTAAGCCCGAGAACTTGCTCTACACCACATCCCAGCCAAATGCGATCCTGAAGCTGACAGACTTTGGCTTTGCCAAAGAGACCTTCACCAACGACACCCTCCAAACGCCCTGCTACACGCCGTACTATGTTGGTGAGTGATTGCGTGGTCCAGTTCTGTCCTGCTTAAACTATTTCCAATTCTATTTCAATTTTGGTTCAGCTCCCGAAGTGCTGGGCCCCGAGAAATACGATAAAAGCTGCGACATCTGGTCGCTGGGAGTGGTCATGTACATTATAATGTGCGGCTTTCCGCCGTTCTACAGCAACAATGGTCTGGCCATTTCGCCGGGGATGAAAAAGCGCATACGGACAGGGCAGTACGATTTTCCCGATCCGGAGTGGACGAACGTTAGCCAGTCGGCCAAAGATTTGATCAAGGGCATGCTGAATGTGGATCCCAGCAAGCGTTTGCGCATCCAGGACGTGATACGCAACAAGTGGATTGCCCAGTACAATGCCGTGCCACAAACACCGCTCTGCACTGGCCGCATGCTCAAGGAGGGTGAGGAGACCTGGCCGGAGGTACAGGAGGAAATGACCCGCTCCCTGGCCACCATGCGAGTGGATTACGATCAAGTATGTCGATCCAACTTTGAGTCTAAAAGTCTAAAACTAATGCTTCTCTCTCTGTGGCAGATGCAAATCAAGGCACTGGACAAGTCAAACAATCCGCTGCTGACAAAGCGAAGGAAAAAGATTGAGGAGATCTATGGAACAAATGCCACGGCACGGAACTAGACGAAAAAGCAAAAAAACAGCAAACAACACATACTACTACGGCCAATCCCCGAGTGAGAGTTAGGAGAGAAGTAGAATTAGAGGAAGGAGTAGGGCATGGACAGAGGCCATCAAATCAGACGATGGTTGTTTTTTTTTACCACATAAGAGGACAACGTTGCAGTACGCTACAAAAAAACACTACTGCTATAACTATCGACAGCAACAGCAAATAGCAAATAGCCACTACTACTACTACTATAACTAAAACTACTCCATGATGTTATGTTACGTTATGTTTTTTTTGTATCTTTCAATCAAGTCCATTATCTAATGTATGTATGTATAATGTATAATCCATTTCCAGGAAAACAAAACATAAAAAGGTTCTTAGGGTATATTTGTAGTCTGAGAAGAGAAAAAAAAAACATACTTAAGCAAAGTGAAAGGAGGACTGTGTAGAAAGCCAAGTGCAAGCCTAGCTAGCCACCCCAGTTTTAACTGGAAGAAATGCAAAATTTTTCGTATGCTTCAGTCGCGTTGCGTGAAATGTGCTCGTTTCCATTTTTAAACGTGTAATTTGTAATGTACTTTATTCTTATTTTGTCTTGTGTACTTTTTTGACTCTTGATTATACATATATACACACATATGTATATATATGTGTGTATGTATAAATATCAATCAATATATGTATTGTCTATGTACGAACGGTATACAAAATGCAATTTGCAAACAAAACACAAAAACGATTATAAAGGCCAGTTGACGTTCAAGTTAGCCCCCCTGCTGCCTGCAAATTTCCGTGTTGGTTGGTTGGTTGGTTGTCATTTCATTTGCTGACTCTGCAAGCGATATACCATTTTACCGTATAGCGTATTTTGTAGTTTATAAACAAAAAAACAAAACAAACAAACAAAAAAATCATTAAAAAGCTTATTTTACTATGATTAAAATCAAAAACTATATACACGAAAACGAATTGTTTTTTATAAACGAAAAAAGGATCGGTCAGCCGGGCCACCCTTTGGAGCAGGGATACGTCGATCAGAGCGAGATGAAAGACGAATCCCAGCCATGGCAAAGTGCGATTGATCGGAATGTAAGACCAGAGATAACAAAAACGAAGTCAGTCCCGTCACAGTTTATTAAAAGAACATTAGTTCAAGTAGAACCGACAAGTATTAGGTGACAGACAGAGGGTCGCTTCTAGCAGCTGGCCTGGGAATCTGGCAAACATTGGCCAATGCCTGTTCCACATTGTGGCAGATATAGTATGATATGTAGCTTATAAATTCTGATTGTCTGATTTATAAACATATCATAATCCAGCGATTATTTAGTTATGCACCAAGGAAATTTTATGGCCCACCGCAGCCTGGGAGTCCCAATAAAAGCTCTGTTGAAAATTAGTTTCCATTCTAAGTATTTGTGGGTTTTTCTTTATTGATGGTTTAACAGTGCAACCTAGATAATATATAAACACATATGTATGTATGTACATATCTATTGTACGTGCGGTCACAATCGTACATGTCATCAACTATGTGCGGTTGTGTTGGGGGATTGAGCTGGTGGTGGGGGTGAGTAAGCTATCCAGTGATCCATGGGCTTATAAATATTTATAAGATGGGGTATTCCCGCTCTTTGAGTCGCATATTGCTTTTGCCACTACCTAACCTTGGTGTAACCTTGACTTACATGAAGCGACAGAAAAAGTGGTAGATTGGTTGAATTTTGGTGGTAGAGGGGAGCTGATAACTATGGATGGGCATTCCGGACAAAAAGATTTCATGCAACCTGCAGTACGGATTCGATTCCACTTTGAAGCAAACGAAATATTAGATTAATTGGAAGACCGTCGTCATCTTAGCAGGCAATTTTAAACGAACACATTTGCTGGTTTTTTTTTCACATATTGTGACTTCAATAGAGAGTAAATGGCATTTTGCATGCGTGTAATGCTTATATTTATGTAGCATAATCGTACCACATTTTTAAAGCATTTAAGCGTTTTATAACAAATATAATCGCATGGATTAAGGTTTCTTCGTTTATTCAAAAATTCATTAACAGAGCCGTTGGATCAAGGTGCCTGCAAATCTCCTCCAGGAATACCCTTATTAATTTCGCCGCAGCATTGCAGTCGCTGTGTGTTCGTGAGTATGTGTGTGTGTGTGTGTGTATGGTGCATTCAATTCTAGTTCGAATTTCGAACCAACGGCTTAACTTTAACGGTATCTGGCTACGACTACTACAATAGTTAACAATCGACATGCACACACACATGTGCATGTATGTATGTACTTGAATAGCTATTCTAACGGTTTCTCTTCCAATCAAATCGAACATACTCATCTTACCCATCCGACACTTTCTCCTTGTTCGCTTTTGTTCCATTTTAATTGTTTGTTTTATCGTTTTTCAATTTCTTTTCGTTTTTTGTGTTTTGTTTTTTTCTTGATTGCGCTTATCAATTTACAAAAAAATGTGTGGAAGAACAACGTCCGCTTAGAAAAATACATTTGGTTTTTCCCCCTGGTTCCCCTTTTGTGTTGTGTTGTGATTTCTTCTGTAACTATTTTTTGTTTGACTTTTTTTTTTTTTTTAGTGTTAGTTTTTGTGTTTGTGTATTTCTGATTCTGTTCTAGCCTTAATTTTAGTTTTAATGGCAGATAAACGAGATTCGCCGTAGTTCTCGGTTCCTCCCATCTAATAGTTGAACATTAAATTCCTGCATTCGGTTCCCGTGTGCCTGGTTGTCCTCTTATTAACATCAATTAATTATCCATCCATCCTTCCTTTTCATTCACTTCTTCTTCTTCTTCGTCGTTCTTTGCAAGCTTGATTATTGGTTTCCGTCTCTAATTCCTATTTCCTCTTTAGTTATAGTTTTGTAAACTGAAGGTACATTTTCCACCAATGGCGAGGCGAGGCGCGGTGCGCCAGTTCCGCCTTCCGTCGAGACTCAATCTCGGGTACTCGGGTTCTCCCTTAAAGGAAGCTGTCGCAACTGTTCTCCGCCTCGCTATTCGAGCAGTCCATGGCCGGCAAGGATCCGCCACGGCGATACGCTACCTGCCGCTTCTCCGGTTGGCTTCTCTGGCTACTTGTGCTGGCAGGGCATCCGCTCCCGCTGCCGCTGGCACCAGCCAGACCTCCGCTCAAATAACTACCGCGGCGGTTGGATGTGGATGGCGCGTCGGGCTGCGCAATGGCATTGAGACGGGGAAAATATTTGTATAGCTCCAGCAGTTGATTGAGCTTGTGGTGCGGCTTGTACTCGACATCGTCCAGGGACTGGGCCGCCGAGCTGCTGCTGCTCAGCGGCGTCCAAAAGGTGAGGCCGAGCTGGGCCAGATGACCTCCCTGGATTATGGAAATGCAAATGGAGCACTCGTTAGTATTCAGTGTGAATAGCCCTTATGGCAAATACCCACCTTGATGTCCGTCTCCAGCTTGTCGCCGATCATGGCGCACTCGTGCGGCTTGACATTGAGGAAATTGCAGGCCGCATAGAAGATCTCCGGATGGGGCTTCTCCCAGGGCAGATCCGAGGAGACCAGCACGCAGTCAAAGTAGCCGCGCACATTCAGGCGGGCCACCTTCTCCCACTGGGCATTTGAGGGCCCGTTCGTGATGAGGGCCAGGGCATAGCCGGCCCGACGCATTCGCGTCAGCAGCTGCACATAGTCCGCCGGCACGGCCAGGTAGCGGTATCGCAACCGTAGCCACTGTGGATAGATCTCATCGGCGAGGTGCTTGTACTTGGGCAGCAGCGACTCCCGCCACAGGTGGGTGCGCCATGAGTCCAGCGAGGTCTGCGTGTTGTCCGGACAGCGGCGGAAGGATTTCAAAAAGGTCTGAGTGGCCAGCAAGGCGTCATCTTTGGTGAAATGGTACTGCGACTCAAGTAGATCTGAGAGCTGTAAATAAAACAAACACACACACACATAAATTGTTTGCTAATTACCAGAAACCAATCATTGCCGTTATCGTAATCGTAATCCGGCCGTATCAGTGCATTGATCAAACTGCAATCATTGCCCCGTCCCCACACACACATGCAAATGCACTCGTACACAAGCACACACACACAAACACACACATGAGCGCGTGCATGCACACAGTTGCACACTTGAACAAACGAATCTTTTTTTGTTGGGTTCGTTCGCGCGTGCGAACGCATCCGTCCGGGTCGGGTCGGGTGGGGTGCTTCGACGACGTAACAGCCAGCGCCACTCAGCAGTGGAAAATTTTCTAGACGCTGCCTCACAGCGCGCGCACCAAAATCGGGCGGGCGGGTGTGTGGTTGTGCGTTCGGTTGGCTTGGCCCTTCCCCAATTCAGATCCCAACAATATTCACCTTGCGTATAGCCTTGGAGTCACCGGCTCTGGTCGGGATCAGAGTATTGTCCAGGTCAAAATAGAAGGCAGAGATCTTCGCACATTTCGACTCAAAAAGTGTGGTCTGCTTGGAGGAGAGTTTACTAGCTGCCATGGGGGCCTCGCACAAACTCGGAAGCTGTTTGTACGGTGGTCAACGGGAAAAAAAAAATCAAATCAAATGGGAACTGGGAATTATTCGAAGTGTTCGAAAATCGCGCGCAAAACAGGCCCTGGTTATTGTTGTTGCAATTCGGTTTGCTCAAAAGTTGGACGCGGCAACTAAATTTAACAAAAAACTTTGGACTAAAGTTAAAAAGGGGGAACAGGTGAGTGTAGCGAGAGCGAAGCTATGACTGAAAGAAAGTGCTCTCGGGCCATCGCGGTATCGCGGCGCGCGGCTTGACAGTTAGCGGTGAAAGTATGTGCACAGTGAGCACAATTCACGTATTTCCATTGACCCAGAACTAGGGCAGCAGACAGAGGCGTGTCGCCCAGGCACATACCATCGTTACTCAGTATTGTGTGCTTGAGCTGGTTGAAACGGATTTGATAACTACAACTGTCCTAACATTTACACAGCCAACATGTGCTTTTGGGGGCCCTTTTGTGCGTTGAATTCTGTACGACACTGTGCGTGTGCCAGTGTGCGCGAACGGTGCGAAATTATATCAGAGCAGTGGCAGAGTTCGCTCTCATGCCAGCCATGAGTCAGAGCGAGCGCACAATACATGGAGAGGGGGTGGGTTTTTCCAGCTGCCTGAAAGAATTTAAAAATCATGCGCAATAATCAACAAACTTGTTTTCGCTTTATTTCAGGCGGCAAAACAAAATTTCTTTGTTGGCTAAAAATACATTTCATTAGCATTTTGAAGACTTACAACACTGCCCAGAGATATTCATATAGATGTATCTTTTACGATAGTTCCGCCTTAGCTATTCAGAATGTGCCAGCCCTAAGCTCTGCCCACTTTGTCATCCCTAGGACGCCAGCCCGACGCAATAGTTGTTTTTATCCGTAAAAGTTGCTGCTGCTCTAAAATGAGCATCAAAACAGAGTTAAACAATTCGGATCTGAACATAGAACTGCTGGCTCCAGGTTGGTAATAGCTGACCCAACCAAATACCTAACTGATGATCTATGCATTTTGATCCTAGAAACCATACTAAAAACTGATGACGACAATGCAGTGTCGGGGCGCATTTTAACACAGCAGCAGCAACAGAAAAAGGTTACGGTGGATCCAGTCGACTCCCCATGCAAAGCGGACGAGCTCATGTCGCTGGAAACGCTCCGCGAATCGCCGGTACAATGGCCCGAGAGATGTAAGTAGTTAAAGGTGAATTTCGCTTGCTACCTTTTCTTACGTGCCCTTCTCGTGCGTACATAGTTCCTGGCATGGATGAATTCCTCACAATGTGCGACACACCTATGTACTCACCCAGCACGGAACCACCGAGCACCCTGACCGCCGAGGACATGGCAAAGATAAACCGTGAGTTATTATCGCCACACAAAGTAATAAAAATAAATAAAATGGGAAAAATCTTGCACAGGTCTGTCCAAGATGACGCCCGATGAATTGATAGCGAAGATCAAGAGCATGCATGATGAAATCTACCAACTGGGCCTAATGGAGGCCAAGGAGATGTCCCGTGGCAAGCTGTTGGAAATCTTCGATTGTAATCGTAATCCCAAGCGTCACATCTGACCCAAATTACGCCATTTCAGAGGCGTATGGGATGGGACCACCCTCCGACCATTTCCTGGTGCCCATCCAAAGAATCCTTAGTTTTGTTAATATACACCACATGCGCACCCTATACTATTGCACGCCCTACCCACAACCTAACGGCAATATATATTTATATTTATATTGTTAATTTTTGATAATAATAATAATTGCCTGCATAAAATATGCACGCCGCGACAAACCAAGAGAATGTTAGCTATAAGAATTGTACATTGAATACACATTTTTAATACACAGAGACAAGACCAGATTTGATTTGATTTGCAACAGTAACGTTTATGTTTATTAAATCATTGATTACAATAGACAACTACCAGATATGATATCCAGAGGGTGTGTTGTGCTTTCCCAATCGCAAGGAGGTGTGGATACGCCAGGGGTGTGGTAGAGTAGTGGGAGAAGGCACAGTTCTGATATAAATTCCACTATGCATATAGACTATATATTATTAACGCAACAATCCAACCACTATGTGGTGTGTGTGTATGATACTTTGATCCTATCTTCCATTTGACTACAAATACTATAAGTGGAGGTGGCGGCCCCTAAGGCTAATCTACTCCTGCCACTGCATCCCAAAACGCTGCTCAAATGTGATCCGATTGTAGACACCGGCATCGGCCAGCTGCATGGGATCCGTGTAGTAGGCAAACCGTCGGATATCCATCATGGCCACATCGAACATCTGCTTCCAGCTGGTCAGATCCGTCACACTCATGTGTATGGGCAGCTGCGGATCGGGTATATCGATGGCCGCCTGCAGGCGATCGAATGCCTCGGCAATGGGCCCCACCGACAGATTCACCCAGTATTCGCCCGGAAAGCGTTTATTCTCACAGAACGGCGCCCCCTTGCGCATGATGAACACCAGCATGAGTATCTCGTAGCGTTCGGAGTTCTCGTAGAAGCGCTTGGTGCGTGTCTTCTCCACAAAGTCGATCAGTAGAATCAGTGGCGTATAGTTCTGCAAATGCATCAGCAGCTCCCGGTCTGTCCACAAATAACGTCCGCCCTTGACACTCAGCAGGCTCATATTTCCGGAAAGCTGATGATGTGGCTGCTGCTGTTGTTGTTGCTGTTGCTGCTGTTGCTGATGATGAAGCTGCTGCTGTTGTTGGTGGTGGTGCTGCTGTTGTTGCTGATGATGATGTTGCTGCTGTTGTTGCTGTTGATGCTGATGCTGCTGATGCGGCTGATGATGTATGCCACCAGTGGAGGTGACCACTGTGGTGGATGCTACAACACCTGTGTTTCCAGTATTTGATACGCTTGGGCTGGGCATAGCGACGACAATGCCGATGCTGTTGCCAGTCTGTCTCAGGCAGCCGACCTCCTCGACCATGTGCGATGACGGCAAATGCAATTAAGCCAAGTGGCCTGTACTACTGCTGCTGCTGCTGCTGTTGCCAAAGCTAATGTGGATCCACTGCTGTCGCTGTGCTCTCTCTCTTTCGAACCAGGCCAAGGTCAGAGCGAGTGGGTGCTGGGTAGTAGAGGGTGAGGGAGAGAGGAAGGAGTGCCACGTAGCAACCGTGCGTCGCGTTACTTGTTGCAACCAAAAACCACCCACTACTAACTGCCTGGTACTTTCAATTAATGCCGCACACGGAAACTTTCAATCAAAGTGGTTGAAAAAAAACTGCTGCTAAAGTGCTGCATGGATGGCGGATGGATAGCCTACGGCAATGAGTGGCCTGCACCTTTGGGCCTCTGGGCCAACCCAAATTCAATTATATTCCACCAGCAATTCTGTACTAGTGCCTACTGGTCCTGGTCTGTCCCTGACGATTGTTTCGACGCAAATGCGTCTCTGCTGCTGCTGCTGCTGCTGCACAGCCATGGACTCGACTCGACTCGGAATCAACTCGGTTTCGGCATCGGTTTCGCTGTCTTGCTTGGTCTTTCTTCCTCGCTCGCTCTGCCTGGCCTGGCCTGCCCTGGCCTGGCCTGACAGTGCGATGCGCGTTGCCTCATTCTCTTTGGGTACTGCACTTTACTGTTAGTTGTGGGGGTGGGGGGCCTGCCAACTTGTCTGAATACGGGTTTAAATTCAAAAAAATCTTCAACAAACTTTACAGTTTTTCTGTTTATCAATGTTTATATTGTTTAAGAGTCAATCAATTAATTAATAATTATATGTAGAATTAGTAACCCATTTTGCACACAGCAGCAATGGCATTTTACTGCTGTTAAAGCGCACTGCCAACTTATGTTTTGCTTACAAAATTATTGGAAATTTATATTTAATATTAGATCATTTGCTTGTTTTTTTTTGCTGGGGTTTCGAATGACTCTGAATGAAGTGAATTTAGGTAGTGTATATAAATGGTATACAGGCATTTGAACTTGTGTATAGGTGGGAGAGACAAACATATGTACTATCTGGGTAAATGCTATTTAAATGTATACAAATTTTAAATAATTATGAAGTAATTTATAAATTATGCCCATATATTGTAAAATTCACAAGTTATGGGAACAAAAAATGTAACAAAAAAAAAACGAGCATTATAATTAATTCTGAGAAACAATTGGTTAAATTTTAAATGTATAAACATCGAAATAAATTCTAATGCACGCCTGAAATATTTTGTTATGCCTTAAACATTGCATCAATCACAAAGATGTAGAAATAAACTGGCCCTTATAATATTATTCATTTATATAAAATGATTTACAATCAGAATGTTGAACAGCATGAAATCAAAGCTTCCCTCAAATATAACTAAAAGGAATGTCCTTTTGTAGTTATAGTACAAGTTGTGTATAAAGATTTGTATTTTTATTCTAGCCATTCATTTTTTTTCCAACTTTCGCTGCCATTATAAAGATAAGAATCTTTCTATCTTTCGATTAGGGCCAAGCTTCAAAAGACCCAAGTGATGTGGCAGTCATCTTGGAAATATACTAAATGGAAGGCAAGTCCAATCTTCATAATGGCAGTCGTCAGTCAGTTAAAAATTGTCTTTTTCCTAAACGAAATATAATTTTTTAATTAACAAAAAAAAAAGACAGCAACAAAAACTAAATTACAAGATATAAAGGTCCCCTGCCCCCGCCGCTCTTTGAACACACAATTTTGAATACTGAATCGAAGGATTCATTCATTTGGACATGGATTGTTAGGCTAAATTGAGGTTGGCGAGTCGCACATCGAACTCGGCCTTGTGCTCGTTCCTCAGAAAACGACGCATGCCCAGGAGAAGGTAACGCATTTTGGGTGCCGACAGAATCTCCAGGAGCACAGCCATCAGGGCCTCGAAATTCTCGTCGGTGCCGTTTTTGTATTCAATCAGCACTTTGCCAAAATCCCGAAATTGATCTTGATTGACGACACTCCGTAGCTAAAAGGTGGGGGGAAGCAGATCAAAGCGATGGTTAGCTCTAGGCATGGCGGGGGATATTTTTTTGATTGTGATTACCTCGCGCAGAAAGTCTGCCCGCGATACGGGCGCCACCTTCGCCTGACTCTGACTGCTGGGCTCCGTTTTGATATTTTCCACCAATTTGTAGCGCTTTTTAGTGGCTTGTGTGGCGACTGAATCGTTGGCGCTGGGTGAGCTGCGCTCCCTTTTATGGATCTTCACGAGACCACTGCCGTTGCCGCTGCTGCTGCTGCTGCCATTCTCACTGCAGTTGAAGTCTATGCTCTGAAAGAAACACACACAAAAAAGCAATGCTCAAAGCTATGCCTTATGCCGCATGGAAGAGGAACAGGAGCAAATGCTTACCGAGACATTCGAGTCCAGGCGACTCATAAAATCCATGGCATTGGGTGCTGCATGGCCCAGGGTACGACCCGCGGCGCTGGCATAGTCTGCCGGTGTCCACGAATTGATAGAGTTGGCCATCTCCACCTTTCTGCATTGGGACAAGCAAAACAATCGTTAGATGTGGCTGTGGCTGTGCTTCCACGCCTTCAGCGTGTGACACCACTTACATGGCCGTTTCGTTGGCCTTGCGGAATGTGGCATTGTTTCCTGGATCTCGTTTGATTGTCGGTATGACAGGCAGCGGCTCATCCTCCTCCACTTTGCAGACGTTCATCAGTGGCTGTTCCTCCTCCCGCACATCCGGCTGCTTCATCTGCAGATGCATCAAGTGGGGGTTAAGGCTGGTTGGACCAGTACAAACAAACCTCAAGACTCACCGTTTGCTCGGCATTCTTGAAAAACTGCCGCAGCTCGCGCACAATGGGACCAAACGGCGAGCTCTGCGGCCGCGCACCCAGATGGCCGCGTATCCATTTGGATAGCTGCTGGACCTGGGATGCGTCCTGGAAACGCGAGTCGCACAGCAGAATGGCACCGTAGTCGTTCCGATGCCGAATGACGCGACCAATTGCCTGATTGACGGCTCGCGTGGCATCCAAGTTGTACCATTCCTGGCCGCTGAGCAGCTGGTTCTCCTTGGTGCGATTCGCCTCCAGGTACCGCCGTTTCAGTATCACCTTGGGGTCCTTAAGCGGGGGAAAGGGCAGCCCAGTGATGATGACGGCCCGTCCATTGCGATCGGCAAAGTCCAGGCCCTCGGACACTTTGCCCCGACAGACGGCCATGAAAACGGCACCCTTGGAGTCGCGTATCGCCTGATAGAACTCCTCCATGGTGCTGGTGAACTGATCCTTGCCGCGTGGCTCCAGGAAAATGGGCTTCTTGCACGAGATGTCCGCCCACAGGCCGCTGGCTTGCCATGCGTCCACGCATTTGTTCAGCATCGGATAGGAGGGAAAGAACACCAGCAGTCCGTCCGGCACGATGCGCGACACATTCAGAATAGTCTGGCCCAGCGAGCTAATGTACTTGGGATTGTCCCTGGCAGATCAAATAGTTCAGATTAAGTGCCGGGTATGCCATTGAAGTATGCTTACCGATTCTTAAAATTGGATATCAACTGCTGTCGGTCCGGGCCAGTGCCAATGATTTTCACATAGACCTGCGACTGGTCGACTATGTGGGGATTCTCCAGATGCTGGGCCACCGGTATGGCCAGCTCGGCGATCAACGGTTTTAGGGGTGCCAGCGTGCCGCTGGTTAGGATGACGCTGCGCACCTGGGTGTTGAGCAGCTGCTCCATGCCAAAGCCGGGATTGAAGCACCAGAAATTGACTATCTTCGCCGCCTTGTTGCTGACGCCCGTCGTCGTGATGTTGCCCTTGCTTAGCCAGCCCTGCTGGGGCTTGCCCTGGGGCGCTGCGCCACCCTTGCCCTGCTGCTTGTTGGCCTCCTCCACCTGCACGTGCACCTTGAAGCTGAGATGGACCTTGCTCATGATGCTCTCCTTGTTGGCGAACACAATGGTCAGCAGATCGCTGAGCATCAAGAAGGTGCCACCCTTGCGGATGGTCATGTGCTGCGAGGCGACCATCAGATACTGCACCAGCTTGTCCAGCAGCGCCACAATGGTGGCGCAGTTGCCGTACGTGAACTGTAAGGGATCAAAAAAAGGTGAATAATGATTGGGGGAAATAATTTTCATGGGATCGTTTGGGACTTACGTTCGCCTTGCCGAGCAGCTCGTACATCAGGGAGGCGGGATAGGTGGTGCCATCCGTGGGATTATCGACCACCACTGCATCGATGGCCTTCTCCAGCTCGAGGAGCATCTCCTTGAGCAGCGTGAGATCGTCCAGGGTAAAGTCTTTGGGTTCATCGCCGCCAGCGTCCTGCGATTCGCCGCTGGTGAAGACCTTCATGATGTGCGTGACATCCTCGATGGCCATGGCCACATCGGAGGAGCGTATCTGCACCGAGGCGGACTCCTCGCAGATCTTCTCGATGTTGTGCGCCTCGTCCAGGATTACGATCGTATTCCCCAGCTCAATCTTGTTGGCCTTGCGCGCCTTCGGGTCCAGCAGATAGTTGTACGGCATAAACGTGATGTCCGCCTGGGCGACCAGCTCCTTGGAGGCAAAGTAGGGGCACATCTTTAGCTTCTGGCCGACCCTCACCAGATCCTCGATATCCATGATGCTGGGCCCACGGAAGTCCGGATGGTCCTTCTTCGACTCGACGCGCAGCTGGAAGGAGCAGGTTTTCGAGTGGACGCGCAGCTTGCAGAGGTTCACCTTGTTGGAGTTGCCCTGCTCCTTCATCACCTCCGGGTGGATGCACAGCTGGTCCCGCGAGCCCAGCACCACCGACCGCATGTTCGCGTAGGCGGTCCGCTTTAGCTCGCGCATGGCCTGGCTCAGCTGGGAGTGGGTGCGCGAGGCGTAGATCACCTTCGGTACGCCCCAATTGTTCGCCTTGCCCACGGTCATGGCCAGCTCGCTAAGATCTCCGCCCGGACCGGATCCACCTTCCTTGCTGGTCGCCTTCAGCTTAATCATCTGCTGCTGGTGCTCCGACTGTCGCGTGCGTATCCAGGCCAGGGAGGCGCAGAGCAGACTCAGCGTCTTGCCGGTGCCCGTTGGCGACTCGAGGACGCCGTTTGTGCCATCCCGCAGGCAAATGATCACCTTCTCCATATAGGCACGCTGCACATCGTACGGCTCGAAGGGAAAATGCACCGGTATGCCGGCAATCACACTCTCCGGCATTTTGTCTGCGCTCTGTTTGGTGTTGTTCCGTGATTATATGCCCCCGAGGTTTTTCGCGCGCCAAAGCGGCGAGCAAATGTGTTTCGATAGGCCACCAAACAGCTGTTTGCCAGACTCGGAATATGGTAGGTGGGAAGGCGTACTGCGGAAATAAACAAACAGAACTGCTCCAGGACGCAATTAATACGACAGTTTCACTATTTTTGTTGCATATTAACGCGTTTTGTTTGCTGTTTGCGTATTAGTTGATGGCAATCGGGGCAGAGACAGCTCTGATAGATGCTGGTGCTCTGGCAGCCCAGTCAGCTGCTCGAGAATCGATAAACATCAACAATCGCGGAGGCTCATTCAGTTTTTACCGTTTGAACGGCGAGGTTGTATGGCGCTGGAGCAGCACAAGAGGAAGACGCAGGAAAGAGTGTACGGCAAGGCAACGGCAAACGGAGACGACGACGACGCAACAACAGTGACGACGGGCGAACGCTGACGAGGCGCTAGTGTATGTGTGCCTGCGCGCCTGTGTGTGTGGCGGCTGTGTGCGTGAGCGAGCGAGCGAAATACCACAAGTAAACATACATATATATGTACATGCATATATGAAAACATATCTACACTGAGAGAACCCCCCACCCCCCCGCCTTGTTGTTGTTGGTCGTGAGGTGTCGGGTCGGCCGTCGGTCGGCCGGTTTGTCGGGTCGACGCGTCTGTTATTCTGACCGTTTGTCATTCTCGCCATGCACCTTAAACAGAGCCACATACACGTATTTGTGCTGTGCTCTCGCCGCTCTGGCTAAGAGACGTCTCTCTCTCTCTCTCACTCTATTTGTGTGCGTCCCAATGCCTGCCTGTGCCTGTGCCTCGGAGTCTCTGTGTGTGTTCGCGGTGGTGATAAATTTTTGTTGGCACAAAGTAAAAATATAACAGAATAAAAAATCGTGGCGCGGGATAGAAGCTAATCGAAATTATTGCAAGTATTGGATGAGCCGCTCTGCATTGTATTCCTAATTTATATATTTTTTTTTATTGTTGCTGTATTTTGTTTGTATTTATTACCGTCGTCCGTCTTGGAGCAGCGTTTTGTTTGCCTTAATTGCCATCAGCATCGCATCGCAAGAGGCAGCAGTGTGCTGTGCTGTTTAAAACTCTCACTTGAGAGGAGAGGAGTACTTGTGCCAGTTGAAGCTGTACTCGTGTATGTGTGTGTTGTGTGTCTGCCCCAACGTAAGCTTGTCCATTCCGCGGTTAGGACTCGTGTTTGACCACCAGAATATAGCTGAGAATCCTGCATGATCCTAAATTCCACAACTGTGTTAATTTGCGGTGCTGCCATGAAGGCCAACATTTACCCGTTACCGTTACAGTGGGCAGTGTGTGTTGTGTGAAGTGACAATTGAAATTCAAAAGCCTTGGCGCTATTTGGAATCGAAAATATGGGAATAGCAACGCTGCGGCTTGCCGATGACCGATGACGATATGAGCGCCTGGTCTGCCGATGCTGCACACTAATCAGCATTATCACATGCAAATTAAGGTCATCCAACTGTGTGCGTTTGTCAAACGAAAAGTGACCGACACACAGCCCCCCACGCTGCTGCAGATGCGATGCCCCCACCGCCCAAGTGCCTTCGACCCCAGAGGAATAGCTCTCGGCTCGGAAAGTGTGTTTATCGCCAGCTTCTGCTGCACTGGCAACCCTGCTGATTAAGTGAATTCCAACCAGTGCCGCACATAGTATAACCCCCCCATCTACGACACTTCCAGTGAGGCTAGATTAATTAACGAAAAATACTCGTGGATTTGAAGTGGAATCTTTTGTGTTGTTGTTGACTGTTTTGTCTCCTACTGCCGCATAACAATAGTCGCCCATATTCCTGCACCACCACCAGTCCCGTCTCGTCCCTCCCCAGCCCCATGGAGTGTACGGTACGGTACGGTACGGGTGGCAATGACACTGGCGCCGGGTTGCCAGACACGCGCAACTGTGCTAATATTTGAACAAGTGTGATTTAGTGAATTAAAAAATAGTTGTGCATGGCTGATGGCTGGAAGTCCTTAAGATATTTGCGCTTTGCGTGGTCGCGTCCGTCCGTCTGTTTGTCCTGTCTCGCTGCGCTGAGTGTCTGGCAACGCCATAGTGACGTTCGAGTGCCGAGTATAGTATTTATGTTCATGGTGTGTGTTTGCGCTCTTATTCAAATAGAAATGGAATGTTTTGCACTCGAATTCAGTCAATTAGACGCTCGACTTTGTGAGTGCTTTGTTATTTTGTACCAAATTCGAATAGCCAACAGCCAAGCCGAGAGAGCAAAAGAGAGCGCAATGCTCGATTCCGCGTGAGCAGGCGAGAAAACGAGAAAGGCGAGAGAAAACCCAATCAGAGCTCCAGTCCTCAAAACATCGTAGTTTTGATTCCGATTTTTTGGAATAAATTGATTTCAAACTGCCGATTTTAGCTCATTAGAAATGTTCCCATCTTCTCTGCTGGTCGGCAAATAATGTTTACCATTTAAAGTTGGTTTGGTAAATATTTCAATACAAAATATCATATCCCACATCTGATCCCAAAATAACACCAATCACAACGAAGACAAAAGGAGCGGGAGCGGTGGCAGCGGACAAGCCAGTCGTAGGTATTGATAAGAGATGGAAGGAGTTTGCGAACCGAACCGCTCGCAAAATAAACGTGAAAAATAGGTTAAACGTATGCTAGAGCTTCTTACGATCGTTACGTTCTGCGCGCTCGCTCCCGGCTTTGATTATTTTTTTTCCTGTTGCATCTCTTTATCACTGCTCATCCTGTGCACTTCCACCCCCCACCCCTTTCTCCCTCTCGCCACACACACACACACGAACGCACGCATGCTGGCAGAGATGCGTGTAGTAATCGTGTGCGTTGTGGCGTCGACGGCGGCTCGATCGTGAGAGCACGAAATTGTGTAATCGATTGGGGATTACCTCACCGCTCACCGTTGTGTTGTGTTGTCGTAATGCTCTCGATTGATGACCGCAATAGGCTTTCGAGAACATTTGGATCACAGCCCTCCCATCTCCAATCAAAAAATCATTCAATCATTCGAACTAGATAAGCTTTTCCATCACGAGATTTCCCCGCCTACCTGAGTCACGCGATCATCTCTAGTCAGGGAACGCCAACAGAGCGTAGTAGCGTCCGCCGTCGAGTGGAATGACTTGGTAGTGGGGCATCATGCAAAGCAGAGCAGTGCAGCGCCAGGCGGTCGCAATGGATGTGAGTGAGTGGGAATGAGTGAAGTGAAGTGAAGTGGAGACCAACCGAAACCCCCCCTCCAAGCCCCACAACTGAGGCTGAGCATGCGACGGTGGCATTTGAATTTGTGTCAAACCATTTTCATCCCCCCGCCAAATAGTACCACCCTCCCATAACCAAAACACGAGCAGAGAGGGTTTGCAAGGGTTTTTGGTTTGCCAATAAGCAACTTGATTTTGAAGCTAATTAGCACATACTATGTACATATGTACGTATATATCTTTGTTTGTACAAATTGTGCGTGTGTCCGTGTTTTGGCATTGTTTTAGTGATTATAATGATTACGAGAGTGCGATGTGCGATATGCGATACAAGAGTGCATGAGTCCGACACAGAAACGAGTCTGATGTGTTCCAGTTTCCATATTTCTTCCGATTCCATTATGTTCCACGCAAGAAACGGAACATTCTATTTATCTCAAGGTGTGTGTGTGGGCGGGTCACAGCTGGCGGCTTAGTGCGTATGCGCAACATCATGAAATTTGTGCAGCATTAAGCATATTTTCGTTAATATATTTATTCCCTATCCGTTTCATTCAATGCAGTTCATCGTTGTTTAGCCAGTCCAAATGTCAGCTGTTTCGCGCAACATGTACCATAAAAGCAGCACAGCCAAACGCAGAAAAAGAGCCAATCGATCAAGCCCAGGACAGAAGAAGCAACACCAACAGCCACTGCAGCATCAGAAGCAGCAGCAGCAGCATAAGCAGAGAGTAGAAGAAGAAGCGTAACCACGCTGAGAGGAGAACAGCAGCAGAAGCAAGAGAAGGATAGAAAATAGAGAGTGAAATTACGGTAAGTAACGCCTTTTCTCTCTCTCCGTTTTGGAAAGCCGAGTCCTAACTCTGTGTCTTTTTTATCCTTTCTTGTAGAGAGATTCGCGAAGAAAGATCAAAGAGAATTAAGTTCAAGAAAGGACAAAATCAAAATCAAAATACGCCATGACAATCATACTCTTCCTGGTGGACACCTCGTCGTCCATGTGCCAGAAGGCGTATGTGAATGGTGTGCAAAAAACTTATCTGGACATTGCCAAGGGGGCGGTGGAGACGTTCCTTAAGTATCGGCAGCGCACACAGGATTGCCTCGGCGATCGCTACATGCTGCTGACCTTCGAGGAGCCGCCGGCCAATGTGAAGGCCGGCTGGAAGGAGAACCATGCCACATTTATGAACGAACTGAAGAACCTACAGAGCCACGGCCTCACCTCGATGGGTGAATCGCTGCGGAACGCTTTCGATCTGCTCAACCTGAACCGCATGCAGTCGGGCATCGATACGTACGGGCAGGGCAGGTGCCCCTTTTACCTCGAGCCCTCGGTGATCATTGTGATCACGGACGGGGGCCGCTACTCCTACCGCAACGGTGTGCATCAGGAGATCATACTGCCGCTGAGCAATCAAATACCCGGCACAAAGTTTACCAAGGAGCCCTTCCGATGGGACCAGCGCCTATTCTCGCTGGTCCTGCGCATGCCCGGCAACAAGATCGACGAACGTGTCGATGGCAAGGTGCCGCACGACGACTCTCCCATCGAGAGGATGTGCGAGGTGACCGGCGGCCGCTCATACCGCGTCCGCAGTCACTATGTGCTCAATCAAGTGCATCGAGAGCCTCGTTCAGAAGGTGCAACCGGGCGTGGTGCTGCAGTTTGAGCCGCTACTGCCCAAGGATAGTGCCAGCGGCAGCAGCAGCAGTGGGACGAACGCCGGCGCAGGTGGTGGCGGCGGCGGCTCCGCGACACAGCAATCGTCCTCATCGTCATCCTCCTCGTCCTTGTCGGAGCCCACACCGGACATTGTCTTCCAGCCAATCAAGAAGATGATCTACGTGCAGAAGCACATCACACAGAAGACCTTTCCCATTGGCTACTGGCCGCTGCCGGAGCCCTATTGGCCGGACTCGAAGGCCATCACACTGCCGCCCCGCGATGCCCATCCCAAGCTGAAGATCATGACGCCGGCGGTGGATGAGCCGCAGCTGGTGCGCAGCTTTCCGGTGGACAAGTACGAGATCGAGGGCTGCCCCCTGACGCTGCAGATCCTCAACAAGCGGGAGATGAACAAGTGCTGGCAGGTGATCGTCACCAATGGTATGCACGGCTTTGAGCTGCCATTCGGGTACCTGAAGGCGTCGCCCACCTTCTCGCAGGTGCATCTGTATGTGCTCGCCTACAACTATCCGGCGCTGTTGCCCCTGCTGCACGACCTCATCCACAAGTACAACATGAGTCCGCCCAACGATCTCATGTACAAATTCAATGCCTATGTGCGCTCCATACCGCCGTACTACTGCCCCTTCCTGCGCAAGGCGCTGGTTAACATCAATGTGCCGTACCAGCTGCTGCAGTTCCTGCTGCCGGAGAATGTCGACAACTATCTGTCGCCGACCATAGCCAATCAGCTGAAGCACATCAAGAACACCGCCAAGCAGGACCAGGAGAACCTCTGCATGAAGGTCTACAAGCAGCTGAAGCAGGCCAAGCCCCCCTATCGCCAGGTGGAGACGGCCAAACTCTGCACGGGCATGGCCCTGCGTCGAGATCTTGTGCGACATCCGCTGCTGCGGGACACGTTCGCCAAGCTGCATGCGGAGATCGAGCCGGTGGAGAATTACACGATTGTGGTGCCACAGCTGACGCATCAGGCATCGGCCAAGACGTATCGCAATCCGTTTGATATACCCCGGCGGGATCTGGTGGAGGAGATAGCCCGCATGCGTGAGACCTTCCTACGGCCCACGCTGCTGGTGGCCAAGGACTCGGGCCACTGTCTGCCCATCTCGGAGATGGGCAACTACCAGGAGTACCTCAAGAACAAGGACAATCCGCTACGGGAGATCGAACCGACCAATGTGCGGCAGCACATGTTCGGCAATCCCTACAAGAAGGACAAGCACATGGTCATGGTGGACGAGGCGGATCTCAGCGATGTGGCGCCCATGAAGTCGCCGAATGGCAACGGTCCCGGCGGCTCACCGCCCGGCTCTTCGGGCTCTGGTTCGTCCGGCTCCTCGTCGTCCGGCACTTCATCGAGTGGTGGGCCTGGGGGTCCCGGCATGGGCGGCGGTCCCGGCGGCATGTCCGGCCTAATGCTGGGCCCCCATTCGGCCAGCGGACTCGGCAAGAAGTTGGACGGAACCTCGCGAGGACGCAAGCGGAAAGCTGGTCCCCTGCCGCGTGGCTTTGAGTTCCGTCGCGCCTCCACGGACTCGCGTTCATCCTGCTCCTCACCCCGCCCCTCGTCCCCGTCCGATAGTGCACCCAGCTCGCCGAATCCAGCGGCAACGGCGGCCTGCGACTCATCCGCGTCTACGTCAGCGACCAGCACGGGCTCTGGGTCCGGCTCGGGCTTGACGGGATCGGGTGCCAGCTCTGGGCCGGTATCCGGCGGCCGTTCCAGTCCCAGCTGCTTCGATGAGGACAGCAACAGCAGCTTCGCCAGCAGCTCCAGCAGCACGGAACCATCGAGCGACTCGGGCCTGTCGCTTTCGCACTCGGAGCGCCTGGGGGGCATTGGCTTTGACTTTAGCGAGGAGGAGACCAGCGACCAGGACACTGCCCTCAACGGCCACGTGCACAACTTCATCAATGGGATCAGCGACGAGGCCAGTGCCGCGGACACAGAGGCCCCGCCCGGGCCCGGTCCAAGCCCTGTAGCCCCGCCACCCAGCAACGTCTTGCCAGCCGCTGCCGCACCCGAACCCATTGTGACGGCCACATTTGTGCCGGTCGTGGGCACAGCAGCAGCAGCAGCTGCGCCCCAGGCAACGGCAAGCGCTACGACATCCGGAGTTGTAGTAGCATCGACCGTGGCAGCCTCTTTGGTCACGCCTCCGCCGCTGCCGGCCGTTAGCAGCACCAGCAACGGTGGCCTGGGACTGTCCGGCGGTACGGGTGGCAGTGGCGGCGACACGCCCTGCTCCTCTGCGTCGGCAAACAACTCGAGCGGAGTGCTGTACGTGCCCCTGAACGGACTGACGACCACTCACGCGGCGTACAGCAGCAACCGAGGCGGCGGCACCACATGTCCGTTGGGCTCCCACCTGAGCGGCCTGGGACCGGCGGGGAGTCACAGCCACAAGACTGGCATCTCGCTGATGTCGCTGTCCGGCGTACTGCCCATGCTCAATGGCTACACGCATCATGGTGGCACCCTGTCGCCACCCTCGCCCCTTGCTGCGGTCCCGCCAACGCCACTGGCGACTGCAACTCCAACGTCCGCCACTAGCAGCTGCACCGGTGCGGCATCGGGATCGGGATCCTCTGGCTCCAGCTACTTCACCCACAATGACATCAATGATGCCTCTGAGATCTCCAGAATACTGCAGACATGTCACAATGGGACCAGCGGCTCTTCCGGCTCCGGTTCGGGCAGCGGAGGAGGAGGCGGCAGTGGGAGTGGCGGCGGCAGCAGCAGCAGCACCCTGAATGGCAACGGCAGTCCGGAGCCAGATGTAGGAGACGATGGCGAATCCCCGTTGTCCCTGGGTATTGGAAATAGTTTTGATGCCCTGAAGCGGCTGGCAGGAGGCGGCGCTGCGAGCAGTCCCCATTTTTACTGGGGCAGCGGACTCAATCATTTTATCAACAACAACAACAATAGCGGCAGCGGAACAGCAGCCGCCACTGGGAATAACAACAGCAGCATTAGCACCAACAATCACCGGAATCACAACAACAATAGCCCCATGAAGACGGACATCAAGTCGAGTCCAAGCTGCAGCTCCTCGCCGACGCACAACAGCAACAGCAATAGCAACGGGGAGGTGAGTGCCGCAGCGCTGCCCATACTGTCGGAGGAGCAGCGGGAGGCGGCGCGTAGGCACAACATTGATCTGCGGCTAAAGATCTTTCGGGATATACGGCGGCCGGGACGCGACTACAGCCAACTGCTGGACAACCTGGGGCTGGTGAAGGGCGATCACGACATGAGGTCCGATTTCGTGGAGATGTGCATTGGGGAGTCGCGACGGTTCCGGCGGCACCGCATGGTCGGCAGTATTCAGGAGTGGTGGGACCAGTGGCAGCAGTCGCAGCCGGCCATCGATCAGCAGCAGCAGCAGCAGCTGCAGGAGCAGTCCCAGCAGCCACAGCAGCAACAGCAGGAGGCAGCCGCCGCCGCTACCAAGAGTTAACGTTGGCTCTTTTGGAACTGCTGAGCCCGAGCGGTATTCGCCTGGGCTTGGGCGTGGTCGAGGGCGTGGCCATGGCCAAGGGCGAGGCCGTGGGGCGCCATCAGTCTGTGATGTCATCAAAAGCAACAACAACAACAAAAACAACAACAAGGAGAACCGTATAAACCGTATGATAACAAATAGGAGAAAGAAACCGTAAAAACCGTACACGTAAATCTTAACTTAACAATAGCCGTAATGAATAACAGTAAAAGTATAAATTAAACAGTATAAGAGAGACACAGCGAGAGAGAGACAGAGAGAGAGAGAGCAAGTACAACGGTAAACGAAAGGCATTGAATTCTCGTCAATTTCCATTTATGTAAATAATTGCCAGAAATCCCCTCCCCCGTTGTCGGATCTTAATCCGGAGATATAGGCGAGAGCGGAACCGCAAAAAAAATTTGATGTGTATATGGGGCAATATCTCTAGTTCGTAAGGGACACTCTCTCATTCTCGAGACATATATTTCTGAGTAGGCCAGAACGTAGAGGAAGGGCAAAGGCGAACGGCAAGGTATATATTCTCTAAGAAAAAACAAAAAATTGTAATTATATCGTAACGATTTTTAGCCTAAGCCGTAGCTTGAATACTGTACAACCCTTACAATATTTTGCAGTTTTTTTTTTTTATTATTATGATTATTATACACATATACACATATATACATATATATATATAGAGGATATATTTAATATAATGTAATCCCCTGATCCAATTCGTACACCTAAGGTCCCCAAAGCAATTACTATAAATAGACTTATAACTCGATATAGTGTTTATAAGAGGAAGAAGAGAACGTGTAACATTTGTATAAGAGAGAGAGAGAGAGAGAGAGTGAGTGAGTGTGAGTGAGTGTTGTAGGGAAAAGCTTTCGCTTCTTGAGCCACAATTTTTAGCCAATTTTTTGTTGGACCACCCACCACAGCCCCCCCGTTTTGTGAATGCGTAAATGTTTGATTCGCTTTTTGTTTAAGCCAAGACGAGAAAAATATTAAGCCGATGGCAAGCCACACATACAGACACACACACCACACACACACACCACACACACACACACACAGAAATCAATATGCATATATGTATATGTTTGTATATGTATATGAATGTGTACATCCATATATATATATATAGAGTATATTGATTGTATCTATATTTATTGCCCAATTTAGGAGAGATCAGATCGGTTCAGAGTGTTTCATTAACAATGTAAACTAGTTAGCTGTATTCAAGTGTAATTTTTGGCCTTAATTTTGATCCGATTCGATTCATTTTAAAAACCACAATCTGTAATTTAATATTTTATTAAAACAGTATACCAATTTTTAAATCTGAGTAGTCTAAAATATTTACACACACACACAACACAATTATTTCCAACAAAGAAAAACAAAAAAGAACAGAAGAAAAGATAGAAACAAAGTAATTTTTGTTAAAGAAAATACACTTTTTGCACTATTTTTTTTATGATACTCGATAATTGAAAACAGAAAGTCGCCTGTGGCGTACGATTTTGACAGATCCAGGAGCAGAAAAATTAAATTTGAAAACACAATACATCATTATACACCATTTAGCTAGGCGGGGGGCAGCTCCATTTTGGCTGCTGCTCCAGGACATTAATTGTTTGGTATTTTTGAAAATTGCAAAAGCAACAAAACACAACACCCCAACAACATCAGCAGAAACAAAACTATAAACAAAAAAATAAATTTAAAAAAAAAACCCAAAAACCCAACAACAAAAGAGAATCAAAGGAAAATAAAGAGGAAGATTATTAAATACAAAAAAAAATAAAATAAAATAAAAATTTTTCGAAAGCAATCTATCGGTATTTCAGGGCCCGCAGTTCCATATAACATTTATTTCATATTTATTACACTTCTTCCACAGCACATGCCCCCATGCCATATCATGTATGAATGAATGCCCCTAGTACCCGTTATCGTTTATGTATTTTTATACTAAGTATTCGTAGATTGGAGATCATCATATCTAAAATCATTTCCATCGGATAATATCACCAGCTGACTTTTTTTGAATTGAGCTATATGCAATCATTATCTACAAAATTAACAACAATCACTTGGATCGAATTCTTCAAATGAGCAACAGTACTGCTATCCCTCTTTCTCTCATGTTTTTAGCACTGTTTCAAATGAATTAAGAGAATTAAATGAAGAATTTTTACTTAAAGATAGATAAGGGTATGATTGAAATTTATATTTATCGAGCATAGACCGCATGGACACCTGTCGTCGGTATTGTCGAAAACGCATCAGAGACATCTATAGTTCGTGTACAATTTTGATGGTCGCACAAAAATACCGAAATACTGTATACGGTATATCATATACATAAATATCTTTTTATTTTGCGGTATATTTTTGGGGGCCAGTTCTAGTTTGAATCCAGCTCCAAATTTCATATGTGTAGTTACCATGTAAATTACCAATTGTACAAAATCGTTTAACCTTTATAATTTTCATCGGTATATTTTTGGTATGTTTTGGTATTTATCTGAGGAACAGACTGGCGTGTTCACACTGCCTTTCACTTTTTTTGTTTAGGTCACACACCTTGCATATTTTTATAATTTGTTAAGTATTGTATCTATATTTTTAGTATTTTCCAGTGTTTTTCGGACTCACCCTCTTGTGCTAATGCACCAATGTAGATCATGTGTACACATTACCTCGTCAGTGTCTCTGTCAAAATATACATAAATATGTAGTTAATCTGTAGCGAGTGTGTTGTTACCGTGTATTTTACATGTAAAACACGAAATTTTGGTGTTTTGTGTCTTTGATTAAACCTTATTTTATGAATAATCAAATGAAAATGCGTGCTTAAAATTATCAAATCTTTTTTGATATTTATTCATGCATTGCAGAAAATTATATGATTGATGCTGAGGGCTCCAGCTAGAAAGTAATCCTAAGCTGAACATCAAAATCGAGGAATATATCATCGGAAGCCGGGAGGCAACGCTGCCGGCGTCGCTGCTTTACAATAGTACAGCTGTGGTTACCTGAAGTAAATTAAAGTAAGTTGAGTGAGAAGCAAAAAAATAGTGAACTCAGAAAAGTCCGTTGATATATATATCCCCACAAAAATATCCATAATTGAAAAAAAAAAACACCAAATATATTGTCAAAAAAGATATACATATACATCGAGTATTGACACGATATATCAATATATACCAAAACTAGGCTTTTTTTATCTAGTGTATTTATTTAAATCATTTGTGTAAAAAAACAGTATATAAATCAATCAAATTCAAGTAATACATTGTACAAAATTATATGTTTTCGGCAACAATATTTTTCTAAGAAAAGGCGACGTGCAAAGCACACACTGAAAAGTCTTACCCACACATGTAAAACAGTGTACGCCGTGAATTAAGAAGTGTGTAGGTTGGTTGAAAAGAAAGCACACACGCACACGCGCATACACACAACACACATACAAAACTATATGCGAAAATCTGCAAGTTTATCTTGCGGCTGTCCACACCCCCCTCCCGGCCCCATAACCCTTCAATCCGACAAACACACAGCGAGCGTGCGGACCACGAGCGCCCCGAGCCAAAAGAAAATATACAATAGAAATACAATAAATAAAATTGATTGAAATTTCGATAACCAGCAAAGGAGGTAAGTTTTGTGAGGAAAAAAAAGAATAAAATGCATATGTACATATGTCTAATAAGAGGGTGGAGATAGAGGCAGCACAGCGGCGACGACGACGCATTAATTGTATGTATTGGTCAGCTGGTGATGCTGCTTCTTCCTCCAACTCCTCCTGCCTTTGTGCAAATGAAATATGCAATTGCGAAATAATCACAAAACGCCGCATAAAATGCAAAGTGTACAATTTTTAACCGAGTCATTGCCAGAGCACAAGAATGCATACGAAAAGCTTATACATGATTTATGCATGTGTGCGTAGGTGTCTGCATATTTGAGCAAGTTCATGTGCATGTGTGTGTGTGTTTGCGTTTTGCGTTTGTGTGGTGATGCCCATGTGGTGTCGGCCGCGGCCCCAGCTTGTGAGTGCGTCTGTGTGTGTGTGCGTGTATGCGGTTCGATGTTTGTGTTATTTTGACATTTACCCATTTGTTGCAGAAACAGAACACCTTTTCGATCGAACTACTGCAACACAGTGCAAGGGCTCTCTCCAAGGACCCCCCAGCGACACACAAATTCGAGCCCGAAGGGGCATATGTACATTCAGCAGCGCAAACTCGAAAAAAAGGGCAGCGCAACAGAAGAGGAGGAAACAGCGATACCGTCGAAACCGAGAGGCGACACCGCCTGTTTCTAGCACCATTCAAGTCCCGAATAAGATGGAAATTGAAACAGAACAATCCATCGAAGCAATGGACACCCAGGACACCCAAGAGGTCGAGATAATCACTAGCGATCTTCACCAGCAGCAGCAACAACAGCAGCAGCAACAACAACAGCAGCAGCAGCTCCAGAATCAAAATCAACAACAGAATTCGCCGCCACAGCTGCCGAAATTCAAAAATCTGATACAGCCACAATTGCACGCGGTTGGTGGAGTCACCCAGCTGCCCAGCGAGAACGGCAACGTGCCGCCACAACAGCTGCTGGCCGACAGCAGCTCCTCATCGTTTGCCAACGAACAGGACACAATGTCGTTGGACGACGAGAACAAGGAGGATCAGTTCCGTTCGGAGACCACATTCGCCTATACGGTCGATAATGTGGGACAATTGAAATCACAGCGTCTGTCGCCGCCAGTGTATGTACGGATGCTGCCATGGAAGATAATGGTCATACCGAACGACCGGGCATTGGGCTTCTTTCTGCAGTGCAACGGTGAGAATGATTCGCCCACCTGGTCGTGCAATGCCATTGCCGAATTGCGTCTCAAGTGCCACAAGGCAGAGTCTCAGCCGTTCACGCGTGCCCGCATCAAGCATTTGTTCTACTCGAAGGAGAACGACTATGGCTACTCGAACTTCATTACCTGGCAGGAGCTGCAGGATTCGGAGAAGAGCTATATACACAACAACAGCATTACCTTAGAGGTGCATGTCATAGCCGATGCACCGCATGGCGTACTCTGGGACTCGAAGAAGCACACCGGCTATGTCGGCCTAAAGAATCAGGGGGCCACCTGCTACATGAACTCCCTGCTGCAGACGCTCTATTTTACCAATTCCCTGCGCCTGGCCGTCTATCGCATACCCACAGAGGCCGACGATAGCACCAAGTCGGTGGGCCTCTCACTGCAGCGTGTTTTCCACGAGCTCCAGTTCGGCGATCGTCCGGTGGGCACCAAGAAGCTAACCAAATCCTTTGGCTGGGAGACACTCGACTCGTTCATGCAGCACGATGTCCAGGAGTTCCTGCGCGTTCTGCTCGACAAGCTCGAGTCAAAGATGAAGGGCACCTGCCTCGAGGGCACCATACCGGGCCTCTTTGAGGGCAAAATGTCATCGTATATCAAATGCAAGAATGTGGACTATAACAGCACACGCTATGAGACCTTCTACGATATCCAGCTAAATATCAAAGACAAAAAGAACATTTACGAATCATTTCAGGACTATGTCGCCTCCGAGACCCTCGAGGGTGACAACAAATACGATGCTGGCGTCCATGGCTTGCAGGTGAGTCTCTACAGAGTCCCGACTCTGCCCAGAGTCCCAACACTGATCTCTAATCCCTGCCTTTATTCCGTTTCTCATTCGTTTGTGTCTTCTTTTTGTGGTTGTTATCATTCTGTAGGAGGCCAGCAAGGGTGTCATCTTCACGTCATTCCCGCCCGTTCTGCACTTGCATTTGATGCGTTTCCAATACGATCCCATTACGGACAGCTCGATCAAGTACAACGATCGCTTCGAGTTCTACGAACAAATCAATCTCGATAACTATCTGGCCGAGGGTGAGAAGACAACAGCGGACTATGTCCTGCATGCCGTGCTGGTGCATTCGGGCGATAATCATGGCGGGCACTATGTGGTCTTTATCAATCCAAAGGCCGATGGGCGCTGGTTCAAGTTTGATGACGATGTGGTCTCCAGTTGCCGCAAACAGGAGGCCATTGAGCTGAATTATGGCGGCATGGATGATGAGATCTCGTTCCATGCCAAATGCAGCAATGCCTATATGCTGGTGTACATCAGGCAATCGGAACTGGATCGTGTGCTGGGCGATATACCAGAGAATGAGATATCCAGCGATCTGGTGGAGCGTCTCGATCTGGAGAAACGCATCGAGATGGCGCGTCGCAAGGAGCGCAGCGAGGCCAATTTGTATATCTCGGTGCATGTCATACTCGAGGAGTACTTTGAGGGCCAACAGAAGCGTCGTCTCTTCGACTTGGAGAAGACCCATCAGCGTCCGTTTAAGCTCAAGCAGAATCAGACCGTTGACGAGCTGGTCGATATGTTTGTGAAGAGCTTTGGCGTCTCGCGCGATCGTATGCGCATTTGGAACATGTGCACCGCCCAGACGCAAAAGTTTCTCTACTTTGACTTTGAGGCGGAGGGATCGCGCACCATCGAACAGATACCCACATCACAGAAGCCGTGGGTGATCTTTCTCGAGCTGGCACCACAGGACAGCAGCGAACCGTTGGCACCCTTCAATCCCAAATCAGATGTGCTGCTCTTCCTCAAGTATTACGATGCCAAGAACAAGCGTCTCAATTATATTGGATGCACACATCAGCCGCAGAGTCGACGCCTCATCGATCTGTGTCCGGAGGTGAACCGCAAGCTGGGCTTCGATCTGGACACCGAGATGACCGTCTTTGATGAGTATGGCGACAAAAAGATCGCCAATCTGAATGATCCCATTGAGAGTGTGCTCTATCTGCCGCCCGATAATCTGCAGGGGCACATACTCATCTTTGAGCGTGAGATGATTGACATTAAACTGGATCTGCCAACGGTCGAGGAATACTTTCTGGATCTGGTCTATCGCATTGAGATTATATTCAGCGACAAGTGTAATCCCAATGAGCCAGACTTTGTGCTGGAATTGTCCAATCGCTATAATTACGATCAACTAACCAATGCGGTGGCCGAGCGCCTCAACACGGATCCACAGAAGTTGCAGTTCTTTATGTGCATCAACAACTACAAGGAGACGGCGGGCAATGCAGTGCCCTATACATTCAAGGTATGTCTGTAGTAGTAGTAGTAGCAGACCCATGTCTGTAGACAGTCCATTAATTTATTTATATTTATCATCTGATTTAGGGAACGGTCAAGGATCTGGTCTCGTACACCAAGCAAAGCACACCGAAGCGCATATTTTATCAGCGTCTGTCGTTGAGCATCCATGAGCTGGACAACAAGAAGCAATTCAAGTGCATTTGGGTGTCCAACGATCTGAAGGAGGAGAAGGAGCTTGTACTCTATCCGAACAAGAATGACAACGTTAAGGGGCTGCTGGAGGAGGCGGCCAAGAAGATAACCTTCCAGGAGAATAGCCGCAAGAAGCTGCGCCTGATGAAGGTCAGCAATCATAAGATTGTCGCCCACTGCAAGGACGATATACCGCTGGATACGCTGCTCAAGACGAATGACTCGGCGATCGCCACCACCCAGAGTGCACAGAAGATCTATCGCGTTGAGGAGGTGCCCACAGATGAGATGCAGCTGGCCGAGAATGAATATCTGTTGCCGGTGGCCCATTTCAGCAAGGAGCTGTACAACTCGTTTGGCGTACCCTTCCTCACCAAGGCGCGTCATGGGGAGCCCTATGGGGTCCTCAAGCAGCGCATACAGAAGCGTCTTAATGTCCCGGACAAGGAGTGGGAGAACTACAAGTTCACCGTGATCAATACGGGCATCACCACTGAGGTGAACGACAACGATGTCATCAATTTGGAGAATTTCCGCACCTCGACTAGCGGACAGTTGCCCTTCCTTGGTCTCGATCACATCAACAAGTCACGCAAGCGTAGTTCGCTGAATTTCTCCGAGAAGGCGATCAAAATTTACAATTAAATTGAACACACACACACACATACACACACACAAGAAACAAGAAAGCAGATGGAGCAGATGGATGGTGGTTCTGCGAGTGGAGGTGGAGGCAAGCGAGGCTAGGAGGAGGCTGCTGTAACTGGGACTGGGTCGAAAATTGGGCGAGACGGGAAGCAAAGACGTGACGACATCCATCCATCGATCGACACGCGCCCGCCGCCCGAAAACACAAATTTTAAGCAAATTGTCCTTAAAATTGTATGCCTCCTACTCCAACTCCCACTCCCTCAAAACGGGCCCATCACCCCCCGCCCACTTCTTCTGAACCCAAAAGTAGAAATTGACGTGGATTTTTTTTTAATAATATTATTTCTAAGTCATAAAATTTATTTATTAATCGCCTCCGGTCAATTTTTAATATGGTTGTCCGCCCGATCCTACACCCAGAGTTTGCCTTCCCTCCCCCCGCTGCGGCTCCGGCCTAAACTCCAGGTCCGGCCCGAGCCTCACGGCACTAAGTCCATGAGAAAGCTAAAAAAAAAAAATTTATAAATTTACTGACTTATTGCGCTTGCATTAGTGACTTCAAATTCTAGGCTAAGGCTTTTAAAGTGTGTTTATTTAATTAATTTTTTTTTTCCTCTAATTTTCTAAATACGATATTCCTAAACGCGGTAATTGTTTTGAAGTCGGAACGAATCGAATTCGAATTCGAATCCAAATTGGAGTCTCGTGTCCAATTGCTTCGTTCGAGATTCCGGGCCATTGGCAAATTGTAAATATAAGCGCGTGTTTTTGTGCTCTGGTCCTTCCTGGGAATACACGCAGACGAAAACAGCAAAAGAAGAGAAGAAGAGAATGAACACACACCTCACAAAAACAAAAACAAAAGAGAACGAAGAACGGAGAAGTGAAACAACAAAAGATAAAGCTAAAACAAGATTAAAGATATATATTACATCGATAAGCATTTGGTGGTAAGCGACAAAAAGAGTCGCCACGAGAGGTTGGACAGAAGGAGCATCACCAATAGTGACACGAGAGAGAGCGAGACAGAGCGACAGATAGAGATAGTTTCGAACTAACCGTAAAAAAACAAAAACAAACGGAAGCAAATTGGCAAGGGACAGATGGAAGAAAAGGAGAGCAAAGAGAACCCGAGAGAGAGAGAGGGAGAGAGAGAAGGGGGGAATATAAGATTTGTTTCAAACAACAATTATTTGTGATTTTAAAACATGAAATGATAAAAGTGTATTCAAAGGACTAGACAACATAATAATCTTAAATTAATAAAACACACAAAAAAAAAAAAACAACAACAAACAAACAAAACATACGTATGTACCATAATATAACCAGGCTGGATGCTTTTTTTATCTTTGTTAAATTATATAGCAGAGTGCCGTACCCGGAGAATGATCCGGATTCGAAAGAAACACACACACACACACAGAAAACCACAACTACAAATTGCATCATGACAAAGCAATAGAAGAACGGATATACATATACATACATACATATATTTCAACAAATATTACATTATTACTATGCTATTATTTATGCAACAAAAATAATTCAATTCAAATTATTTATGTGTAAAATAAAACAAAGAAAAACAAATGAAATACCACTAATTCGAATCGATGCGATGGATTGTGTGAACAAATATTCAATTCAATTCAATATTCCCATATATACATATGCTATATATATTTATGTGTGTATATAAATGATTATCCAAATAATCCCCATAAGAAGAACGGGACTATGAAGCTTACTCCCAGTCACCCCCCCTACCCCCTACCACATCCAATTGGATTGCGGACCTACCCAACCCCAAACCCCAGAGTTGTATTGCATGTATTCCACTCCACTCGAGAGCAATGAAATACAATATACCGTAATAAAAAGCCACCTTCCATCCTTCTACATATGTGGGGGGGTGGGGAGAGCTTGAATCTGTTTGAAATTGAAAATAAATTATATTTGATGTAGAATTGCATTGGAACAAACCATTATTTAATCGAAATCTGTTTCCGGGGGCAGTTTTACGCTTAAATTATACATTAGATATTTTTGTGGACTACAGACTACCGGATAGAACTTAGAACTTGCGACGCTTCAACAGATCTGGCCGCCAATTGACTGGATGCGTCTCCTCGCTGGCTTCGTCATCCTCCTTGTACACCTTGATGGTCTTGTCCGCCTCGGCGGTGATTAGACGCGTGCCCGAATGGTCAAAGCACATGGCAAATATGCCCGCCTCGCTGTCCATGGAGCCGGGCTGGACGGGGGCCTGGAAACGCTGGAAATTATAGCCGGTGCGCCAGTCCCAGAAGAACATGGTGCCGTTGTCGCCGCCAGAGACCAGCACCCCATCGTTATTGGCCGCCATACAGTTGACAATGGCCGTGTGGCCGGAGATGTTCTGCACAAAGTTGCCCTCGGGACAGCGCCACTGTTTGATGTTGTCGGGCGAGGCGGAGGCGAACATGTACAGCGATGGATGCAGCACAACGCTGCGCACAGACTTCTTATGGTTGGTCAGGGTGCAGACGCTCTTGCCGGCAGCTAGATCCCACAGCCGCACGGTGGAATCATGGGAGCCGGTGATGATCTGTGGATTGGTGGCCTGGGCCACCACACTAGCCACCGTATTGGTGTGGCCGGTCAGCGTGTGCACATTGGCCTTGGTCCTCATGTCCCAGATGCGAGCCGTGGAGTCGCGCCCAGAGGTGGCCAACACATCGATGGTTGGGTGGAGGGCCAGCGAGTAGACGGCAGACAGATGTCCATGATAGTGTCGGATCACTTTGTTGTACTCCAGATCCCAGCACTTCACCTGACGATCCTCGCCGCAGCTGAACAGATACGGATGCTTGGTGCTGACTGCCACTCCCCGTACAGTGCTCACGTGCCCGGTGAGCGAGAGTTTCAGCTTACCGCTGGCCAAATCCCAGATTTTAATGACACGATCCCCGGCACCGGTGGCGAACCACTCATTGCCCGGCTCCACGGCTATGCAACGCACCCAACCCAAATGTCCGGAAATGACGCGAGACAGCTTCCAGGGTGCATGCCACTTGGGCTTCGGTATGGTGGGTGCCTTCTTTGGAATGAGCTGCAGATTGCTGGCGCCATTAGATCCAGGTCCATTGCTGGGCATGGATGCCCGCACTAGGGATGTGCTATTGTTACCCGGTATAGACAGCACCGTGTCGGGGCGACGCGCATCGGCATTGAATTTCATCAGGCTGCTGGCAGTGTCTGTGCTCCCGTCTGTGATGGCCAATGGCCTTTCCACGGAGTGTCCTGATGGAGTCCTATTTGGCTCGTTGGCTGTCACAACCCTGTCCATTAACGAGCCATAGGTATCCTTGGCCTTGATCGATCGCCGTTGTTTGTCCCTGTGTCAACGAAAGTGGGTATGAAGCTTGGTTTGTTAATACGGGATGGCTACGATCCGGGGTACTGGTACTCACAGTCGGTCGTCGACATCGGGCAGGTTTCCTTGATTGGAGACGAACAGATCGTGTGTGCGCTTTAGGGAGCGAAATATAAGCGTGTGCACGCTGTGCTTTTGTACGTCCTCCATTGATCAATTAAATGGATCCGAGATAAACTAAACAAAAATGCGGCAAAACAGTCCGGTCAGTCACAACTAGGGCTGCAAAACCATTAATGGAACCATCGATAGTTTTTAAATTTGGCGATATATTTCCGTTTTACTTTCTAGGAGAGAACTCTCCTGACTCACGTATATTATGAAATTGATTTCATTTTAGTGCTCTTGGAGAGTGTGGAAAATATACAATTTTCATCCACTTAAAAAATTTCAATGGAAACTCGGATATATCGATGTTGGTCGACCGTCGATGGTTTTGCAGCGCGTTTTGACAGCTTGTGATTGCTGAAATCGGTTATCGATAACAGACCATGCAATTTAAGCAAATTAAATATTATCAACCACATTTTCGTCATCTCCACCATTAGTTCCCAAACCAAACCAAACATCTTCGCAGATACATTTAGCAAGCGTCAGTTCAGTCATTATTTTAGTGGAGTCTAACCGCTCCACACACATTACACTGAAATATTATTAAAATCGAAAACTCAATTTTCGAAGCTATTTGTTTGTTTTGTTTTTTATTTTTAGTTAGCGGGAACCGGCGAACCAGAAGCAGCATTACTCGATGACAGAGATGAGGATGTTGGGGAGACCGACGCTGACGAAGTGCTGGCCGCAGCATTGGAAGTACTATCCTGTGCCCCCGATAGTCTGAGAGTTGAAGAACTGTTTGATCTGTCGGAGTTGGTAAACGAACGGAACGAACACTTTTAAATGCTCTAACAGAGGTTGTAACTGCAATGGCTTACGATGCGCTTAATGTAGTTGCACGAAGTTTCGTTGTTTGAACTCGATACTACGTTGTCCACTCGATATGGTGGCGAGATGGTGACTTCGTTAAGGATCTGTATGTTCAGTCCCTGCCAGGATACTTCATTGTACTGTGTGTTTGCAAGCATGGGATGGGAAATAAAAGATATCAAGATGAGATTATGTGGAAATCGATTTGCTAGAAGACACTGCAATGTGCGTGCCGCCTACCCCGTATTGTTTGGCTATCGCTCGATAAAGTTCTTGTGCTTCTGAGCTCACGTCAGCGTTCTGAGACTTGAGATAGTCCTGGCGACGTTCCACTGTTTTCCTGAGACGCATTTTAACCTGCAACAAGACGTAAATGGTCAACCTTATCGCACATCTTAAGTTGCGGCTTACGTTGCTGCTCACCTGTTCCAGATTTAACTTCTGCGGATCATCGACAAAGTTCCCGTTGCACTCCTTGATCACCTGCACGTTGCTGCATAGCGAAAGATTCAACGCATAGATATCACTCAGCTCCTCCGTTGTCTTCGATCGGCATTCTGTTTTGGGCAAAGAAAAAGGCAAGAACAGAAAAAGGTGGGAAGGAGGGAGGGAGAGAGAGGGGGAGAAAAGATTTTTGGCGCGATGTACGGAGAACCAAATTCTGGACGTCTTAACTATTATATAAAAGCATCAATCGGATGCCCACAACAGAACTGAACCGAAGTGAACAGAATAGAATATAATTCACTTTTTACAACAATTGAATTGGGTTTTTGACAATAAAAAAGGATACTCAAGATAAGCATCTTTGTGTTATGATCGAATGCGAGCACCTCGCCCTCCACTTCCTCGTTGAAACAGGTCGTGCACATCACTGTGGATCCAATGTTGAAGCAGTCGTTCACTGCATTGCCGGCGGTTGCAGTGGCAGCGGCCATCTTTAATTGTTAGACTTAACTTGGAGCGTGGAGTGGAGTCGACCTGTGGTCGAGTTGGAGGAGCAGAGCAGCTTTCTATCTTGCAGAGCTTCGCAACGGATGTGTCCTGTGCGCTGGCTGGCTGGCTTCTGTGCGTGGCGTGCCGATTGTTTACACAACTTTGAACACGTAGTATGGTATGTGGTATGTGTGTGATGCAAAACAACAATTGATATGTCAAATCAAAAATTGCAATTAATCCATGCGAGCATTGAGTTCTAGTTGTTTACAACATCGGCGCTGTGCGATGGCTGTGTGGTCTGGCCCTGGTTGATGGACGTAAGCGTAATTGTTGCTGCTGTTTCCTATACACTGTTCTGTGTTACTGTTGGTCTTCGGTTTTGATGTTGCCGTTTGCCGCCGCGGACTGGCTTTCACATTCACGTTTCTGCTTCTGCCTCTAGCGTAGATGTCGCTTCATGGAAGTGATTTTCTATTCGCTGCGTTTCAATATTTTCGCTTGAAACGAACTGGTGCGTTGACCAAAAACTATTAATCAATATTGAGCCTAAGCGTACAGTCAATTTTAAATACGTGTTTTTTTGTTTTGTAATTGAGAAAATGGAAAAATATGCGAAAAGTGTTTGGTCAACACACGAAAGAGCGTAGGGCTGCAAAAACCATCGACGGCACTATTGATATGGTTCTGGCATTCTGCGATAGTTTTTTTTCAACCATCAATATATCGTTTAAGAGAAAATATGTCAAAAATTTAGTTTAGAGCAGCGCAAAGCATAGCCGGATATAATCCGCTCCAAAACTGGAAGCATTAAGTTTATTTAATTTTTTTCTTTTTTGGATATTTATATTATTTTAAAAGTTTTTGCTATATCGATGGTTTTGCAGCCTACAAGAGAGCTGCACACAGTTCATGAACGAGCGAGGTAAATAAGTTCACATTAAACGTTGTGTTTGGTTCATGATCGGAAAATTGTATTTTCCTCGATTTTAATAATTGGTTTTGTATTACCTGCTTGCTAAGACTCTCAGCGCTGAACATATAATTTTTTCTGATAAATGAATCAATTGTGTAGCAGATTGGCTCTTTCAAGTACTCCCTTTAATTAGAATATTTAAAGAATATGCTTCAAGAAAAAAGGTCAACAAATCCTTACAAAATTTCTACATGGCAGCTACACAGGGATGAAATTAGCACGGGCACTTGACGAGGCTATCGATACCAAAAATGTTGAAAGGTGTGAGACATAGAGAGGGAATCAAATCAACTTATCTAAAGGAATAAATAAATTGGTTGTTTTATTTAAAGTGAATAAATGGTGGCTTGTTCTGTTGGTTATTTTAAATGCTTGAAGTATGTTGAAGCATATTTTTCGAATATTTCAACCCTGTTCGCCTATCGTATGAACTATTACCACCAGCAAAAACAACAAAAACATATGTTGTTTACAATGGAAAATGGAGGGAAATTGTAAATTTACATATATATTTTTTTTAGCCAATTTTATCATTAGATGCGAGATATTCGTGGAGCCATTTGGCTTTGCAGGCACTTCCAGACTTTTGGGAGGAAAACAATAATGGTTTTCGTGGTGTGCGAATGAACTCGCACATCTATATTTTAAAATCCTTGCAAATAAATGAATTTGAATAATTTAACTTTTTATTTACTCAGAACTATTCATGAAAATATCCCCAAATCTGTTCTGTAAATATTAATAAATTGGTTGATTTATAGTTAGAAAAACACACGAACGTGCTCTTCTCAAAACTCATGTCTCAATAACTCAACTTTGTGCCAGTGTACCAATTCCACCAATTCTGAGCTATTCAGTTAACTCAACTATCGATAGGTACATTTAGGCTATTAATGTCATAGTTTTGGCAAATTATTGTACCACCTTAATAGATGGCCTTCGGCTATAAAAAACGCAAGATCTCGAAATAATTATTAGCGGTTTTTTTTTAAATATTTCATTTCCGAAAAAACGTTAGGTAACATTTGTGTCTAAAATCTCTTGCGGTGTGGTGTGAACCAGTGCATTGGAACTGGTTTCCAACTAAATATTATCGATACCGATTAAACCGCAGATCTTCGGCTTTATGCAGTTTGTGCGCCTTTGAGTGAAAGTAAATTTTAAATAAAATCCAGCGGACAACAGCATGGTGGAGCCAAAAATAAAAGCACCGCACCTACGGGCCCCCACAGCAGAGACCGTTCTCCCACTCAGCAGGGTACGGACAATCATGAAGAGCTCGATGGACACCGGCTTAATTACGAACGAAGTGCTGTTCCTGATGACCAAGTGTAGTGAACTCTTTGTGCAGCATTTGGCGCGAGAAGCGTACGCGGCCTCTTGTTCCAAGGAGACCAGTGACACCCTCAAGTATGAGCATCTCTCGCAACTGGTGAACAAGAGTTCGAATCTCGAGTTCCTTCTGCAAATTGTACCAGAGAAGATACGTGTGCACACATTCCAGGAGATGCTACGCCTAAATCGTTCCGGTACCACCAGCGATGATGACGATGATGACTCTGAATCCGAATCTGAGTCCGAGTCGGATGAATGATGGGACCCCGGCCCGCCCTCCATTCTCACATCATCGACACCACACCTCTTCAGCCATTGCCTATTACTGATCTGATGTGTTTCATTATTGCGTGATTCATTTAGTTGATTTTATACATAATTTAAGTTCAATTTTTTGTAATTCTCCAAATGTAAGTACTCTATATGAGTAATTACTAACTTTAAGACGAAATAAATACCAGTTAAGAAACCAAAGTGCAACCAACAGCATAGAGTTCTCCATCTCACATAATCCTACCCTAACACTATGTTCTTTGCTTGTATCTGTATGGCCTGACTGTACTTGATATGAGTATACCTCAATCTCTCTAACTGCGTCCAAGTACTGCACCACGAATCGAAGAATGGCCAGAGGACACTTCTTCAATTCTCACAGACCAAATTTGTCCCAGGTCTTGGGCCAGTCATTACTTTATAAGTGATCGCAAGACTTTTGGATTTTGTTTGATTAATAATTATAACATTTTATTGCACTTGGATTAGATTTGTGATGCATTTTTGAAGTTTAAAAAAAATTGTGATTTAGGATTTGGTATTACCTAGGCCTTCAGATAGGTGCCTGGATAGCCAGTGGCATTCAGGCCCGTCACCTTATAGGTGGTGCCTGCTGGGGCCGGCTGGTCGAACTTGGCCGCTGTTGTCACATATAGAATGTCCAGGTTGGGGCCACCAAAGGCAGCCGAGGTGATCTGCTTGGTGGGAAACTTGATCTCCAGCAGGACCTTGCCAGTGCTGAGTGGATAGAAGAACAGGAAAGCCGGGCATTAGAGCAGAAGGAAATAATAAATGACTTTGGCAGGCACATACTTTGGGTTGACTTTGAAAATGGTGGCACCGTTGAATGTGGCCACATAGAGATTACCCTCGGTGTCGATGGTGAGACCGTCGGGAAGCAGATGATCCTTGGGACTGGTCTTGCGCAAGTTGAAGACCACCTTGGGGTTGCTGGACACGCCTGTGTCGAAGTCATAGTCGTACGACTTGACCTCGTAGTCGGTGGTGTCGATGTAGTAGAACTTCTTGGCCTTCTCGTCCCAGGCCAGGCCGTTGGAGATGCCCACATCGCCCTTGACAATGGACACCTGGCCGCCAGCCTCCCACTTGTAGAGCTCACCGTGACGGAATTCAAACTCGTCGCCAATGTAGCGCATGGTGCCGCCAAAGAATCGGCCACGGGGATCGGCCTTGGCGTCGTTCAAGCGATTCTTCTCGAGCTCCGGCTGCACCTCGAATAGGGTGCGTACCACCTTGGCCACTGGCGAGACACCATCCCATTTTACAATGACCACGCGACGAGCACAGCCAACGGCAAACTCCTGGGGCTTGCCCTCAATCGGCAGGACAAAGGCAGCGAAACTCTCGCCCTCAATCTGGGTCGCGTAAACCTTGTTCTGCTTGAAGTCGTAGCGAAGGAGTTTGCCAGCCTCCAAGTCCACGTAGTACAAGCTCTGGGTGGCCACATCCCAGTGGGGTCCCTCGCCTAGGCCGGCATAGGAGTCAGGCAGTGGTTCAACTTTGTAGGACATCTGCAAGGAGAAGACAAGATTGGTTGTGAGTGAAAATTTAGGGAAGTCTACAGGCTGCGTCTGTTGTTTCAGTCGTCTCAGTTGCTTCAGTTGTTTCTCAAGTATACCGTCAAGCCAAAGAGAGCGCCCATTAGGGCGATGGTCAGTGGAAGTCTGATGTAAGTCAGCATCTTGCTCGGGCTCTGTGCGAATCGAACTGTGAGTGGCAACTGAACCTGCAGCCGTCCGGCGGAAGGGCTTTTATTGATTAAACGCCTGAAATTAGCGGAACCAAACCGCGGAACACAAGCCAGAGCCTCTGAGTCTCCGTTTATTTTCATTTATCTCACACAAGCTGCAGCTGCGTATTTTTGACGTCATGACCTTCACTTACTCAGCAGCAGCAGCGTCGGCGTTGCGATTAACTTTGCTTGCGTTTGTTTTTACGTATTTTAATTGACTTTTGATGTTAAAATGCCTGGTCTGGTTGTTGTGGTTTTTGTTGCTACAGCTGCTGCGGAAAAGTACTGTCTAAACGAGCATGCAGCTTCTGCAGGCAGCAGTTGTGCCGTCATTGATTGGTAACTGTGTGCCCACAGTGGCAGAATTTGCCCTCTCACAATTACAATAAAGGACTGCTTTATTTTGCAAGCAAATATTGATTTGCATTTCACTGGCACAGTCTCGTTTAGACAGTACTAAAAGTGCAATGCCCAGAACTGTTTGGAGGTATGGAATCGGGTATCGCTATCGAAAATACACACTTGTAAACTGTAAATGCAACCTGGTGTGCCCACCAGCTGTCTTTGTCCATAACATAACGGTTCAAGGCAAAACACAAAAATCTCAGCATTAATTACAAATCCATTTGAATATATGTACTTAAAAGCTCTCACACACAACAAAAAAAAGTAACAAAAAAGGAGAAGGGCAGCTCAAGGACCTTTGCAGTTTTGTTGTCCACAGGATCCTACATACCTTTTAATAAAAACGTTTTCTTAGTCTTGGCAGAATAGAACAGATCCTTTGAGCACTTCTCTGTCGAATAACGCGTTCACAATGAAGTTTATGCGATCAGACCGAAACCTTTTTATAGCCATCCGGATGCCGGCAGCCGGCTTCAGCGTGATATACAAACAGACTATGGATTGATAAGAAGCGACCATATTGGAGGAGGAGGAGGAGGAGGGCTGTTGCCTGGTCAGTAGCGTAGCCAGAGAAGAGAACCCAGGCACCAAATAGCCAGATAAGACATGAGGCAAGTGCAAATGGAGCTGCTGGAAGAACGGATTTGTAGCATATGTACATATGTATGTATGTATGTACATACATATGTCTCTATGTATTTATTATCGCATCGCACTCAGTGAAACGGCATTTCTGTAATAAGAGCCACAATTAAAAAAAATACAAAACTGCAAAACTTTCTACCGTATGTGGGAGTGGCGATGGCTGATAAGCCTCGAGGCAATTTTAATTATAATAATAATTATTTTACAAGTGTATTTCACTGCCAGAATCCTATATTTCCGCTCAGCCCGTGATAACATGCACATGCAGCAAGGCCTGCGCGATAAATTCGCAGACAAGCCTGGTTAAGGATGTTGCTGCTGCTGCTGTTGTTGTTTCCTTGTATCAGTTTGGACCTGACCTCCAGGGGCATTTCTTCAGTCTGCACTATCGTCAAAGAGCTGGGGGCGGGGGGAAGACCGTGACTCTGCCAAAATCCTGGAGGCCTACACGGAGGCAGGCTCTTATCGCTGCCAGCATGACCCTATTTGTCCTATGACTTGTATTTCTTTCTATTTTTGTCTTGATTTCAAATTTAAATTGCTCTTTAATTAATTGGAGTAAGATTTATTAGCATATTTGTACAACTGTCCATTGATAAGGGAAGCATATATGTACATGTGTAGCCTTTTACAATCCAAAACCGATATGATGAACCTAAGAAAAACGATGGCAAAATATTAACACATAGCCATTTAATGTTTTACAAAGTAATTGGGAAAATTCAAATTCAAAAACTCAGTAGCTTGTAACGAATATTTTGTGGCGTTTAAAAAATTTTACGAATATAGTAGGCGCTGAGCCCAATACGAGTTTACCTTAGACCTGAATTCCCAAAATATTTAGTTAGTGATTCGGAGTTTGTGGAAACAACATCTATACGGAGCTCGGGAAAAAAAAAATTGAAAAAACCAAAAAAGTGAGTTGAAAGTTTGGAATTAAATAAAAAGCGGTGAAAGTGAACAAGAAACAAAATTAAATCCAAATTATAACAAAATTAAATCAAAAAATGTGCAGCCTTAAAGTTATATTTTTGTGGCGTTTGGAATTGAATAAAAAGCATTCTCAAATTAAAGGAATTTCAATGAAATACAAAATAATATTGCGGAAGATTCAATAACATTGTGAAGTTCAAATGATCGATGAAACACTCCGCTCCCTCTAGTAAATGGAAAAGAAGGGTAAGTCCATAGCAACAAATTTATCTTTGACTCTTACTATTTAGTAACCCCAGTTGTAAAGGCTTATAAATTTAACATTTATATTGCCATTTTGTTGGGTAAAAATAATATACAGGCAGGCTCCGGTTTTCACTTTCAAAAAAATGTGTTACTAACGAAACCAGGCGCCCCGCCACACGTAAAACGCAAGACCCGTGTCAAAACGAACACCGCCGGAAAAGTAAACGGCTTTTTATACAACTAAACAAATCTTAATTTCAAAAGGAAAAAAATGGATGACTTAATTATGCATTGACATGAATTTGACACCTTTACCAGTGCAATTGAGCTTGTGCCCTTTTTATAAATCATTTTTGTTAAAACCAACCTCAAAATTAGATCTGAAAAAATTGGTCAAGTAAAAAAAAAAGTGCATTCATTTTAACAGCTGTGGCAGCGTTGCTGAAAAGTAAAACGCATATGAATGTGAAAACGGAGCCTGCCTGATAAACTGCAAATATTAAATTGTGGCGCATCCAACAAAATATATTTTAAATCGTAGTTCCGGAACCGATGGTTATACATTATCCGGCACTTAAAGTTCGTAATCTGACGGCTATTTAAGTATATTTTTGAAATATACTTCTCGGTATATTTCTGAGGGTCGGACGGGTGGGTGTATTTTATCACACTTGCGGCAGGGTGACCGTTTACGGTATATTATACACATTTCGGAATATTTAGACGTCAACATCGAGTTCAAAGTATATTTACGGTATATAGGTATATAGAAGTAAATTTAACCAATTTCATTAATTTATTTTGTAATATATTAAGATACTTTTCAAAATGACCGCCAAACTTCACTTAGCGCACAAAAAATACTGAAATTGTTAAGTAGAGCAACGCTCTTTCAAATCGTTGTGACTTCCCCTATTTTTCGTGACGTGAGCCGCATGTTGCTGAAACTTTCCCATACAAAAGAAATGTATCTGAAAGGAACGCGTACATTTTATAGCAGCAATGAATCTAAGACCTTTTTTCTTCGGTATTTACGGTATATTTTGAAAACGATGTGGTTGTGTTCCGTCTGGGGTCCTATAGATTTGGTTACCACTTGCGTCCTGTCACTCTATCGCCGTTTTGTTACGTTGTAACCAAGCGACGCTCGGTCGTTGGGGTGGCTAACGCAATTACTCTGGATGTCAAAGCGTTACCCTTCGCGGGGCCCTTTCTCTCTTGCTACGGTGGATATCGGTGGTCATTTTTTGTTTTGTAAGTAAAGAGGAGGATGGAGCTACAAACAGCCTCTACAAACACTATTATTTTCCCCGGTTTAACAATGGGTGCTCAACTTTTTAAATAGAGGGGTGTTAAGGGGGTAAAGTCTTGTTTGATCGCCAGATTGCCCAGGTTTTCTTATGGTATGGTATTTAATTGGTATTTCTCGAAACTGAAATGGTATATAATGGTATCTATTTTTTGGCCGGGTGGTATTTTGTATCGTTATCGGCGACACTATTTATTTGGAAAATTTCGCAGCGTCCGGACGTACGTCGATCGCAGAATTTGTCAGCTTTATTTTTTTTCTTGTGCGATTTCGTTCTGCCTGCCAAACGCAGCGACAGCGACCCAACTGAGGAGCAGGAGTAAGTCCGATCTGCTGAAGTCGACCGAATGTCGAAATGAAGCGTGACGAGAGGGCGAATGTGCTCAGCGCAACGAAAAGTGGGCGCGAGTGATACGAAACCGAGAAAAAGATTCGATTCCCAATTTGTCGCGTCGTTCTCTCGAGCTCAAGAGAACCGAAAACAACGCGAAATAAAAGTGAAAACGTGCAAAAGGCACAGCGCAAAGAAAAACAACAAACTAAACTTCGGTCAAAATGTGCGACACGGGGGCAACAACAGCTACTACAACTGTGGTGGCAGCAGCAGCAGCGTCGTCGGTGTCTGGCACTGGAACGAGCCAGAGCCAGAGCCAGGGCCAGGGAACGGCAGCGGCATCGGCTACAGCAACGACGACAGCAGCAGGAGCCACACCGCCAGCTACAACCACAGCGAAACCCGAGCAACAGCAGCGGGCGCGACAAAACTGCTGCCGCCTCTGCATTGCCCCGGCCACGGAATGCATTTCGATCATCAATAGCTATGCGGCCGACAAGGAGCCGCTCTCTACAAAAATCCACAACTGTGTGAACATCAAGGTGAGTGGAGAAGTGTTCGAGTGTTTTTTTTTTTTTATTTGGGCGAAGAGGTTTACCCCAAAGAATGGGTCACATCCAGTGTGCACACGTAATCGGTCGCTGCCGCTGTCGTCATCCCACATCCACATCTACCCCAGTCCCCTGCCCGAACAGATATACATACATTTCAATATTCCCCACCAAACCCATCGGAGCAGTAGGCGGATCAGGCATAGGGCCCTGTTCCAGGCCCAGCCACACCCGAGGCGAGGGCAGCATGATGAGATTTCTTGTGGTTCTGTCGGATTGTAGCTTTCGTGGAAAAATTGTTGAGTTGCCTTTTCGTTTTTGTTTTTTCTCGGTATGCGCCTATCTGTGTGTGTGTGTGTGTGTGTGCGAGTGTTTGTATGTGTATTTTTGTGAGTGTTCTCGGATAGCGTCCCATCATCATCAAATCGACGGCGTCAGGCGTCGTCCAGCCATGGTTGGCTGGAGTTTCGTTCCGAAAAGCATCCGAAAAGTGAGGTTACGGATGAAGCCCAACCACAGGCAACGGCCGCAGCCACAGCCACAGCCACAGCCACAGCCACACCGTTGTGCAAGCGCTGGCGACGCCAACGACGACGACGACGACAACGATGAGCGAACGAACCGATGGCCACCAACCAAAAACAACAAAAAACTAAAAAAAGCAACCAGCCAACCCCGCCTACCTTTGCTTCTCTTGCTCCTCTTCCTCCTCATCCGTCGAACTCTCCGTGTGTGTGTGTGTGTGCGCGCGGTGCTGTCCATGCTGTGCCTCACCGCATGGTCCGTGTCGGGTCGGGTCTGGTCTCTGGTCTCTGGCGTGGCGTGGCCAGACCAGACCAGGCCAGGGCCTGGGGTTTCTGTTTTGCTCACTGCCAAGTCACGATGCCTCGATGACGCGACAGCAGCGACCGACCCGACCGAATGGAATGGCATGGACTGGAGTGGATTGGCTAGAGGGGCATTCATTGGTATTGGTGCACACAACCCGACCACAATCTGCTTTTGTACGCTGGCCGGCCGCCGTTCTGCCGCTGCTGGCTGGTTGGCTGGCTGCTTCATCATAATCAACTTGAACGAACTCCCTGCCTGCCTGCCCCGGCCCGGCACACGGTACACGGCATGGCACGGCACGGTCTGCGCTGCCCTGCTGGCAATCGATTCTTTCAGTGCTTTGTGAGGTTAGGATTGATCCTGCCTCCTTGTGGCTGAAGAAGGGGAATCCTATCTCGCATCTTCTCTATGGCTTTGATTTTTGTTTATTTTGAACTATTTACCAAAATATTTAGCCCCCTTGCTTCTTCTTCTTTTTCTACTTTTGCTTTTTTCCCCACTTTGTCCTCTTCTTGTTCAACTTCTGCTGCTTGTTGTTGTTGCCTCAGTTCAGTTCTTGGCCAGCAAAACAGAAGGAAAATATGCGAAACGAATGGCCAGCACAAAGCATAGAGTCGCTGCTGCTGCTGCCTGCTGCCTGCTATGTATGTGTCTGCATGCGTGTGTGTATATGCGTACTAGAGATGTGACGTATGGATGCGTATGTGTGTGTGTGTGTTGCTCTGCCTCTGCCTGGACAGGCACAGGCACAGGCAGAATCGCGCTCGCCCAGGCAAACCAACGGCAATTACATATAATTTTGTTGTTGCCTGTGGATGCTTCCTTTCCTTCCTTCTCACATTCCCTGGAATTTTGGAGAGCATGTGGATGGGCATGGGCATGGGCTTAAGGAAGTCTTGGAAGAGCAAAAACAGAAAGCAGCTGCTGCGCCGGTTGCTAGATTTATATCTGGGCTCTGTTCCTTCTGCTGCTGCTGGTGCTGCTCCTCACGGCCCAGGTCGTGCTTGTGCTCGGTCCTCTCGGGCATAAAGGTATCCAGTTCACAATCCATCCATCCATCCATCCGTTTGTACCCCCACCTCTTGCCTGCTTCCTGTCCTGCTGCTCTCTCTCTCTCTGTCTCTGACTCTGACTCTCCGGCTGGCTCTGCTCTCTCTCTTTGCGCGCGTGCGTCCTTTGCCTGGCTTCCATTTGGATGACGATGATGATGGTGGAGGACACTCTTCCTACTCCAGTGGGTCTCTGTAAATGGAAACATGTGCCACTACCAGAACCAGATTTTGTGTTGGCTTCGCTAGCTTCGTTTATTGATTCATTCAAGAGCCGGCTGGGACCATGCCTGTGCCCGTTCCCGTTCCCGTGCCTATGCTCGACCCAACCCGCCACTGGTGATGGTGCTGGGCTCTGCCCCTGGGCCCAGTTTGTGTGGCCCTCGTCATCGTCATCCACTTTTTTTTTTCTGTTTCAGTTGCTCGGCAGCACACACAAAATGGTTGCCCCCGACTGTGGCCTGCGCCCCCGGCATCGACAACGACATCGTTGTCGCCATCGCCATCGCCCGCACTCAGCGCACGTTGCTGCTGCGTGTGCTCTACCCTGCTCTGGGGGCTTTGGTTCTGGCTATGGCTATGGCTATGGGCTCTGGTGGCTTGGTCTGCTTTGGGCTCGATTTCATGGCAATTGCTCTTCATGCACACACACACACACAGGCAGAGGCACTCTCGCACTGGCAAAGGCAGATGCAGAGCACAGCACAGCACAGCACAGCAGAAGCGAACCCGACGACGACGAACCGACCGACCGAGCATTTGGGTTGGCGTCATCGCTAGCTCGACTGCTTCTGCTGGCTGTGTGGCTGCGGGCTGGGCTGGCTGGCTGACTCTTGCTCTGTTCTCGTTATCTGGAGGCGGACCACATGCTCTCCGCATACACACACACACACACACACATACAGATACAGAGGCACAAGCACAGGCATATAGGTATGGATGGTATGGGCAATGGAAGTGGCAGGGAAACAGGGAGACGACACATACACACACACACACAGAGAAGACAAAGGCAGGCCAAGCCAGCCCAGGCCCAGGCCCAGGTCGGACCGGGTACAATTCGAGTGGTTTCACCTTGGGCAGGCAAACTCTGGATATGGCTCTTCACGCAGATTACCTGATGGGCATGGGCATACACACAGAAGAAACTGACGCTGCTGCTGCTTCAGCGCTTCAGTTGCTGTTGTTGTTGTTGCTGTTGTTGCTGCTGGCGGCGGCCTGGGTTGGCTTCTCTTCTTCCTGCCTGATGCCTGGGTGCCCGTCGACGTCGTCGTCGTCTCTACCGCCTGCATCCCGCATCGAATTTCGTTTGCATCATCAGCAGCACATCTCTCCACCATTTTGTTGTCGCGTTTGGTTGGTACACATATTTCTGTTGCTTCTGCTTCAGCTTCTGCTGCCGATGATGATGATGATCCCCAGGTGGAAAACTTTCTCTGCCCAGACCCAGAGCCAGTGCCAGTGCCCAGTGCCAGTGCCAGACGGGGGGCACAGCGTGACCAAGCGGTTACGTGCGCATGCTTCGGTCTGTTCGCATCTGTTTCCAGCTTCAGCTCCAAACTCCAGGCAGGCAGGCATGCAGGCAGGCAGCAGTGCCCTCGTAAGATGATGAGATTCTGATAAAAAATGAAAAGAGGATGCAGAGAAGAAGCCTTTGAGATTTAGATTCCCATACGGGGACACACACAGACACACACATATATGTATATTGATTGTATGTATTTGGCTTGGCTCATCCAAATCCAAGATGGCCGTTGGATTCACTTTCACCTCTCTAGCAGAATTCCATGGATTGGAATGAAACCGTTGGAAATGTAAATGAAAGAGGAGCCGAATAGACTAATCCATAACAGTAAAGTAGATCCCCCCATCCCCACCCCCACCAACAGCATTAAATGCGATCGATCAGCTGATGGCACACAAATACAATATTTTATGTGATTCCCTTCGAAATACCCAGAAATCTTTCCTGCCACTTGGATTACTCATTTGGGATTGTTGTTGTTGCTATTTATTGTTGGAATATTCATTTTCCAATCGGCTTCCTTCCTCCCTACACTTACCCTGCCGCTCGCTCGCTCACTTCACTACACTTCACTCACTCTCCTTCGATCTCCTGCTTGCTCCTGCTACATATATGAGGGTTACTTTTGTCTTCTACGTCTTCAATTTTTTGTTGTGTGTGTTCTGCGGACGTGGACAGGACGCGCGCTCTCTTTACCTCACACACACACACACACATAGACAAAAGTAAACGAATAAGGACACAAAAGGAGAAGAAGCGCACAGCACAAAACCCGTTCGTGGCGGCGTTGCTGGTTGGGTTTGGGACTGGACGGAGGAACAGCGGTGCTCACTGGGATGCTTGCCAGCCAGTCGCTGCTCTACTCTGTCCTGCAGCCATCTTATCCGCTGGCTGTGTTGGCCGATGTTGATGATGATGAGGATAGGATGATGATTACACCTGGTCCCCGCCAGCAGCAGTCGCAGAAGCAGCAGCAGCTGGTGGACTGCAATTGCACCGACACCATGTTGGCGGCAGCTGCTTGCTGCAGTTCTTCTTCTTCTTCGCTTGCTTTCGTTTCGCCTGAACATACACACATGGTCGGGTGCACAGTTATTTGTTGGATGGACATATCAATATCTCCTTTTGCTTGGGCGACTTTCGAAATGGAAGGTCTTGAGCCAAAAAGGTTTCCAAAAATATTGATACATGTACATGTATATGTATGTAAGCTTTGTATATACATCTGTACATCATATATTCATTTGTATATTTCAAATCTCGAAGCGTAACTTTAATGGCTAACGTGTGCGTGTGGGTGTGGGTGTGGGTGTTTTTGCGTGTGATTGTGGTTATGTCTGGTCACTAAGCAAAGTCAGTCGCCAGTTTTCATATTAAAGTGCAGTTTCAGGCTCTTAAATGTATAGCAGGGGAAACTGGGAACTCGGAACTGCCTGCATCCAATTGCAATCCATCAGAATTTGGAGTAAGAGATATGCGGCAAGGAACATAACATAACATGGCATGAATGTGGCGACACAGTCAATATTCTGGTGTGGGGTGTATAAGGTGAATGAACAAACATATTATCGGGGAAGAAGAAGCAGAAGCCAGTGCCAAAGCCAAAATACATACAAGTCCTGCTACTTGTGGTGGGAGGGGAAGTAATTGCATACATAAGATTTCGCATACACACTAACACAGACACACACACAAACACAGTAGAATGATGGTATATAAGCGGAATGATGGAGGGAGTCAAGTGGAATGGGTCGGTTCGAATTCTTGTGTATTGGGGCCTGGCCTGGCCTGGGCTGGCCACAGGCCACAAGGAATCGCCATCATCGCCGCCGGCATAAGAAAGAGGGGAGGATGTGGTTGGGTCGTCGCGGTGTGGGGGGAGGCTGTAAGTTAAATATTGAAATCTTTATCCCACACACACAAGCAAACCAACCACTTGCTCAATGCCTAATGTGACGAGTAAATACAATAATAACAACAAATTATGCATCATTTCAACATTTGTTTTGTGTTGATCTAATTCGTACGGTATGTACGCACGGTTGCAATCTCGATACTCGTTGCAGGCCATCTCGATAACCAATAATTTGACGGCTAACGATGTTGATAACCCAAAATGTGACACTAGTGATGTCGATAGCCAAGTTGCATTTGGGAAAACTTTTATTATTCTTTTTTTAAGTGCACATTACAATGTTTTTTTGTGGCCAGGTTGGCTTCAAGACAGGTTGTACATGCCCAAGTATATATGTATGTACATATGAGCGATACTTACTTAGTACATAGAGGGAGGACACGCACAAGTATTGTTGCGACATATAGAGAAGGCAGTGGGAATACACACACACACACATGCGCAAGCAAACAGTGTTATCGGGCAGAAGGACATTTTATATGATTGGCGGCGCAATCTCTCTCTGTGTGTGTGTGTTTGTGTGTGTAAATGTGCACTCTGAATGTGCAGTGGCAAGAGAGGTGGGAGTGTGGGATGTTGCGGCAGTTTTGCTTGCATATAATTATAAGCAGGTCATTGACATTAATGGGGGGTAGCAGCTATGATAGCTGATGCGAATGCGCCTACCTGCATTCATGCTCCTCTCCGCCTGACTGGACATGGGGCAGAACACTCTAGTCAAAAGGCGGCGTGAGGGAGTGATGAGCGGTGGGCGATGAGGGATGTAATTTTAAAGCTTGATTGAACTTGAACACTGGAAATTAATGTGCGCTTTTTGTGTATTTTTCTTTCATTACAGATAACGCCACAAGATCGGCTGTCACTGCAGATCTGTCACGCCTGCATCAGCTACTTGAACTCGTGGCAGAGCTTTAAGAATCGCTCGGTTAGCGCACAGACCAAACAGCGCCAGTGGCTGGAGGCCAACAAGAGCAAGCTGCTCAGCTATTTGGACTTGAACAGTGCCGAGAATGGAGGAGGTCATCAGCAGCAGCAGCAGCATCACCACCACCAACAGAACCAGTCACAGTCACAGCAGCATCATTCGGAGAATGAGATCGATTTGGAGAAGCCATCGGCCGCCCAAATATTGGACGGCATACCCTCGCTGAAGAAACGCAAATCCCTAACAGTCTATGTGAGTCCTAAACCGCAACAACAACAGCTGCAGCAGCAGCATCAGCAGCAGTCGCAGCAACCAGCCAGATTGACGGCGACGGCGACAGCAACATCGTCACAGCAGCAAACTCTGCAGACCCTTCTATTGCAGGTGCCAACGATAACGGTCAGCTCCTCTTCCTCTACAACACCAGCATCTGGTGGTGGATCAGCAGCAGCAGCAGTATCTCAGCAGCAGCAGCGCCAGCATCATTATCGTAAATATCAGCAACAGCAACAGCAGCAGCAGCAGCAGCGGGGCAAACAGATGATGCAGCAACAGCAACAACATCATCAACAGCTGCAACATCATCAGCAACAGCAGCAGCAGAAGAGACGACAGCGACAGCCGCCGCCGCCGCGACGTCCTGCTCCTCAAACTTCTGGTCTGCCTGGGCAGCGGAAATTTAAGCCACGAGTGTATTTACCTTTGGATATAGCAGTGCCACCATTGCCACCGCTTCCAACAACAACCACTGCTACTGCTGCTGCTCCTCCAGCAGCACCAGGACCATTGGCAGTGCCAATTTTGGCTGCCGCTGCTGCTAACCATCCGGTTCTTCATGCTGCTGAAATACTGCCACCGGTTGCCACCACTGTAGTGGGGGGGAATCTGCCGTTGTCGCTGCCACTTGATTTCAGCCAAAGTAGCAGCAAGATCGACGTCTTACCGTCCACATCCACGTACAGCCATGGCAACGCCATAGCTCACGCCTCCACTGCGGCGGCGATGGCGGCAGCATCTGCATCTGCATCTGGCACCGGCATCTCGTCGGTCTCCGTCTCCATGCAACATGCGACAGCACCGCTGCTAATGCCGGTGACTCTGCAGAGTGCAGCACAGCAATTGCGATTTTTCAGACGCTACTCCTATAATGTAATTGTATCGTGCATTCGAAACGATTCCTTTCGTGTCCACTCCCCACCACTTCCGACAATTTCCCAACCCCCAACCCCTCTACCACCGCCCCTCAATCCCTTTTGCCGCTACCCTTCTCTTCCCAACCGAAGATCTTTTTGCAGGAGATAATTTCGATATTGTTTTTGTTGTTTTGCTTTTGCACCTTCTTTCTTCTCCTACCTGTTAACCCGATATATGTCTGCCAAGAAATATCGATCACGATCAGAAGACAACTCTCAGGGCTAACGGGTATCGATAGTCGGTGCTTAAATCCCGGCTATATATTTCATTGTTATCGTATTTGATTCGATCTTCTCCAGTCTGACCACCAAATCTAATTTAATCTTCTCGTTCTTTTCTTTTCTTTGATTTGATCTATTTTCATGTATGGAAACTGAACAAACTTTAGCCACTGCCCGCAATTCCCATCAAGGATGAGCCCATTGACACAGATGATGATTATCAAATGAAATCGTTGGACGAATCCGATGACATGGTCGATCCCACAATGTTCCTAGAACGCTCCGAGCACGAGGGCGATGTACCACTTATGGTACGTTTAATTTTTCTATTCTTTATTGCAACATTTCTCTATATATGTATGAATCTCTATATATATATTCACACTCTCTCTCTCTCTCTCTGACACAGACCTCCGACTATGATTATACGGCGCAGCATGGTGTGAATGCAGAAACAGCGGCCGCCTCGCTGCCGCCCAATGCTGTGGCTAATGTGGCCGCCGCCGGGGACTCAAAGGTGGCCAGCTGCCGGGCATGCAGTCTCCAGTTTTCGACGCGTGCCAATGCCCGACGCCATGAGCGAAATTTGCACCCAAATCTATTCCAATTGTCGACAGACTCGCCCAACAATACGCCCATCACAAAGCCCACACCGGCACTGGCGGCTGCATTGGAGATACAGCGTGCCGCTGCGGAGGCGGCCACCGAGGAGGCCAGCAAAGCTGCCGGCGCTGCCGGGGGTAATATATCGACCCAAAAGTATCGTCAGGTGGTGATGAATGCCTTCATCAAATGCGAGGGTGGGGGCTTCAACTATGACAATCCGGAGCAATATCAGCTGCTGCTCACCCGCGACAAGGTGGAGTTTATCGAGCAAAATTATGAATTCCTTGAGCAGTACCAGACGATGACATGCCGCTGCTGCGACAAATACTTTAGTACGTACAAGAACTTTATGGCGCATGTGCGTAAAAAGTATCCGCTGTTGCCGCGTAATCTCTGCTTCAACTGCCTCAAGATGAACGAATCGAAGGCGCTGTTCATTTCACATCTCAAGAAGCGCAACTGCATCAATCTGTATCGTGTGCTGAACGCCCTGCGCGGCAAGCAGCCAAACTTTCATCCCACATCATCGGACCTGGGTGCATTCGGTGGCGAGACGACGACCCAAATCAGTCCCACTGTCGTTGTGCCGCTGCTGCTCGATAACAGCTCGAGCGGCGAACGGCCGGAGAAGCTGCGCGCCAAGGAGCTGCTGGTGAATAAGCTTTACGAGTGCAAACTCTGCCCCAAGGGCTTCCGCACCAAGCACGAGTTTCGCACCCATGTGTACGACAAGCATGCGGATGTGCAGCGCAAGGACAACAATTCGATACAGTGCAGCTTCTGTGGCCTGGACTTTGCCGATCCCGTGGACAGGCGACGCCACTACAACAATATGGACTGCATTGTCCGGCTACGCTGCATGACGTGCGACGCCAAGGTGGAGACGCATCAGCGTTTCCTCGATCATGTCTATCAGGATCATTTGGGAGGTATAAGCAGCGATAATGCCTCCACTGTCAGTGGAATGGGCGGAGGTGGCGGTGGTAGGAGCAGCAGCAGTATTGAGAACTCACCTGGCAAGCGGAGTCTACTGGGTGCCCTTGGAATTGGAGTTAGCTCCCCCGCCGATGAGTCACGCAGCGGCAGTGCAGCAGCGGCAGCAGCAGCAGCACCCAATCAAACCTCAACGCCAAAGCCCATATCGGGAGGAGGTGGTGGTGGTGGTGTGGCGGCGTCTTGCACAACACCTGGCTCCCTAAATCGTGACGCCGGTGGTGCACCAAAATCGCAGTATTTCTCACGAATGCCACAGGTATGCCCCATCTGTGGCCAGCAGTACAACAACTACAACAACGTTCTGCGTCACATGGAATCGAAGCATCCAAACAAACTGCCGGAGACATACAAATGCGTGCGTTGCGGCCTGGGCTATCCAAGAATCTCGTATCTGCGGGAGCACATGATCAATGTGCATGGCGTCGACAAGAATCGACATTCCGGTGGCTTTGAATACATTGTGAATGCGGATGCCGTCAAGCTGGCCGATGGCAGTACACCGAATGTATCCACAGGTCGTTACGACTATGTGATGAAGGATCTGATGTCAATAACAAATGGTGGGACACTCGGTAATTAGGCTTAGTGTGTAGACGTCCTGTACTGTACTGCATTGTACCGTACTGTGCTGTGCTGTAGCCTTCTACTATGTATCTCTGTCTCTAGTCTAACCTTTTTTTTTGTTTGAATTTGGATACCTAATTTAATTTTTAATTTCCGTGTTTTATGCTTAATCCTAAACCTAAGACCACGGATCAAATCGAGGCTAAAATTCGTGTATCTTGTATCTTTTCCAGATGATGACGAGGAGGAGACCGGCAGCATGGCCAAGAAGATACGCCTCGACGATAGCAGCAACAACAGCAGTCTGGTGGGTGGCGTGGCCAGCCAGCAAAAGGAATGCCCCATCTGCAATGCCCTGTTCAGCAACAATATTGGCCTGTCCAATCACATGCGCTCACATTACACGGCCTCGAATTCGGTGAATGCCGCTCTGGTGGCGGCCAATCGCATGACACCCAAATCGCTGACCATAACCGCCGCCCCAGCCACAGAGACGGTCACATCATCGGCAGCCTCCATGGATGTGGATGATGATGATGAGGGTATGCTGGCGCTCGAAACAGGAAAGCTGATGGCCAGCGTCAGTGGTGTTAGAGGTGGTGCTGCTTCTAGTTCGGCTACTGCTGTTGCTGTGCCCCCTGCCATGGTTAATCAGACGCCTCAGGAGCAGGCCGTATTCCGTCGTAGCCTTGATCAGGCGGCGGATCGTCGCTTTCGCCGGATGCGCTGCCGCATCTGTCAGCGGCGTTTTAGCTCAAAGAAATCGTACCGCTATCACATGCTGACCGACCATCAAGTGCAGAATGTGCAGTTCATCAAATGCAAGCTGTGCAATGCCGAGTTTGCCTACGAGAAGGGTCTGAAGGTGCATCTGTTCAAGGTGCACGGACGTGCGATCAAGGATGAGATGATTGTGAAGCAGTTTGAGTGCGATGTCTGTTCGATTGTCTACAGCTCGGAGCTGGAGCTGAAGCAGCACAAGAGGAGTGTCCATAAGCTAACGTCCGTGTCGGTGTCTGCATCTGCCTCGGCATCGGCTTCGGCCTCTGCCTCTGCATCCACATCCTCGAAAATCAATGATGATGATTTAATGATCATGGAGGAGATTGGTGGCAATAGAAGCCGTCACCATCACCATCATCATCAGCAGCACCACCACAGCAAGTCGTCTGGCGACTTGGCCGATCAGTCCATCATTTCCGCTGTGGGTGCCACAGCCACTGCCGCCACAACGACGCCGCTGTACTGGTACCAATGCAAATACTGTCCCTCCAACTTTAACACAAACAAAAAGCTGGCCATCCACATCAACTCGCACGATGAGTTCGACTCGAATGATTATTCGTGCAAGGACTGCGGCAATGTCTATAGCGGCCGCAAGAGTCTATGGGTAAGTTTAGACATTTGTTGTAAGACTGAGAAAAGAACACCTATTGATATCAATTGGCATAAATTGGTTTCCGTACACCAAAAATAGATTTTTGTTATTTTTAATTTTTATTTTCTGCTCCACACTGACTGATACTAATCGTTTGATTTTATCTCTCCTTGTCTCTCCCTCCTCTCGCGGGGCAGGTTCATCGCTACAAAAAGCATCCGCAGGTGCCCGACCCCATCGAGTGCACGCTGTGCCGCAAGGTGTTCTTTGACCATCAGATGCTGGACAATCATACGCCAACCTGCAACCGCAAACCGATTACCTCCACGGGGGCGCATCAACAGGAGCTGCTTACGCAGACAAATTCATCGCAGGGTCGGGCCGTATTCCGGCACAAGACTGGCGACGATGATGACGAGGAAGACGTGCAGCAGCAGCAGCCGCAGCACCGTCATCAGCAGCAGCGTAACCATCAGGAGGATGCTGGTGATGGAGGAGCAGCCGTATCAGCAACAACAACAACAGCAGCAGCCACATCTAGTGGCAGTACCAAGAAGCTGCGCACACCGGAGGTGGCATGTACAATTTGTGGTGCCCGTTTCACCGATCAGGAGCACTTTAGCAAGCACATACAGAAGCATGAACAGGATCTATATGTGGACAATCCGTTGGCGGCGATGTTCGATGATGGGCCAGCGGATGCGGCCCAATTTAAGGTGGAGGGCCAGAACGAGAATGGGGAATATGCGTGCGATATGTGTACAAAGACATTCCCCCAAGTGATTGCACTCAAAGTGCATCGCAAGTGGCATTTCAGAGGTGATAGCAAGCAGGTGAGCGTTTTTCGGCTTGTGCAGCGAGGAGAACGAAAAAGAACCAACCATGCTGATGGGATGATGCTGATGATGATGATGAGAGATGCCTCCGCACCAGTCGCAAAAAACACAATCAACATCATATCTCTCTCGTTGAACAAAATTTGTACTAATCTCTTGTTTTCTCTCTCTCTCTCTCTCTGCTCCTTTTCCTTTTCCTTCTCCTTTTCCTTTTTCCCATTTCCCATTCCCCAATCTATCCTAACGATCCAAAATGTAGAACCACATCGACAGCGAAACGACGAATATCATCAACAACAACAACAACAATTCGGTGAACAACTCCACATCGATGCTACGGGAGCTGCATGCAGTGGGTCTGACGCCCAACCAACAACAGCAACAGCAGCAGCAGAGCCAACAACAGAACTCCACGTCCACGCCGAACAGCAACAGCAACAACAACAGCAGCAGCAGGAGCAACAACAACAACAACAGCAGCAGCAGGAGCAAATCAATGAAACGGAAACGTGAATTGAAATGCGAATACTGCCCCTCGACCTTCATCAGCAACAACAACCTGCGACGACATATGTATGAGCTGCATAAGCATGAAGTGAGTAGCCTGCCAGCACCGCCAGTGATTGTGGTTGATGAGCCACTGAGCTGTCGACGTTGCGGCAATCTGAAATTCGAGACAAAGGAACTGTGGATCGAACACAAGCTGGCCGATGCGAAGGTGGTGCGACCGTTTTGTCCCTTCCAATGGGGCTGTGATATGTGCGGCGAGTACTTGTCGCGCAAGGAGAAGCTCATGAATCACATCAATAATCATTTGAAGGAGGATGTCATTGTACCAGTCGCCACACAATCGGCCATCGACAGAGAACGGGCATCATCAGGTGCATCGTCAGCATCCGAGGCAACAACATCCAAAGCATCCGGATTGGTTGAGCCGCCACCCAGCGCCGCCGCAGCGTTGCAAAAGAAAACGGAAGAGAATGGTGGACTGGATACAGCGGAGGCGACGGCGGCAGCGGCAGAGGCAGAGGCGGTGAAGGCAGAGGAAGATGATAGCGAAATGGAGGACGGGGACAGCTCAGACGCTGATGAAGAAAGCTCCGGCACAGGGGATGAGGACGACGACGACACTGAAGACGATGATGAAGAAGATGAGCTGCAGGATGAGGACGACGATGAAGATGAGGGCGAAGATGAAGAGGGTGTGCCCCCACCAACACCTGCCACACAATTGTTGCAGCCGCAACACAAGCATGCCAATAATATTGACAATGATGATGATCTCGTCGAGGAAGTGAACAGCTCCGATGATGAGGAGCCAGAGGATGGAGGTGAAGTCGGGAGCGAAAGTCAAAGCGATGAGGACGATGACGATGAAGAAGACGACGACGACGACGACGATGAAGAAGACGAAGACGACGAGGAGACGGAGGAGGTAGAGGCAGAGGCACAGGGCTCGTCACAGCCCCTTATGAATGGCAAGTCTGAAAAGCATCAAACCACGCCCCAACAGCAAAGGGATGAGATATTGCCCAGCTCCGACGAGGACAACGAAGATCAGGATGGCCATCCAATGGCCATTGAAGACATTATTGAAGAAGAATTTGATGAAGACGATGATGTGGAGGAGGTGTATGATGAGCAGAATGTCGATGGGGGGGCCACATCGTCGGCATCTTCATCAGAGAGCGAATCAACATCCACGACCACATCCAATTCGCATTCAACTGGTGAGCGGCGTAAGAAGGCTGGCGATCAGTCGTCAAATCCCAGCTTTACCTGTGATCTATGTCAACTTTGTTTCGATTCCCAGGAGCTTCTCCAGTCTCACATCAAAAGCCATTTTCTCAATGGTCCAAAAATCTCTGCCTCACAAGCAACAAGCAATGCAACAGCAGTAGCACCAGCAACAGCAACGGCAACGGTAACGACGACGGCCACGGCAGCGGCAGCGGCGACGACTGTTCCCAGCAGTTGTAACAACAATGCCTCGACCAAATCCTCGAAGCTCTCTCCAGCAGCAGCAGTAGTAGCAGCAGCAGTCACCGCCAACACCAGCAACAACCGGCAAAGAAGTGCCGCCACAGAAATGGGGGCCAGCGGTAGCAGCAGCAGCAACAGCAATTGAGCGGATCATCGTAGGTACTCTCGTATTACCCCAGTCGTTTGTCCACAATCATCCTCGTCCGAATTCACGTTCACACTTGAAACAACTTGTACAAAGCCAGCCAATCACCGACTCATTCACCAAAAGACCATCCCACAATCCACCACCATCGACCACCAAACAACACACAACAAAAAAACAGCATGAAAAACCATCATGCAAAATGATCATCAGAAAAAACGCATTCCATGCATTCAACAAGCAGCAGCAGAAGCAGATGCAGCAGCAACACATTTATGTATAGAGAAAGTAGGAGAAGGGGCGGGGAATGCGTGCGTGTGTGCCACCATATAGTAGAGTTTCTTCTTGCTTCTAGTCTTAAGGCATACCTTATATACTAAATACAATATTATACATACATATATCATCGTAAACTATATAAGATATATGCATAAGATTTTTTTTTTTACAATGTTAAAATAGTTTTTACGCACGCACGCACGTAAACACACACAAAACACCTACGAAAAATGAACGAATGGAGAGCACTGGGTGGGGGGCGCATATTTTAGGCCCAAGGTTTTCTGCTTAGATAACCTATATATATCAAATATATAGCGTACATATATAAGCATCTATGTAGGAAGTACGTACGAACACACCTCAATTATTAAGCAAACGATTATGACTCACCAAAGGAAACACAAAAACAACATAAAAATCCACACAAATAAGGAAAACAAACAACAACAAACTCCACACGAAAGTCGACAAAGCAGTAGAAACGTGGAGAACATATTGATATAGTCGTCCCAGAGCTCAGTTAGACATAGTTATTAAGATCATAAATTTCTAAGTATTTGTTTTACACACACACACACACAATCAAACAAAAAGGTTTAAAAAACCCAAAACTCTCTACTCCCATTCGATATATATATATTTATATAGAGATATATAATTTAAATCACTTTAAAGCAATTGCTATCACAAAAAACAAAACCGAGAGCATAAGAACAGAAAAAGCCCCCAATGTACATATGGGGGGAAATGTAATATTTTATTATTTTTTTTTTTGTAATTTCCCATATTTCAAGAGCCATGCCACTCCGACCTGAAATATTTGTTTAATCATATAATTAGGATTTATTGGATCTAGAAAAGTAAGAGAGTATGTCACACAAATATATACACATAATTTCAAATGAAAGGAACATGTAATTTTATTTTATTTCGTTTCCTGCTATTTGTTTTTTTAATATTGCTTTAAACAACACCATTCTATTTGATTCAATGATAAATCCCATGCCAATGCCTAATAGTATTTAAAATTTGATTAATTTTGAAACATGAATTTTGTTCCAAAGGCGTTGAACTAATACAACTAACCGTGAGCATGGTGCAAGCACTCAAATTCATGCTGTAATACTGCAAGCTGCTGCAATTTCCTAGAGCGGTGTGCTGATGCCAATATTAAGATAAACTATATGCGATAAAATCAACAGCACAAACTACTACCGGAAATTGCAAAAGATTGCACTAGCCCAATATGGAATTGAGTGTCTCCACCATACTTACGGATGGGTATAAGAACAAGAACGTTAAGGCAGATTTTGTTGAGCAGCATAGGCTTATGGGTTGATAAGGTTTTTTTTTGTTTTGGATTGGATTGCATTTTGCTTGCCCCTTTTGGCCCATAAAAATAAACGATTGATACCAGAATGGTATGGACTGGGGCAATGACAGAAGTCTCCTTTAGACTCAGCTAGGGTCGGTTATCGTTCGTATTTCGATTGATTTATTTCTCTTCTCAAAATTCTAAAATTGGTTATAGCATTACCACAACCCCCTTTTCGGCGCAAAAACTTTTGATTTTATTATAGAAGAAACAATTTTGTACACGATTAACAAAGATTTTTTTTATATTAATTAACATATACAACAAACTTTTAATCCAAACTCTTTGGGGGCGTGATGGTGCGTGCATGCAGCTGCAAAAACGGTACATATTTAGTATACAAATACTGAGGAAACACACACAAAAGTACACTCCAAGCTTTCCGTTTTTGCAGCTAGTTTAAACTACAGAAAAAATACATATTTGGATTACCCAAAAGCATATAACTTAATGCGCAATGAGCACAAAACATGCGAAATAAAAACTCTTTTTCTTTCGTGTTGTGATGTCATACAATTACATATATTTTATTTTCTCTAAACTCCAAAGATCTTTTATAGTATTACCACTCACCCAATTTCGGCCCCAAAACTTTGGATTTTATTATAGAAGAAACAATTTTTTTACACGATTAACAAAAACAATTAGGTTAATCAATAATAATTATGATATATATGTCATAGCTCTACAAAAATGGGACGATTAATACCACACAAAAACATAAAAAACAAAAGGATACGTACACGAAAATCGTTTCGTTTTTTGAGCATTTGTGGCTAGAGAAACATTCCCGTTTAATTCAATTAAATCAACAGATTTGGTTTTAACGGAATTCGAAAGATATACGTACAAGTGGACTGACTGATAAAAACTATATACAAAATAATAACTAACACACCAAAAACGCGTATTAAAATATATTCTTCTTTCTTGATGCAGTCTTAAAACAATCCATAAAAAATTATCACTTTTTTTATATTTTAATTTTTACTTTGAAAAAATCGGCATCTTCTTTGTCATATGGCTTCTCCAAATTCCAAAAATCGGTTAAAAATAGTTCCGTTTTTTGAGCAATCGTGGCTAGAGAAACAAATGCTTCTCGTTTATTTCAATTAAATCAAGAGATTTGGTTTTAAAGGAATTCGAAAGATATACGTACAAGTGGATTGACTGATTTCGTTAAACAAATACGCAGGGAGAATACGGAATACAGAGAATAAACAAAAATATACAAAATAATAACTATATATTCTTCTTTCTTGATGCAGTCTTAAAAAATCCATACACAATTATGATTTTTATTTTTATATTTTAATTTTTACTTTGAAAAAATTTGCAGCTTGGCCTTTTCTTAATTAAAAAAATTGGTTACTTTTTTACCACTCACCCTCTTTTGGCCCCAAACAAACAAATTTTTTTACACGATTAACAAAGATAAAATAATCATGGTTTCATTAATAATAATTATAGAATGCAACACACTTGTCATAACGCTGCAAAAACGGGACGATTACACACGTTACCACACAAAAACATAAAAAAAACTGAAGCATCCGTTCTCAAAAGTACACCCCTAATCGTTCCGTTCTGTGCAGTCGTTATGGCTAGGGAATAGAGACTACTCTCTGCTAATTTAACTAAATCCAGAGATTTGAAAATTCAGTTTTTTGAGTGCGGCACACACTGTAACACATTATATTATACTAGCAGACCCGCGCGCTTCGCTGCTTACTAAATGAATTTAATGTTTAGGAATTCATCGAAATTAAAAAATGATAATTTTGATGTAATGACATATTTTATTTATTGCAATGCTTTGTGATAAACAATATTCTTTGTTTTGCCGTCGGTACAATGCACGCTACATACAGTTGACCATGTGAAAATACCGGATGCTCCAAATTGAAACCACAAATTTGCAACGACTGTCCTTGTGATTTATTAATAGTCATAGCAAAAAAAGCAAGACGAATCGGAAATTGTAGTCGTTTGAAATCAAATGGCATGTCAGCCGGAATCATCGGAATTCTCGGAATTAAAACGTGTTCACCACAAAATTTCCCAGTCAAAATAGTTGCTTCAAGTAAATTAGTCATAACTTTTTTCACAGCAAGTCCTGTACCATTGCAAAGTCGTTGTGGATTAAGATTCCGCAGCATAATTATGGTGGCTCCAACTTTTACTTGTAAATAGTATGGCGGCAAACCAGGTAAGTCCAATGAATTTAGAAATTCGACTGGATAATTTACAACATCATCTTGATTGATAATTGTATCAACCGACCTATACGCAACCATTTCTCCTGGGATGGAATTCAAAATAGATGCGTTGATCTCATTGACATCTTTATTTGTTCCACCCAAAATTGCTCTTTCCCTCAACCAGTCATGGTTTCTATAATTTTGTACAATATTTGGAAACACGCTCTGAATCAAGTATTCCTTCGATGACACAAAGGTGCAACAATTATTTGGAAGCGTTATCAAGCCAGAATTGTCAACGGGAAGTATGCCATTACCAATGTGTAACAGTTGTCAGGAAAACAAATCTGCTGAAGCATCGTTTTGCAATTGAACACGTACATTTATAGTCAATGTAAGTGTTTTCACAGAGCGCCACAAATTAGATGTTTTCAAACACGCATTAATTTCATCAGCAGACGTTCCTAGTTTGACTACAGGCAATGTTTGTCTGAAATCACCTGCTAACAATATCAATGTACCACCAAACAATCGATTATCTCCACGAATATATTTCAACGTACGATTAAGTGCTTCCAGTGACTTCTTGTTGGCCATAGTACACTCATCCCATACAATAAGAGAGCATTGCTGCAGCACTCTCGCTATTGCAGATCTTTTTGAAATGTTGCATGTAGGATTATCGTCAGCCTTCATATTCAAGGGCGACTTAAGGGCAGAGTGCGCAGTGCGACCACCATCCAATAATGTGGCAGCGATGCCAGACGAAGCCAAAGCCAATGCGATTCTACCTTGTGCTCGAATGGTAGCCAAAATAATCGAAATGACAAACGTTTTTCCGGTACCTCCAGATGCATCCAAAAAGAACAGTCCACCATGTTGTTCTTCGATAGCTCGCAATATTTGGTCGTAAACCGTTCTTTGGTTGATATTTAACCGTGGCTCATTGTTTTGCACAAACGCTTTAAGCTCGGCACGATCATACTGCTGTTCACGCTCCAGTTCTTTGTTGAAAAGGTCGTGTATATCACGATTAGGCGCTGTCATACCTAATTGAGCTAATGCTTTGCTTGCCATTATCAAGCAAAGGTCTTCAATAGCAATCAATGCTTCGTTGTAAATTTCCGGCGTATAGTCCATCTTTAATTTTGTCTGCCATTCAATTGAATACATCCAACATTGAACAGACCCAAATGCACCGTGTTTGACAATTAAATACATGAGTGATTTCAATTTTTGTCTAAAAACACGTGCTAAAATATCATGGCGATCTTTCGATGTTTGGCCAACAAACAATAATTCCGAGATTTCTTCCCATTGCGGAGTACACGTGAAGGTGATGAAGAGGTCTGGTCGACCGTAACGGCGAACGTATGTATGACATCG